AGTAGTAGTAGTAGTAGTAGTAGTAGTAGTAGTAGTAGTAGTAGTAGTAGTAGTAGTAGCCGTACGCACCTGCTGCACAACAAACTGTTTGTAAGTACTAACAGTACGTACCAGCTTCTACTGTAGTACTGTATGGTAAGGTTCGTACGTATCATTTTATTCAGTTCTTTATATAGCTTAATATTAATTAACGGCCGGAATATACTTTATTCGTTAATGATTATATATATCTATAATCCAACGGCTGCCGAAAAGCAACTTTAATTAAGCTTAAAAGCTACTTCTAAGCGACTTTAATGCTGCTTTAAAGTAGCTTTTAAGCTAATTTTTATCTGCTTAAAAGTTGCTTTAAAGTCGCTTTAAAGTAGCTTAAAAGTAGCATTTAAGCTATTTTAAAGCTAATTTAAGATCGCTTAAATGCTACTTTAAAGTACCGTGAAAGTCATTCCAGAGCTACTTATTATCCGCTTTATTAAAAGGTCTTATTCCCGTAAACCCCCCGCTATACTTAGGTCGCCTTACATAAGAGGAGGCACGTGGCTCAGTAGCATTGCCGTATGTCCAATAGCTTAAAGTATCCGGTTATGAGAGTCGCACGGGACTCAGTAGCTGAGCCGTAGGTCCAGTAGCTTAGAGTAACCGGTAATGAGTCGTTTCGGAACGTCCCAGTATTACCAGTACTACTAGTAGTAGCACAGTACTAGACAGTATTCAGTATTTGTATGTTTGCAGTACTGTACCGTACAGTAGTATCATACGTAGAGTATGGTACATGCAGAAGCCTGTGAATTTGTATGTACGTAAATACTTACATACGGTATGTACCGTACGTACGGTACCAGTACATCCATACTGTACATTTCCCCCCCCCCCAACGTCTGTCCTTTTTCCGCCCAGCACGTGCCCCCTGCGCGCAAGCCATCTCTTTCTAATCCGGTTCTCCATTTTTTCCCCTGTTAAATAAGTTGTAACTGCGTGTGCAGCATGAAATTTGATACACCCCTTTTGTTTAAACCTTTATTTCTCCACAATCCAATGTACCATCCGACTTCTTTTTTTAATAGTTACATGTAGTTTTCCTTGAAGTTTTCAGCAATGTGCTCAGAGTTTGGAGGGTCCTTCTGGTTGTGGAATTTTACTGGTTCGAGTATCACCCGTTGCGCGTGTGCGCAAAAATGGTATAATCTTTTCCAATCAGCCAGTACAGCATATGACAAATATTGACTGATATTTGTTTACATATCTTGAATTGCTAATGTACGGTAATATCCGTGTTTTTTTGCTTGGCCCACGCTATACGGCTACCAAAAAGCTACTTTTAAGTAGCTTAAAAGTACCTTTAAAGTCACTATAAAGTAGCTTAAAAGTAGCTTTAGAGCCACTTCAAAGAAGCTTTTAAGCTACTTTAAAGTAGTGTTTAAGCCACTTCCAAGCCACTTTATATTTGCTTAATTAAAAGGCCTGATTCCCGTAACCCCCCCACTATACTTAGGTAAATGTACTAGGCATGTGGCTCAGTAGCTTTGCCATAGGTCCAGTAGCTTGTTAAAGTATCCGGTAATGAGTCGTTTCGGAACGTCCCTGACCCAATGCAATGATCTCAACAGCAGTACTGGTGCTGCAGGAGTACTGTAACAGCAAAAGATCAGTAGCATGGATGGACTGGTGGGGGCAAGCAGTACCTCTGAAGAATGGATGCATTCTAAATAGATATGCAGCTGACCCAATGCAATGATCTCAACAGCTGTACTGGTGCTGCAGTACTGTTGCAGCAAAAGATCAGTAGCATGATGGACTGGGGGGCCGGCAAGCTCTGAGGAAGAATGAACACATTCTAAATAGTAGGTATGCAGCTGACCCAATGTAATGATCTCAACAGCAGTACTAGTAAATATAACAGCAAGCTCATCCACAAAACTAGTTCAGTACTACTGGTGCAACAAAAGATCAGTAGTGGCATGTTGTCATTCGGGTCTAAAAAATTATCTTGCAGGGGTTTCACTTTACAGTTTTTGAAAATAGGTACTATACATACATATGGAAAATACATACACACCATTACAATACGTACAAACTACAGTACAACAAAAAAGGTCTGGTTCGACTTCCACTTGCAGCGTACTGGTACCGCAAAAGACCTAATTGATATTTTCGTTGTTTTCAAGAATCATCCGATGGATCTTTTCTCCCCATCGACCTCCTGTGATCAAAACACTGACAAAATTCTCCGTACCTCACGGTACGTACTTATTACGACCCCTTTAAGTTGCAAAATCAGTTTTGACACTTGCAGGTTTCATTTTTCACAATCTTTCGTTTCGAACAGAGAGAAACTCTGTTCAAGATGATGTTGTTCTTTAAAGTTATCGCTACCCTGCTGATTGCACAGACTCTACCGGTGGATGCCGCACCAAATGGCAAACCTAATGGCGAAGAAGCCTGTGAAAATCTAGGTTTCGGCGCCGAGGACTGCGCTAAAGTGGGGTGCTGCCATTTCAACGAGGGGCAATGCTTGTCTTCCGTGGGGCGAGATCCATGCCATAATGTTCTGCTCGAAGGGTACGAGGGATGGAAGGACGGAGCAGTTGTTTGGAGCGACCCGCCTTCGGATGGTAAGTGGGAAGCTTGTGGAAAAGTAACGGTGGTTTTTGGTGTTGCCATTTGTGTCACACAAGGAGCCTGGAACAATAAGTCCAAGTGCGACCACATCGCCCACGTCATGTACCAACTCTTGGACAACAACGCCGATGGAATTCCGGATGATGAACAAGTATTGACGTTTATGGTACAAAACCGCTATATGCTTTTTGTACCAGAAAATGGAGAAGAAAGCGAAGAACTATGGTCCAAGTTGCCGGACGTAGACTCTGGTATGACGATGCCAACGTGGACCACGGAGGCGATCCCAAATTCCTGTCAGGTTCCGACCAATCGAGGTGCCTCCGCCACTGACCGCTCCACCTGGCCAGACGCCGTCGACACCGATGGCATGAGCTGCAACAACGGCCGGGACGCCTCCGTGGAGGAGATATTTCACCTGATCCAACGCGCGGCGAGCAACCTGTGGCCAAGCAAGTGGGGGACGAACTTTGGAAGCGAGGCTGGTGCTGCTGTCAAGGCTGCCAAYGGARATTGYGGCTTTGGGTACTCAAACAACTACATCGACCCGTCCACAAACGAATGCACCGGACAATATGCCTACTGGGACGTTACTTGCAACGAGGGCTGCACCGTGGACGAGGGTGTGCACTGGGCTAGCATAACGTATATCGGTGGCTTGTATACGCTAGAAAAGACATATTGGGCTAGGCACAATTTTTTGATGTGCACTCCTGATAAAAACATGGAGGTCCATCCCAAGGGGTACCCGAATGCTATATCGCTCGAATCAGGATCACCAGCTTTGTACACATTGGTTTCTGACACCACCTCGGAAGGCCACAAGTGGCTGCCACTAGTTATGCCCGATGGCAAATACCGAGGATTTGATGGGCCAGCTCCTCAACCAGCTCCTCAACCATTTCCAGACCCAGATGATCCCGACACGGAATCCCCAACATTTTATCCAACGTTTTATCCAACTTTCTACCCAACTTTCTATCCAACGGAAAGCTGCGCAGATGACGCATCATTCAAATTCAAAAATAAAAAGAATAAGATGTGCGGGAAGAACTGGCTCCAGAAATTCACACGCAATCTGAAAGTTAGAAAACGCAAGAAGCTAATCAAGTTGTGCAAGAAGAAGTCAGGGAACCAACGAGTTTATGACTTTTGCAGGGCTACGTGCGCCTTAGTTGATTTGGGCCCATGCGCCTAGCTTCAATCCGTTGTGTGACAAGGCATGTGTTGTTTTAGTGTATTGTGGCGGTGATGGATCGAAGGGTCATCATCGATCTTGACTTTTTTTCCACGTTGCAAAATATGGCCGTGCTCTGGAGCTAGAGTGGTGCCGCTAGGTGCAACTGGATCACCAGACGCTGGTATAGTAATTGAGGCATTCTTGGCTGCCTTTCGTGTTCGAGAAGTTTTATAGATCAATTTTAGTAGTAGAACTTTTGGAGGAAGCGCGTGAAAGTAATTTTTGATGAGTAAAAAGGCTGTTAGTTCACTGTTCCCTCTACTACGGCATCCTTGTAAATACAGAACCACCAACGAACACTGTCTGCATGCTGATCTAGAACGTCGCTGCTTTCCAGTTGTTTACTCAGTCGTCTCCCTTGATCTCGTATGCATCAGAGCAGGGCAGATAAGTGCTTCAGTCGGACTCGAAACAGTAATGGGCCAAAGAAAAGAAGCCAAGGGGAATGTATTGAATGCCCAATTTTATACATATTATATCAAAACATACTTGGTACAAGCTACTGATCAATGCTGTTGTATTTGTTGAATGCATATTACTTATGTTTACTCACGTGTGCGTTTCTTATGGGTTGTACTTGCGATTGCCAGCACAGGTAATGCGGCGGTTCGTATTTTTTGTAGCCATCGATCTATTCTATTCGTTTGTTCCATCCATTTGGGTTCGGTTCAACTTCGGTTCGGTTCATTTTGCGTTGCCGTTCTTCCCCGCTTCGGCCGCGGCGGCTCGGACCTCCCCGTAAAAGCCGGCCACAAAGGCTCGCTGGGAATCGGTCTGCGGGGACCTGGAGAGAGCGAGTGGCATGTGCTCGGATCCCAGCCGGGAGTCGTACCCGGTTTGGACAATGTCGAAGATCGCACTGAGGTTGTCGTCGTGGTTGCCGCCGCCGTCCGTGCCCCCCTCGGAGGCAAAGTGCAGGAGCGCCAAGAGGCAGCAGGCGGTCAGGCCCGCCCGGCCCCGGCCGCCCCAGCAATGAATGTATACCATGCTATCGCTGTTGCTGCCATCGCTTTCCCTATTATCTAGAACCTCTAGTATCTTCCAGAGTAAGAGCCGTAAATGCTTGGAATTGGAAGGAACCGACAAATCCCGAATGGGGTGGTGCAGGTATTGGACCTCCACTGCAGAGTCCCCGTCGCCGTCCGTTTCCATTCGGGAACGAACCCACTCCACCGTAGGCGCGTAGTGCGAAAAAGGGTTCGGCCACTCGCTCCGGGCGTCACCCTCGAGGTAGATCTCGCCGCCGCTGGCCTTCCAGCTATCGTAGTCGTCCTGCGGCGGGAGTTCCGATTGTAGGCTCACGAAACAAACCCCGCCATTGGTTGTGGCATCGCTACGTCTCGAGGCCTCCAGGACTTCTCCAAGGTGCGCCCGTACCTCTGTTTCGGTCGGGGTGTTCTTCTCCGGAACCCTTCCAGGGTATTGCCCCACCATGATTTTCCCGGGAAGGATCCAGTTGGAAAACCCACGCTCCGTCATCCCAGTGGTGGACGATGATGGCGATGATTTTTTGTTGGCGCCAACACCGGCATTGTAAAACGAAGGGAAGAACAGCGTGTTTTCGTATACTGCTTGGGTTCCGAGGGCCTCGAGCGAAAATACTGCTGGTGAATCAGAATCGCTATTGCGGTTTTTTCTGCTGTAGTCCCGAACGATGCCAGAAGCCTTTTGCAAGAGCTTTTCCAGTGGGATTTCATCGCTATTGGTATTACGATAGTAACCATTTGCCACCGATTCGAACAGCGAGGTGGTTCTCCGACCACTGGTAGAATGCCATCGCGCCATTGCCGCACCAAAGCTTTTGCAATCCGAGAAACTGTTGGAATTGGAATCGTTCGAATGCAACCGAGGGTGGTGGCATCCCACTGTTGCCGAAAAGGATGCTGTGGTGGACGTGAATGGCAATGCCGAGCGAAGAGCAACACGACTGCCTCCAATAAATGCTTGTACGGGTACGACAACCATTGCTAACAGAACGAGCAACCGGCGATTACTGGTGACGGGTGTTGCTGAGGATCCCATGGCAGTAGTGGCAATGATATCACTACCGATACTTCCTAGTACCTGTACGAACGAACAAGAAATTGAGAGGACGAAAAGAAAACTCGTATCCATTCGATCCGATTGCCAATTGACTGACTCATTCGATTAATCTAATACTAGTAGTACAGTGGTAGCGAATGACACTTCAGATAGGTACTTTTCATATGTATCATGGTGTAGCAAGAATCAGTATTGATCTCAAAATCCAAAAACCTTTCCCTCAGTTTCTTGGTCGGAGTCTAAGGGAGAGAAGATACGTTCGCCACACCGGCAATTTCGCTCGCATGCTCGCACACTAAGTGGACCAACGACAGAATCCAAAATTAATTTTTACGAAGGAATAGAAAGGACGTTAGGCCTTCGATACTATGGGACGGTTTTGTGTTGTGGAGTTTCCCGACGGTTATGTGGCTTGAAATTGCGTTCTTTTCATTCGAGAAAGGCGCGTCACCCGTTTGTACCGTTGTAAGGGGAACAACTTCGTTGTTTGGTTGACACCAAACCAAGTCCTACGGGTATCCTACGGCTAGTGCGGTACCGTTTGGCATCGGAATCGGTATCATCATCATCTTCTATTTGCATCCTACGGTTCATTCAGTACGTGGTACGCTGGCGACGATGATGCACTGTTTTTCAAAAAAGGAGAGAACAGAGAAAACTACCGCTGAACTTGACCTTCTACAAATTGTTGTTACAACAACCCTGCCATTCGAAATCCATTTTCTGTTGTCGGCGAGTAATCATTAAGTATTCATTAAGTATTGACCCGCATTCTTAATTTTCTCACAAAGACAGCATAGTACAAAACGTCTTCTCTCACATACTTTGTGCCATACATAAAACCAGAACGAAATGGACACAAACCATTTGCGGAGACAACATCCAACGAAGCAAAGCAATTTAACGATTTTCGATTGAGACAATTCCCGTATTGAAAATACGAGATTAAGTATTGATTGGTTGACTTCCGAACTATCCAACGAACAAACGGTCAACGATCCCTGCTCATAGGATCGAAAAGAGAAAGTTTGTCTGTTGGAAAAAGATACCTTTCAGTCCAGTCCTGGTCAGTCCCACCCCCAACACAGTTTGTACACTAGTCGAATAAGAAAGGATCACGAGACCATGAACAGCATCATTGAGAACGAGGCCTTCGACGAAAGCAATAGCATGTTCAACAACAACGCAAAGAGCACTATCGAGGACAATTGCGAGGACCAAGGAAGTTTGGTCAGCGCCTTGTCGGGAGAGGATACCGACGTCTCTCTCTTACTCGGCGAGGAGGTTTCCCATTGCAACGATCACTATGCGGAGAATGGTGAAACGAAACAGCCGCGGCGAGACGATAGCGAGGAAGACACCGGCACGACTATCGATGCCACTACGCTCGTGAGCACTACCTCCAGCAACGCGTCCAACTATTTCCTTCCCCACCACAAGCACAACGACAGCCTCTGCTATTCCACGACGTCGTCGACGTGCGATACAGAACATCAAAGAGTCGCCCCGTCGTCGTACCTCACGAACTCGAATCTTGGAAGCTTTCAGCAAGCCTTTCCTTCCTCCATGTTTCCGGGACAAACGCTTCTTCCTCCGCACCACTCCAAACGCACCGAGCAACCAGAAGGAAAGTCGTCGAATTCAAATTCTCATCTTCCTTCTTACTATTACTATAGCTCGTCTTATCAAAACAGCACCCTGAACGACATCGAGGTTGGGAATAACCTCAATAGAACACCGGCTGTTGGCAGCAACGTATACCAGAAGCGAACTAAAACCTCGGACCGGTGGGTTCTGTTTTACGATGACGGCGAAACCTCCTCACTGCTCCGGGCACCGTCCGCCAACTCGTGGAGGGGAGCCCTGAAATGTTTCTTTTCTCCTCGGGTTGTGCTGACGGTGTTGCTGTGCTCGGTAATTCTGTTCAACCTGATGCGATACGGAACCCACTTCAAGCACCAGTTCGAAACCTACCAGCACGGCAGCAATAGCCTCGGTGGATCGAGCAAGGTCGATACTAGCGTCGACTACATCAAACTCGAAACCATAGGAGGCGCGGCCAATTCTCCTTACTCCGAATCCTGGAAGGACGACGACTCGTTGTCCTTGCTATCAAAATTGGAGAGTAAGATCCACGCGGTGGGGGGACGAGAAAATGAGAATGGCGGTGGCGAACGAAGGTGACCACGGAAATGAATGCAAGAACAGGATTGTGAAGGGTGATTCTTTTGTATTGGATTAATTCCGTTGCTCTCTAGAGCACTGCATGAAGTATCACAACCCCAAATCCCACCAAACTCCTTCGCTCTCCCGAGGATACGAAACTACACATACCTAACACTGCCATGCCCAGCTAGGCACTTCCGCGCTTGTGTTTCAGTGCTGTACAAACCAAGTGAAAACAAGTCTAATGCGGAAGGATCATCTTACAAAACGCTTAGAAGTCAATGTCGGCTCGGGCAATCTGCTAAACGCTATTAATAACATTGAATACGGACTCCAACACGCAAAACTGTCTTGTCACAGTATTCGATGGCTCGAGTTGCCCAGCAAAGCATTGAATCCTATATTCCTCAAACAATACGTAGAAAGTAAAAAAAATAGATGAACAAGTATATTACAACATAATATTGTCCTTTGTAGTGTTGGCTAACCAATATCCTCTAGATGAGATATAATACGATCCTTACTCCCGAGAGAACAATTTGCGGTTTCCTAGGCAGCACCATGATGCCAGATGCAGATCGATACAAAGCATAAATTAACAACTCAAGAGCTTGCCATATCACGCATCATTCATTCCGGTCGGCGCCACGTGCGTTCGATGCCAACATTAGGAATCTTAGTCCATCTGGGTTGTCTCGCAAGAACCGCTTTGAGTGTTCTGTAGTGAACGGCAAACAAGTCGTGTTGGAATGCAACGCTGTAGCCAGCAAGATGTTGCTATGAACTATCCCCCACGTTTCCCCTCATGGTGACAACGCCACCGACCCCGTTGTTGGCGGTTGCCATTGCCACCGCTGGTAGGTTGTTGTTTGCCGGGAGCAAAGCAGGATTCGGCGCCGAAGCCGCCATTGTTGAAACCGGGCTTGGTGTCATTTCCGACAGCAGGGTCTGGTGCTGCAATGGTTGTTGTTGCTGCTGCTGCAAGGGCAGCACCATAGGAGTTGTTGTCGGGTGCGGCGGCAAGGGTTGTTGTTGCTGCTGCTGCAGAAGCTGTATTTGTGGCACCTGCTGCTGGTACTGGTGCCGCGGCTGCTGCAACTGGAGCTGCTGCGGTTGCGGCTGCCTCTGTTGCTGCGGCTGCTGCTTGGTGTTGTACTTGGCGCGCTTTCGGTGCGGAACGGCCGCCGATGTCCCGGCCGCGCTTGCCTTCGAGGACGAACCACCGGCCGCGGCTCCTCCCCTCCTGCCGGCATCGGAGCGTTTCTTGCGCTCGACCTCCCCCCTTCGGGTGCACACACTCGAGGCCACCGCCTGGTGGAAGCCCCGCTCCCGCCCCCAGGCGTGGGCCAGGTCCCGAAAGTTGGCGTGCGGGGTCCCCCCGCTCAGGAGGAGAATCTCCACCAGCGCCAGCTGCTTTTCCCACGGCTCGAGCTGGCAGCCGAGGGAGGGGCACTCGAACATCCCCCGGGCCCGGCGTTCGGCCTGGCGGTGCCATCCGACGGGCTTGTGGAGGGCTCCGTCCCGCAGAAAGGTCACCAGGGGCATGGTCGAGACGATATTGCTGTTGCCGGCCTCGCTCGCGCCGGTCTCGGTCGCCCCGGGGCCGGACAGGCCCTCCGTCTTGGCAGCAGCCGCGTTCGCGTTTGCCGCGACCGCGGCCAGTGCTCCCCCCGGGCTCGCCTCCCCGTTGGCCTTTGCCAGCACCATCGCGGCGGCGTGGTTGGCGTTCTTTTCGGCCGCCACCACGGATATGGAAGACGGCCGGTAGGCAATGGAGGCCGGGAGCACCGTGTCGTAGACGCTCTCTCCAACCGCGGGGGGCGGCTTCTCGTCTTCTTGCTTCTTGCGCTCGGCTTCCGCCTTGGCGGCGACCTGGTGGGGAAAGTGAACGGCCCGCCAGTGGCGCTTGCACATGCCGTTGTGCGTGCCCTGGGCCTGTTTTTCGCACCCCTCGACCTGGAACGAGCACAGAATGTGAGAAAGTTGTTCCGTAGACCGTGCACAATTTCGAGTGCGATCGGACAACGAGAAACACAAAAAGGGAAAAATTAGTCAGCCATTGCCGTGGGACCAAAAGAAACGACGCGGGCATGGACTTGCCGTACACAGAAACCAATGTGCGTGCAAGGCAATCGGTTGGTCGAACAACACAGCACAGCACAGCACAGCACAGCACAGAACTACACCACCACACGTGTGCACGGTGTGCACCGCGCTCCTCACCTTGCACCGCTTGGCCTTGGCGCCGTGCCGCTGGCAATGCCCCTGGCTCTTGATGACCCTCGTGCACCCCGGAAACCGACACAGGCGTTTCTTTCGGTTGGTACCACCCGTCTCGCCGCCGTGGCTGTTGCTCCTGCGGTGCGCCGGGGGCGCGGAAGCCTCCGGCGGGGTGGCAGGCATTCCCTGGCCGTCCCCGTCGGCAAGGGCCCTGGTGTTTTCCCCCAAAGATATCTGCTGGCAGATGGCGATGTTGTTGTCGTGGCTGCTGTCGGCGGTGGACGCAAGGGTCGTTGCATCCCCGTACTCGTCGAGCATGCTGGCGTTGCCGCCGTTGCAAGAGGCGGAAGATACCGACGACGCTGGAAGTTGATCCTGCGGGGCGTCGTCGTCGTCGTCGTCGTCGATGTCGTTCACACCAGCGTGCCCGTCCCCGATGCTTTGGTGAAGGTGGTTCTCCAGCTCGGCATGGGCCGTCGCAACCGGTTGGGCCAAAGCAGCGGCAGCGGTCATTCCCACAAGTGGCTGGACGGAAGATCGTTCCGGGGCAGTGGCGCCGTCGTCGGTCGACGCATCGGGCACCACTGCGGGATCATCCGCCGTGGTTGCGAGGAAGGATCCGCTTTCGCTGGCCATTTGATGGTTCCAAACGTCCTCTGTTTTCGTTGGGTTCCGTTGTTGCTTTGACTTCGAAGAATATCGGACCGAGTGGGACGGAATGGACTGGGCTGGTCCAGCGATGCAACGACTGTCGATCTTTGGGATTTTGGAGGGAGGCTTTCCTACGACCGGTACGGCTTCAGATTTCTCGTTCAGTGATTTAGGATATTGATTGAGAGCGGGGTTTTGTATAGATGTGATTGCAAATGTTGTACGGTACGATACTGTGCTACGCGGTAGCTAGTAGCTCGTTGCTAGATGCACTACGAGTACGAGTACTGAAGGATACCCTACCGTAGAGTAAGGGAAGCCCATTTTTGAGGTTCGAGCTCTTGTTGATGTTTAGTGAAAAAGAGCTTGAAACCTGCCTTTTGCTGTTAGTAGCTGCGAGTCGGTAGTACGAGTACTATCGTATGTACCTCGTACGTTACGAGATTCGGACTGAATTAAGTGGAACATTACAGTAGTCGTAGTGGTACGAGTACCAGTACGTATTACATAGTAGTACCGGCTGGTACGCTAAATGGCAACGTGAAAAACATTTAGTTTACCGGTACAGGACCAGAAAATAGAAAATCTAACCCGATGTTCCATGTTCCCTTACACCATACCGTACGGTACGATACGGTACAGCCTGCATCTGTTTCTACTCCTTTGAGCAACCGCGCCGCTAATGCCAAACCCAATGGATTGTGTGCAAGTACCGGTACAGTCTTAGAGTACTTTACGTAGCGTAGGTACGTACTCGTACTCATATTCGATTGGCTCGTTACAACTTCTGAAAACGGTACTGGAATGTACAGCATTCCGCTTGTACGTACTGGTGGTGAAAAATTTAATGTAATTCCCCCCCAGACATACAATACGGTTCGTACTACGAAGTAGAAGTAATATTCTTCATTCTTTAAGAATGCTTATCGAGAATAGAATCGACACAAGTATCTTCTTAAAAACAAAAATAATGTTCATGAACGCTCTTCCGTCGCATAAGAAACTCTTCGTACGGTACAGTAACTAAGTAGGCGGGAGCTCTGATACGAGATTGCACAGTACGGTACGGCACAAATGGAACGATGAATATTTCAGTGAAAGCGTGTGAATCTTGCCAAAAAAGAACGCTTTCCGCTTTTGAAAGCCATATCTTTTCTTATGCGATCGAAGAGTCACAAGTTGTACGCTAAAATAGTGACATAAAATAATATTTCCCATTGTTCAAAACAAGAAGATTTCCAAGAACAACCAACAACAGAAGTAATACTACCCAGGTATTATTACAAACACTTAATCCAAACTCTTTTATATTCATTCGTATACTCATTCATTTCTAACCATGCCACTCGGAGGACGATTGCGACGAGAAGGCCGCAGAGAGGCCCGCAGAGAGCACCGGGAGGAACGCAAGGAGCACATACCCCCCGCTGTGAAAACCGCCGTTGTCATGGGAACCGGAGCCGGTCTCGGAATAGCCGTTGCCCGCCGCGCCAAAGCCAAACGCAGCGGCTCCCCCGACTCGAGCTCCTCGTCCGACGAGGACGACAACGCCCCCAAGACATTTGCCATGAAGGAAAAGCTCCTGGCCTTTGGAGACTCCTTCACCATCAACCGCGTGAGCCGCCGCCACCAGAGGGGAAGACCCGCCTACTATGCCAACAACAAGGTGATGCGCCTGCGAGAAACCTTCCACCTCCAGGCCAGCCGCTCGGGACCGACGCTCTATTGCATCCAGGACCGCAAGCTCCGGATCCGTGATTCCATGGCCATCGAGGACGCCGACGGAAGGAAGGTCGCCGAGATCAAGAAGAAGGTCATCGGCATCGTCCGGGAAAACTTTGTCGTGAAGATCAAGGACGAGACCAACTGGCAGATCCACGGATCGATCCTGGAGCACGACTTCACAATCAAGGAGAACGGACGAGAAATCGTTAAGGTGCACAAGAACTGGATCGCACCAATCCGCGATTGCTACTTCATCGACATCCATGGCACGGACGACGTGCCCCTGGCCTTGACGGTCGTCATTGGACTCGAAGCCATGAGCGAAGATTGAGGACCGAAGGGTTGATCGTCTGCCTTTGTGGGGGCTTCGTTAAACCTATTTCCTTAGACTCTTCGATGGTTGGAAACGAAAATAGAATCGACCATTCATGAGACGTTGTGTCGTTCAGTTTGTTTCTGAAACTAGACGAATTCAAGCACCAAACCACACCATGTAAACTGAGTAAAAAGCATTAGCGTAATTCTGAAACTTAGTAGTCTACGATATTACTAAAAATATTAAAAAACATCCAGTCTTCCCAACACAATAGAGGAACCGGTTTCTCTCCTCAAGCAAGCCGAATGAAGCAATTGCTGCCGCTTCGGTCGCTGATAGTGTTGTGCTCAGCCGAATGAGTCCTTGTTTTCGACGGAATCGCGCATCGGCAAAAGCCAACCGGTGTCTTGTCCCAGCCCGAGCAATGGACCAAATTTTTCGATCAGTACGCGTCGGACGAGTTTGCGAATCTCTTCACTCCGAACGCCAACAAGCTCGCACATCAACGGGAAGATGGCGGCTTTGTTTCGCTCGATCAAGGAGGGTTCGAATGACAACATGGCTTTTAGCAGACCGACCACCACCGAAGCGAAGGAAGTGCAGTAAATGGCAACCTTGACCCCACTCTCGGTAGTGTTTCGCCACACGTTTTGGTCTACCTTGTGCCCTTCTTTGGCATCCGACTCGGTAAATTTCCGGAAAATATCTTCCTTGATCTTCAAGAGATACTGTCCAGCAAACGCTCGACGATCCCAATCTTGCTCTCCGCCTAGGGTGTCATCATGGTCGTAGAGATCGCTAAGGAGACGAATGACCCCATTGGTGGCACTGGCAGTTTGGGTCAAAAAGAACATAGCGCTTCCTTTTGTGTTATTGAGTCTGGCAACATTTTCTAAGGCTTCTTCTCCCATGTCGTTGCTTATTCCCCATTCACTAAACATGGCTTCTTGAAAGGCGTGAGCGAGGTCCTCATTCTTCACGGCTTTTTCTGCAAATATTCGTGACCTGCTCAATATATTCAAAAGATTCGATATCGTTTCCTGGGATATAAATCCAATCAATTGCTCCTCTCGCAAAGAGAGGAGAATGTGCTGCAAATAATGAGCCGCCACACACCGTAACTTCAAAGCCGGCAAGAGCTTCATCCAGTTCGGCGAGTCTCGAGTATTGAATTTTTCGTCCAGCCTTGCAAAGGTTTCAATGGGTAGTAAGTCGGTTCTGTCCACTTTCTGACGTTGTAATGTGCCGTAGTCGATTTCGATGGCGCCTCCCGCATTCCCTTCTGCTCTCGCGATGGCTTCGGAGTCCACTTCGTCGTTGCTAGTTGAGCCATTCGCGTGCTTTCTAACGTTCTCTTCGGAATCTTCGGAACCTGCTTGGACTTTCACAAAGGAGTCATCCTCTTGCCTTTCAACGTTATCCACGGCATCGCCACTCATTTCTGTCTTAGTGTTACCAACAGCTGTTTCGTTCCCTTCTTGGGCTCTCGCAGTTACTTCAGATTCCTCTTGCTCTTCAACAATGATTTCACCCTCGTTCTTCTTAACGTTCTCCTCGGCATCATCTTCCACTTCTTTATCCGGATGGCTATTTATTTCAACGTCACCGACAGTTGTTTCATTATCCAAAGGACCTACCTTCGGCTTGTTTGTGGTATCTGAAGCGTGCTGTTCATCCTCGTTGACTTCCTTTATGCGTGGTTCGTCGACAGATTTGCCATCACTTGACGACGATCCCGATGACGACGACCCCGATGATGACGATCCTGATGATGATGATCCCGATGACGAAGAGGATGATGATTTCTCATCAGAATACACGTTTTTTGAGGATGACTTCGGATCTGTAATTAATATTCCGCATTTTTCCTCCAACAGTAAATTCATCATTATTTCTTCTGCTACCAAATTTTTCCCCAGGATGTCCGAATAGAATCCAATAAGATGATTTGACCAAACATGCACATTATTTTTGTCAGGATTTGTAGATAACTTTTCTGTGGCTCGTGTCATGAAACGCTCAAACTCAGCTGTAGCGATCCGTACAACTGCTTCGCAGGGTACCCATTTCGTAATATCTCCATTGCACCAATACTGGTAAATTTCTGCCACGGTAGAGCGCCATGTCGAGCCCCCTTCAGCCCCACGAACAAGTAAAATCTCGCTGGATATATCCGTCAGAGTGCCCAGTGCGATCGAGGCTGTTGTAGATATCCAACTGTCTGGAAATGGCTGCTCAATACTTCCTTTCGATCCGATGTCCTACACGACATAAAAAATTATTATTTCACATCAGAATTTTTCACGAGTAAAACGGGAAATTCAGTACACAACAGTTAGAAATTAAATAGCCTACCTTTTTCGCAAACTTATGTGCTTCCGATAGATCAACACCTCCCCCATTTCTCACCACTGTAAAAGTAGCTTCGAGAAGCAATTCTGCTGGACCCATTTGCCGAGAATTGCTGAAAAAAATAACGAGGGGAAGAAAGTAAGTGCACATTTATTCCTACTAAAGAAAGCAGTGAAAAGGGATGGCATGACCTGCTTACCTATCCAATTGCTGGACAACTCGTTCAAACTTGAGTAACCCGGCATCATCAGAATCTGGCGGAATGGGCAAAGGTCCTGCAAGAAAATCAAGGTCTGATATCGAAGGTGACTCAGAGGCAATAGAAGTCACGGGAGATTTGTCGTTCTCAACAGCCATTTGGAAAGTGGGAATGATAGTATCATTCAGAATTGCTTCTAACTGATGATCAGTGAAAGAAGATCCGTGGCGGAGCAGAATAGCTCGAACCGCAAGTACACTACCACTCTGTACCAGATTCCCAATATCACCTTCTCTACTCCTCGTTGTCGCTCTTACTCCCTTTGAAAGGCCCTCAAACAATGGACGCCAAAGCATCATTTCAGATGCCTCTTTCTCGCTAAGTCCCTTGTAAGTGTATCCTAGCATTTCGGGGTCTTCAAACTGGCAATCAAGATTAGGTGGTGAAATCCTCTTGCTTGCTATCAAATCTGCATATATTGCTGTGTGGCAGAGTGCTCGCATTGAAACGCCGATTGGGTGCGATGATTTTGACCCTTTCAGATCGATAAAGGACAGAGATGCCTTGCACATTGCAAGAAAATCTTCAAAATAGGAACTTTGATTTCCTTGTGAATCTTCCTCTTCTGCGAAAATCCGAAGTCGATCTAAGTGTTTATCGAGCGTGCCTTGCAATATGCTTAGAGAGTGGTTAAACACTTTCTTGTTTGGATTACCGGCACCGACCGCGAGAATATCGAAAAAGATTCTCCAACCACTCTTTATATTGTTGACCCTTGTGTTAATCATCTGATCTACGCAGGCTAAAATTACCTCTCTCGTTTCTGGTCGTGTGGCCTTGTTTTTCATAACCAGCAGAAATGGTTCCAGAAACAATTTCTGAAAGTGAAACTCGGAAGCCTCGGGTTTCTCTAGAAATTTTAAGCTCAATTGTTTCAGGGCATCCACAGCAAAAACGCTGACCATAGGGTTGCTATGAGACCCGTTCGTGGTAAAGAATCCGGCCATCAGGCTCCATATTTCAGCCCATACAAGCCGAGGTCGGACGTGCATGTTGTAATCAGCCACCTCAACGAGTCTTTGCATCGAAAAAATGCTTGGGCCAGATTCGCCGTGATTGGAACTAGAGCCAGTTGTTGATACTCCCGTAATTCCACTTTTCGAATCTCCTTCGATTTCAGAGTTGGCGACTGCGATCAGTTGCTCGATGAACAGCGCAAGGCTTGGTGCCGACAGTTTCACAGACGATGAAAAGACCTGGTCAATGAGCTGCTCGCCGATAGTATTCAAAACTCTCATGGAATTTGCGGTTTCTGTTTCCTTCATTACATCCATTTTGCTCTCGCGGGAAAACAAGGATCGGCTAGACTGCTCCTTCTTAGAACGAGACGACCCTGAGTGGGTGCTATCCTGTAGAAATGTCTCGTCGTTGTCGAGCCCTGATGCAGACATGCGCATCCTTGCAATTTGCGATATGCACTGTAAAACGGGACCCCAGCTTTCACCGAGATATTCTCCGTCCGTCACCGCTACGTTAATCAGCGTTCGAATGATTTCAATATTCTTGCCTTTCAATTCCTTGACGGATCCAAGGTACGTAAATTTCGCAAGAGAGCCCAAAAATGTGTCCCGGGCAAGAGACATATTATTATGGGCTGAGACTCGAATTGCATAGACAAATCCATTAAGGCTGACTGCAATTGCTCGATCATCGTTCGAGATCTCCATGACCTGTGATAAAGTTCCAAGAATAGCACCCCAGGTCACATCAAACATAGGCTTGACCACCAGCGCGGGATCAACAGCATCTGTCAGACTTTCTGCCTTTGCACTCCGTCCCTTTTTCCGTCTGATTAGTAACTCTGTGGCCATAATCATGTCCTCTCGTTCTTTCTTGAACTTCGCCTTTTTTCGCTCCTCGGCCGTCGTCCCCCCGATCAACCCCGCACCAAGAAGTCCACCATTGTCTCCGAGTAATTGCGTAGGTGCCTCCGCAGCTTTTTCTCTCGCAACATCGTCCTCCTTGAGAGAAAATGGTTTTTCTTTAATGCGGTCAAAAATTGCGGTGAGGAATTCTGGGTCGAGGTCTGTTCCATTCGCGCCTATACCGCGGTTGTTTCGAAGAAATGATTCAATAGTCATGCGTCGCTCTGGTTTAATGGAAGGATTGTGAAGATCCGTGTTAAGCATAATTACAGAGAACGCCAAAATGAAAGCTGTGTCCGCTGAGGCAAAGACGTCTGGGTTCTGGAAGGTGTACCGCTCGGCAAATTTTTCCATAATCCGGTCAATCTTTTGGGCCTCACCCGGCAATCGGAAGCCCGACAAAAACAGCCGAATAGCCTCGGCAAAAAACATGTCAGTAAAGTCAAGGCACATCGTGTAGTGGTGCAGTATCCGGCAAAAAAATCCAGGCCCGCCTTTTTCGGGGTCGAGGTCTGGTTGGCCCTTGATGAATGGCGCATCAGGCTCCCGGCCCAGTACTTCTCCCATTTGGGTCTTGTCGAGGCGATCCTTGTTGACCAAGAAGAATTGCGCAATATCGTTGGCATCACACGTGACAAACCCATTGTCGATGAAGAATTTTAAGCCCTTCTTCACATCCATCGTAAACTTAACGACGCCAAGTTCAAGATTTTGTTCGGCATTCCGTTTCTTTTCAAAAAAACCAAGAATGGTACCGGTAAGGTCTTCAGGGTCGGCTGTTTTGGATTCAGATTGTCGCCGAGTGTCATTTTCTATCGCGGTCGGGTTTTCCACGTTTTGGTAGTCAGAAGACAAGCTATTCTCGCCCGACTCGTCCCCGATCGCACTAGTCCCGTTTTCTGTTGCGAGTTTGCTATGAGGAGAAAGGGCCGAGGTTTTGAAGTCCAAGTTCTTTTGCCGGTATTTCGCAAAATTTGCAGCACGTCGTGTGGGAGAAATCATGACTTCTTCAATGTGTAAGTCTTTGCGAATTTTCTTCCCGGCCGTGTCGATGATCTCTTCGTCGTTGGTTTCAACGTCCTGGGCCTTCAAGAAAGTTTGTAGGATGGTGACCAAGACCTCACTTCCGGCAAGACTGAGTTCGGCCTGTTTTTCGGCCTCTTTTTGCTTGGACCGCCCCCCAGCAGCGCTTGTGAACGACGCAATGGTCGACCTAGCGCAAAGCTGGGCAAGGTGAAATACAACATCTTTATAGAGATTCATCGAGTCGAAGTCGCAGTCGTAGTTCAAAAATATCTGAGAGAGTAGAAAGGGATCGTTGCACAGGGACCGCAAGGATTCTAGGGCCACCGCCTTTTGAGTGTAAGACGAGTTTTCCGACTCGAGGACCCTGAAGAACACGTTGGTCATGAATGCTTCGATTTCGTCCTTGATATGGTTCTTGAACTTGTACGCAAGAATGATAAATAGCTGCTGGCTGACGTAGGCCACCTGGGTGCACTGGGACATACAGTTTTTGAATAGGGCGATGCTTCCGTTCTGTGACTGCACCAGTTGGATGAACTTGTCCCCGTTGCAAAACTTTGGTCCTGCACATTCGAATGCCTGCAGCTGAAGCTCCAGACTCAGAATTTTGTTGTGTAGTGACAGAGAATCCACTGTGTCGGCAGATTCCCAGGAGAAATACGATTTTGGGGCCTTCGTGGTACTACTCTTCTCGTCAAGTCCATCGATTTCCTTCGAACTAAGCTTGACAAAGGATCTGAGCATGTAGTAGCAGTCCGTGTACCACAAACTTTTCGAAACATTGCTTTCGTGGCAACTCTCGAGCCGTTGTACGTAGTAGTCAACGATGTCCAAGAGGGCTTCCTTGGATGCCTTGCGACACGGTTCGTAATCTGTCACCAGATAAGAGTGAAAAGCGATTCGGATTCCAAATAGCATGCTTGCCTCGTGGATCCCACATCGAGGAGACGTCATGACGGCCTTTGTGCAACGAGCAACGTGGGACAAGATTGCCGGCAATTTCTGGGCAACGTTGCTACATTCGTGCAGGGCCTCCAAGAGCCGGTGCATTGTCGACGGTGCTTGTTTGGTATCGGTATGCTCCTCCTGGGGATGTTGATTCTTGCGGCTTCTTGCTGCCAAAGCTGCAGATCCCGAAGCCGAGTCGTCGTCTTTACCACCTGCACGACCACTCACATATTCCCGAACCACCAGCTGTTCGATACACAATAGAGCCTGCTCACAAGCAGCCTTGCTGCTGGATTTTCCCATCGCCGGATGTGTGATCGTCATCCTGTAGGCATCGAGCGCTACTGAGACAGCCTTGTGCATGGGCATGCGCGTCAGCGGATCGTCAAAGGGAACATCAGTGTCGGCATCAAGACTGCTGCTTTTATGTGTGTTCTCGCCATCGGCAGTAGTCGACATACTCTCCTCCGTTGCTTGTGTTACGGCAGTGGCATCTTCGTCGCCTAAATCTGGATCCTGCTCTTCGTGGATCGATCTACCATTAACATCATTTTCATCGTCATCACGATCGGCGCTGTTGCTATTTCCATTTTCTTCTACCGGTGTGCAGTATTGAAATTCCTGCAACAGTTGAATTGCCTCTGTCAGCTTCACTTGCAGTTCCTATGAGTTGCATGTTTCCCGCCCAACAAAAATACACAATTCATTGACAAACAAATTCAATGCAAATCATCCGATATCATCCAAAAAATCACAAAAACCACAGAAAATCAATACAGACATGATATCATTATCGTGAGAACCATTGTATTATTCTCTTGCATCGCTTGGTGTTAACAATTGAACACCGACAGCTGTTCCTATACACTAGACTTTCGATATCCATCCAATCGAAAAGAAATGAAAAAATCCAAACAAACAAACAAATAACCGCAACCAAAAAAACGAAACAAAACAAAACGCACCTTGAATTTTCGTCCCTTCAGGTCTTTTTGTATCTTTACAGTGGATGGGAGTATCATGGAATGGATGAAGTGATAGTGCGGTGTGTTGTCATTCCTTGGTGACTCGGTCATTATGTTGTCTTTCGTCTTGTCGGCGGCAACCGCCGCGGCAATTTCCGACGTTTTAGGAGTCGACGTCGAAAAAAAGGACGACATGTATGTGTTTTTTCTTTCGAATCGGGCCTCTTATAAGTAAAGCACCGACGGTCGCAACGCTCTTGATATATCGAATCTATTCGATTCGGTCCAATAAAATTCGATTCGATCGATGGCAGTCGTAATCAGCGCAGATTCAATCTCTTGGTCAGGCCTATTGGGTCAATCCGGGCTTTTTTCCTTCTCTTTTCTGGTTTCCACCTTGCTAAACGGAAGGGCTTCCTCTCGTTCTTCGTATTGACAACKGTAGCGACCCGTTAATGCAATGCGATTGCTTTGCGTTCTAATTCCTTTCGAAGTGTTGTCTAGGCTCGATAGGACTGTTCGTAAATATCTAGAGGAGGTTGCATCAAAACAATCTCCGCGTTTCTTCTGCCCGATACGACAGAGTGCTGTAGAGTCCGACTACGGTGTCCACGTATTTACTGTAAAAGTTTCGCACAATAGTTGTCGAAGGCATGGACATGAATCATGGTCTCATCTTGGCTAGCTTTTACTAGCACGACTTTCGGTCATAGCATGCGATTTTGATTTTTTGAGCGATGCAGATTCTTTTGTAACGTACCGTACGAACCGTACCGTAGCGTAGGGTACATCATGTACTACGTACTAATACTACCGCTGTAGAGAGCTGTTCGGAATTGTAATTTTGTAATTTTACTTTCAATTTTGAGTCACGAGTCCAGAACGCTAGAACCAATGACCATAACTTTACGGTCGTACAACCATTACTAACGATACCGAGTACAGTACTACCGTACTATCTCCGCACTCCGCGCTCTAGGTGCGTTTCGTTCCGTACTGCCCAGTAGTACCTATGTACGGTAGTATCATAGCGTCCAAGAGTGGTAGGGTCTAGGATATCTAGGATATACATATGATACATATGATATTGAATGAGTGAATCCAACGGTGACGGTGACACTGCTAACAAACGCAACCCCGCAGTTGATGGATTGCACTTACAGAAAAGATTTTGTGGGATTCGAGTAGGAGGATTTGAATTTCAGGGTTTCAGGGTAGTTCATCACTGTAAACCTCAGCACCGTAAACCACAGGACATTGATTCCATTGACGCCCCCACACCGTCATGATATGAATGTCACGGGCAGGTCATCCGCAATCCTACTCCCGCGGACGAGGAATAGCAACTGCAGCAGGTGGCCGCTGCGTCCCTCCGGCAGCGAAAGACGACGCCTTCGTGGAGAAAGAGGCGAATATTCCCACACTGTACAAACCACCGCAAGCTGCTGGTACCATCGTTCCAGTTACAGCTATGATCAACACTATCGCAATCCTTACACTTCGGTGGTTCTGTCCAACGTTTATCCCGATGTGAGCGCTTCGGCGGCTTGCGTCCGAACCAACTCGATTGTGCATGGATTGGCGGCACTGGGAACCAAGAAACAAAAAAAGATTCCTAGAGTTACTAATAGCTACATGGATGGACCGACACCATCAATAGACGGTAACGACTGTGATGACGATCGGGAACAGCGTACTATTTCCGGAACAATCAATCCGAATCGCGTCTATTACGCGACTTCGGTTGATCTCCAAGGAAAAGACAAAAATCCCTTTGGAACCAATCCTGCCATTCGTATGATGCACCTTCCACCAAATCAGTCGGATCGAATGGAAACCCTCGTGGCAGCGATCACCGATGAGAAAAAAATGAAATTGGTCACTGATGCTTTTGATGACAATCAAAATACTGCCAACCAAAACACCAGTTTCCACCTTGACGATGATGATGATGACGACCAGAACGACGCGTGCATTGAAAACAATGGAGATCATTGTAAAAACGACAAATACAATTACAATTACTTCGATGCCAACACAACCGTCGACCGCAACACCGTTGATCTGGTGGTATTCGATCGATTTTTCATGGAAGAGGCCCATTCCTTTCGGTTTCGACAACAATTTCCTTCCGCGGCCCTGGTATTGGACATGCAAGACATGCATTCCTTGAGATGGAGCCGGCAGAAAATCGTCCAAGAGTGGGACAAAAAAGAACGCCAACAAAAGCTTCAAAATCGCGATCCATTCGGATGCCTGCCAGAGGTCCTTAACTGTCTTCCATCGATGGACAAAGCCGACAGAGACGATCATGCTCGACTGATTCGGGAACTGGCGAGCATTCACCGATCAGACCTAGTACTGGTCTGTTCCCCGGTAGAATTGAAGCTACTCACCACCGTATACAAGGTTCCGAAACAAAAACTCTGTCTGGCGTCTTTTTTCGTCGCACCCCCTCCGGAGGAATCCGATGCAAACATAAACCGATGCTATTTCGAGAACTATCTCTCCTCGCCGCCGCCACCAAACACAATACAGCCCCGCTTTGTCTTTTGCGGCGGCTTTAAGCACGAACCAAACGCTGATGCCGTTCGTATTCTGATTGACTTTGTATGGCCTAGGGTGAGGAAACAACTCCCCGAGGCAACCCTTCACATCTATGGGGCATTTTGTCCCGATCATCTCCTCCAAATCAATGACAGAAACAAGAGCAAGAACAAAACAAGCAGCACCCGAGGGATCACAGTCTACGGGTTCGAACCTGATCTGGCGAAAATATTTGGCGCCAACAGCAGCAGAAACAGCATATTGTTGGCACCGCTGAGGTTCGGTGCGGGGATCAAAGGGAAAATCATCGACGCGTGGACCTTTGGGATGCCCGTCGTAACGACGCCCATCGGAAGCGAGGGCATGACTATGACCAAGAGAGAGGAGATGGCACCAAACTCGGATCCGTTGTTCGGTGGACGCATCGCATCCACTTTGGAAGAATTTTGCGCCAACGCCATCGAATTGGCCACTGATCCAGTGGCGCGCGAAGAGGCAAAGACCAATGGGCGGTTTCTCCTGGCGAATTTGTTTGCGGCATCCCAGAACTGGGAGTGTGTAGAAAACAGACTTCTGGAGATCCTACAGAAAAATAGCGATGGCGGTGAGGTTTTGTCAGAGCAGCGCAGGGGAGATTACACGCAAGCTATGCTCTGGCACCAGTCGCTGCGCAGCACGGAATACTTTTCGCGATGGGTCGAGCTAAAAGAAAGTATCCGACGAACGGAAAAGGAAAGTTGACATGAAAAAACAGGCAACAATCAACAACAAGCGAAGGCTTAAAATGAGGAAACATCTGTATGCTTTGAACATTTGGACTTCATCCAATATCACGTAATAGACCTTCTTCTGCATATGTGCCTTCAGCAGCGCATGTACTAAAAGATGAGGACAAGTCGATCACCGATCATGCTTTCTGATCATGAGAAAGCATGTAAAAGAAATTCTACGCTCCAATTATCGTCAGTACCCGAAAACAAAATTCGTAAAATTGACTGATAAACAGCAGTTGTTGAAGAAGACAAAGCAAAGCAATTGATGAAACCAAAAATTTAGCCGTAGGCATTTTCACAAGGCCTCGCGAATCTGAGAAGATGAAATATGCTTTCAAACTTCTGAGCATATTGCCAAGTAAATTTGATTGTCGCTGCTCCCAAGCACACTTTGGAAATAAAATAATATTGACCAATATGACAGAAAAGTTACTGGCTCTCTCTCAATTTTTTTCGTTCTAGTTCTTCTTTGGAAATGAATGATGAAAATAAGGCATTCAAATAATAGTAGCACTGAAAAGAGACATAATGTCCATATGAAGCAATTGACTTTTTGAATAGCTTTGTCTTGCTTTTTCCTGGAGTCATGTTTTGTAAGTGGTGGTATTTCCCAAGGAAGAAGTGGCAATGAGATGACTATCATGAAGATTTTGTGGAATTCCAAAAAATGTTGTTTTTCTTGCAAAACATGTTGTGGAGGTTGTCAAGTTCTCTTACTATGGTCCTGCTAGGAGTATTGTACTGACTAGTATGAGCACAATAATTGGTAGTACTAGTAGATGCATGATTTTGTGAAGCAGAACGACAGTGCTACTATCTACTTCTTGCTAAACAGTGAATCTGTCCAACCACATTTTTTGAGCTGTAGTAGACTGTACATAGCAGATGAAATACATGCAAAATGAGCAAAGCAAAATTTTTCATGCACCATACCACTGCATGATACATAATCTTTTCAAAATAGTATGAAATTAATACCACTACTACTACTACTACTACTACTACTAGTAATTGTAGTATTATAGAGTTTGGACCAGCAGGTGTTTCCTGTGTGTGGTGTCTTCTTCTACCAGTACTACTACCTAGTCTCAATATTTTGTAGGTGCTGCCCCTTCAAGCAATTATAAAGAAAAACACTGTTCTTCCTCCCATAGCAATGGTTCTGCTGACTTCCCTACTATCATTGCCCCTTTTTGTACTACTACTAGTTCCTCACCATGTTAAGCATAATATTTGTCATTTCTTCTTGCTTTTAGTATTCTTTTTGTCCTCAACTAACACTGAACAGTGGTGGTGATAAAAAAAAAAGTATAGAGGAAGCCAACACCAACCATCATACTATGCTGGGGCAGAAGTGTGCTCCTGTGGGTAAGACATGTTAAGCTCCTGCTAGTTTTAGTAGTACAGTTTCTTATTTTAGTAAAACTGAAAGCCTACTGCTATGCATGACACTAAGAAGTCACCCAAAAACCCATTTTGAGCAAGATTTATCTGGACATGACACTACAGATTGGTTGCAGTAAGTATTAGTAGCAGTACTACTAATACTAATACTATTAGTTGTAATAATACCACCAGTTTTGTTTAGTGTTCTCTTGATACTAGTAGTAGTTACATTGCATTTGATACCACTATTACTTTCATTTTATCTTTTAGACTTAGTTAGAGAGAGATCATACTGCTGCCACCAAGTAAATAGTAGCTGGTAATATGTCCACAGCAGCACTGCTATTATTTATCTTAATCAGCAATACCAATCAGATCAGTTTACCAGTACTACCAAAACAGATGGATTTTGGTTTCTGGTGGTGGTATGGCTTTAAATAACAAATCAAGTTTCTTGACGGAAGAAAAAGTTACTATTTGGGCCTGGCTAGTAGTTACATTTCCAATCTTTTGATGTCCTCCTCCTCTGGTACTGTCCACCAATGTACTTGTACAACTAATACTAGTACTACTCCTAGTAGTAGTACGCCTGCTTAGTAGCAACCATGACAATCCATAGTAGTAGGATGTTGATTGAACAGAAGGCCATAATTAGTACTAGTAGTCGTTGGTTGAAGAGGATTTATTCAAGAGGAGGAGCATATGTTTGAAAAGGTTTTAACAATCATCCTTTAACCATCATCCTAAAACAGGTTCCTTTGCATGGTGGTAGCCAATAGCAATATTTTTACAAGAAGGCTTGTGAAAGAAGAAATGTTAAAAATAAACTACCATCAATGCAGCCCACCACCACTCGGTAATATTAGTTATTACTAATAGTAGAAAGTCATCTATATTTTAATATTTTTGTCAAGCTACTAGCAGCCACCAGTGTGAGTAGCAGCAGGGTGGGAAGAAATTTTGGTCATGGTTATCATATATTGTGCTTTTCTTCATTAATCACAGTTTTCATGTAGTATTTTTTCACATGATACTACCACCTGGTTTTATTTCTTCCCCAACCTCCCAAGAAAGGATATGGAATTTAATTTTTGATAGCAATACTATCATCATGTGCTACACTGTACTATTACATCTCCCCTTCCTATCACTACTTCTTGCACTTTTACTAGCAGGGAGGTACTAGATGCTGATTATTAATGTTTCTTTCTTGTTTCTGATTTTTTGCACCTTGTTTGTAATTTACAGCGCGACCCCAAAAACATTAACACTGAATTTTGGTCGGTTACTACTACTAGGAGATTTGCAGATTGCCATCAATAGTACTTTCAAACAGTTGTAGTATGAGGAGGCAGCATGTCAGTCATACTAGTAGTACAAAGTACTAGCTAGTACTACTATGTCAACAATTGACACAATGGTGGTTCTGTTGTGGGCAACAACAAGATGGCATAGTAGTAATTTTCTTTGGATACTGCTACTAGCATCAGTATCAACAACAATAAAAACTACTACCAGTAGTAGCAGTATTGACAATGAGATAATGATTTTTCTCCTGCTGGTATTTGTTGTTGTGATCCGTGTACTAGTACTAGTAGTAGTATTTAGAATAGAACCACCACTAGTAGCTACTACTGGTACTAGTATCACTATCACTATACTATCATAAATCTCATGAACTCCTACTGGTGCCACCAATCATTGCTTCTTAAAAGTTGGTTATCTTTGTTTTTTTCTGAATTATTGGCTTGTTTAACTTCTGCAAGGTTCAAGCAGACTGCTTTAACACTGCTACTAATAGTACTAGTGGTAGTAGTAGTTTCATCACTACTGGTGATACTAGCTAGATATCACTAAATTTTAATTTTTGTGAGATTGAGAAGCAAAAAAAACACTGTGATCCATTACACTGCTATTACAATTATCAAATCATTGCCATTCTCTTCTCATTGCTAGTAGTGTACTATTCTGGTAATGTGGTAAGAACTTGTTGAAACCTGCAAAACCTTTTGTACAATACACATGTTACAAGAATGTCAGATGTGTTCAATATTTTCTTGTTGACTGCTGACTTTCTATTTCCATCTACTAATAAATTTACCTCAAGATGGAATACTCTGTCCCTTAATTTGACTTCACTTCTTAGTAGGTAATTATAGTGACCTTAAGCATGAACATTATGATGGATTTTACTAGTATCAATGATGAAATGAGGTAAATTCTACTGAAACTTGGTTGGTGATGTCTCCTTTTCTTCATTTGCTGGCATGTTCTGCTTTCTCCACAGTTCTACTACTACTACTACTACTACTACTACTACTACTACTACTACTACTACTACTACTACTACTACTACTACTACTACTAGATAGTAGTAGTATAATAGGTGCCCACCTCTGAAAAGTAGGGCAATATAGCTTGTGTTTCATTCATAACAAGGACCAAAAGAAGGGCTTCCTGTGTTAACCCTACAAAAATTGGTTGCTAAGGTAACTACTAGTGATACACTAAAATTGAAAGACTAAAATATGCTCAATAAGAAACAGAGGCAAATGAGATATGGAATGTTCAAAAATGGTACTACTAGTTGACAATCTGAAGACCTTCATTTGCCATATATTTGACTTTATTAACTTTCTGGCCTTACTCATGGCTGGATAACTAGTGTGAAATCATTAGTTTAGTGCAGTGAAGTAACTTCTTACAGTAAATATTAAAAATATACAAACTGCATGAAGTATCACACATCGTATTTTGCACTAGTACTGATATTCCTTCAAACCCTGTGTCAATGGCAGTAGGTCTGACCTTTCCAAGAGTTTTCCTTTGATCAAAACACAACTAGTACTATTTTAATTGTAGTTGTTGGAGTATCACAATAATGATATATCTTCGGAGTCCTATTCGTACAAACATTCTTGCAATGGTTCTACATCATACCGATCAGGACAAAGATTTCGCACACTCACTTTTGAATAGTTGCTACCAGAAAAACCTACGTAATTTCTAGCAGTATTTATGCGTGGTTGTTTTCTTTGGTTTTACACTTCATCGTTTCTGAGGTTGGCCTTTGCCAGATTATGGATTTCCTTTTGCAGGGTTTCGTTGACTTGCTTCATGGTGTCCAGTTGCATCTCCTTGGCACTGACATAGTCGGTCATCTCTGACAGCAGGCGTTCGAGTTCCGTCGTGCGCTCCAACACACGCCGGGTTTCTCGGTTGTCCATTCCCGTAGACATCTCCTCAGCCGCCTTGGCCTGTTCATACGAGATCCGATACTGCTGTGCCTCTTCTAGGGCCTTTCGCTTTTGTGCCCGCAGCAGCTCGGTTTCTTGCACAAGAGATTCATGATCGGCCAGAACCTTTTCGATGTCTCTCATGCTCCTTCCACCCCTGCAGAGCCGTGCGACTTCCTTCGAAAGACTCTCGTTTTTTTTCTTAAAATTGTTGCGCTCCCCCTTCAATTGCTGGTTAGTCTTTTGAGTTGCCTCGAGCTGACTCTGGCAGGAGGACGCCTTTTCTTGTTCTGTATGGATTCGGATCTTCATGCTTTGAATGGTGTGCAGGGCAGCATCCAATTCTTCACGGCACTTAGTTTCTGCGGTTGCCTTGCTCTCGAAATCACGTTGCAGGTTTTCATACCGACGGTTGGATTCCTCTACTTGTAGTTTCAGGGGTTCTTGCTGTGCGACCTTTTCGGAGAGTTCGATATTTGAGGCTTGCAATTCCTCCAGCTTTACCAGCTTGGATTCCCGTGCCTCTACCGTCGCTCCGAGGACGGCCTTCTCGTTTTGCAGGGCACGATTGAGCTTCTCGAGCTCCACTATTTTTTCGCTTCGTCTCAGAAGCTCTCCCTGGAGGCTGTCCATGGAAACCTTGTGGTTTGTCTCGAGTTTTTGGGTTGCCTCGTGCTGGGATTGCATGCTTCGTTCGACGTGTCGCTTGGAAATCAGAATACGTTCACAATCCTCTTGGGAATGCTTCAGCTCCTGTCTGGCATTGGACAGAGCCTCCATGGATTGCTGGTGGGCACGTTCGGAGGATTGGACCCGTCGCTGGAGCTCCGTTACAATCTTGTCTTTGCGCGAAAGCTGGGCACGAAGCATTTGCATTTCGCGTTGGAGTTCCCGAACCCGACCAGAATGATCTACCACAGGAGGAAACGCTAGAGCCTGCTGTATGCCATCGGTTCCTTGCGGAATGCTGTTGCTGTCATTGTCATCCGGGAGGCTCGAATGGCAGCTAATTGGTGATAGCACTTGGTTTGTATCGCCAGTGACGCCCGACGCTGGGGTCGGAGATAGCATCAGGTTTCCCGACAAGGGTTGCCTGCGCTCTCCAACACCAGGGCTAATCGTGACGAGGGAATCATCGATGCCTGATTCATTGTTTGATCCTAGTGACTTTGGTGATGTGGTCTTTTCGTTTTGGGCATTGGGTATTGAAAGTGGACTACCAGTGGTAGGTGGCGTATGCTTCTGCCGCAACGAAACAAGCGAGTTCGTTTCAAATGCAACGTCATCCCGGTACAAGATCTTTTTGTTGTCCAGCTGGGAAGCCTTTCCCTGGTAATTAGCAATCCCCAGGGCCAGCAAGAAAGATTCCCGTGTCATTCGATTGGGTGCCTCCAGTTCGAGACGGTGAATGCCCCCCGTCTCGGCACAGGAAGGGTGATCCACGACGCAAAAGTCCGACAGAAAGTCGAGGGTGGTCATAGTGGAAGAAGGACCCTCCTCGCTGGTTCTCGGTGGTGGAATATCCGGAAAAAGCAAATCTACGTGCCTGGAGTTGGTTGGGCTCGCCCGCGCTGTGACCTGCAAGAGGGGAACATCGGTCAGCTGAAGATATTCTTCGCCGGGCGATGACCGGCAGTAGACTTTGACGGAGCTCATTGCCACGCTGCGTCGGTGCTTCGGAAGACCATGCTGTCTATTGCCGTTGCTTGCATTTGTGTCACAGGATACAAACTTTCGAACCGCCGAAATCTCGACCCGGAAGGTTTTTCCGCAGGCCAGGGTCGCAGTGGCCGGTGTCGTGTTGACACATCCCTCGCCACCACCTCGGCCCAAAAGGTTTCCGAATTTGGCACTTGCTTGCTTTCGCATAGCCTGTTTGGCACCATTAAAAAGAATCATATCGGCCTGGATTGGAATAACAGAGTCGCAGACGATTTTCTCCACGCCTTCTTGTGTGTTGTTGCCACGGATCTCGTTGTCATAGTGCTCCTCATAGTCGTCACCAAAGAGGGAAAGATTGTTTACATTGATCTCGTCATCGGCATCCATTATGGCATTCGCATTGTCATTAGACGAGGAATCGTCAGCATTCGATGGGTTTGTCTCATCGTCTGTTTCGTCCTGGGAAGTTCCAAGAATTGGGCGAACCGTGACAATGCAGCGCAGTTTCTTGCCCACCAGGGTTGTGTTCGGCTGAAACGTGGGACCAGTGGCCCCCTTCAGTGGGATCCATCTTATGTTGTTGTTATTGTTATCTTTGTTTGTCCGGGTGGTAGTGGTAGCTTTGGTATGATTGGCGGTTGAGGCTAGAGATATGGTATGGTGGGTCACCCCGGCGGTCGACATTGAAAAGGAGGAGCAAGTGTAGGATGAAGACGAAGACGAGGAGCAAGACGACGACGAACTGTAGGAAGATATGGATCCCGTGGACGAGTGAGTCCTCCGACTGCTATGGGAAGATTCTCCAATCGAATCGTCGGTATCTGCGAGATAGGAGTTCGACAGTAAACGATGATTGTGCTTCGTCTTGGGTGTTGACAAGGATTGATACCATTGGAATGAATAACGCACGTTGTTGTGCGTATCACGCCCAATGGCACAGGCTTCGGTGGCCGATTTTCGAATGCAAAAAAGGGAGGATGTGTTGATGGCCTGAAGATGTTGTGCTTTGATGCTGCTCTGACCGGTGTTCTTCGAAATCGGAAAATAAGCCCCGACGTTCGTCTGTAGGTACATATCGCAGCATTGTTGTTGTTGTTTCTGTTGCTTGAGAGATTTGAGAACCGAAGTGGACGGCTTTTGTTGCTGGTGGTGGTGGTGCCTCTTTTGCTGCGCCGCTATTGCCTCACCGGTTGTTGCCAGGAGTTTTTCTGACTGTGCTTTCATTCTCATCCCCCATGCGCTCAGGGCAAACATTCCCGACGAAAACTTGTTTGAGTCGTTCGTGCCAACAGCAGAAGAATCCTCATTGTGATGGTGGTCCAGTGCCGAGTTTATAGATTTGGTGTGCTCCTTGGAGGGTGTGGATTGCCTCTTTTCCAGATAAGATGACGGTGCCGAGGACGACGACGAGGCTGCGTTGGCCGGTGTCGCTGTTGTCGAAGCTTCGATGTTCTTGTCTGTCTCTGTTGATGAAGTTCGGAACAGATTCTTGGGTTCTATTAGCTTGTTGTTGGTATCACCATCAACCGCACAGACACTTCGACGATTCTCTGTCTTGGGTGTTGCAATGCTGCTAGAGCTCAAATCAGCGTGCGTCTTCGTCATTTCAGAGCCGTCTCCGCCATCTTCTTTCTTTTCCTCGTGAATAACACTTAGGTCGATATCCTCCATCGTCGACGCTTCGTCTTCGTCATCGCCGACAACTTCGTTTTGTTTCATTTCTTCTCCACCGACTGGTAAAGGTGTCTCGACTTCTTGTCTAACTGGTTTGAATCCTAGCTTCATCGGCGTCGTTGCTTCGCGAAGCGCGGCCAATAGATCCGTAAAATCTGCCGTCTCAAGGACTTCGATACCGTTCAGGTATTCCAGCACGAGTCCTTCGAACCGTCCGTCTTCGGGATACGAGGCAACGACGGCACCCTTGCCTTCCTCCTCGACATAGGGCATCAGAACGAGCTTCGTCTGTAAATCAACAAAGTCGTCAAAGAACAAACAAAAACCGTTACCGCCAGAGGATCGAGAGCTGTCGCTGCGAGTGCTATTGTCACTAGAAACAGTCGAAGCCGACGAACACACGGAATTGGTGTCAACATCTTCTTTGGTGGAAAATGACGCCTCCTCTTGTTGTTGTTGTTGTGTTTGTGTCTGGTTCGTTCCCCCGCAGTTGCTGTCGTTCTCGGCGATATGTGTTGTGTCATCTTGCTTTAAGTGTGTTTCGGCAACTTCTTGCCCTGCATGATCCTCTCCCGGATCTGTTTCGGCAGTTTCTTGCGCTGCATGGTCCTGTTCTATATCGGTTGCGGCAACGTCTTGTATCGAATCCTCTATTTGTGTGACGGTTTCCAAGCTCTCTCGTCTTGGATCCTCTATTTTGGTATCCGTATCTGTATCGACAACGTCTTGCGCTGGATCCATTTTTTGGGCATCGACTTCCGAAGCATCTCGCGCTGGATCCTGTTTCTCTGTATCGGAATCGTGTTCGGCCACCCGTTGTGTTAGCTCCCCGTCTTCCATTCCATCCTTTTCGGAACCATCGTTATCCTTCGGATCTTCTTTGCTTGCAACGGGGCCTTCTCGCATTGGATCGTCATCTTTGGTATCTGTTTCGGCAACCCCTTCCTTGCCTGGATTCTCGTTTGTGGTCTCCGAATCGTCAACGTCGGTAGCTGCATTGGCTTCTTCGGTGTCTGCTACCGACGAGGGGTTTTCTTCGTCGGGGGTTGGCGGGTTCGATTCTTGCATCGTTGTCGTTGTCGTCGCCATCGGGGCTTCCTCGTCGTCTTCGATTACGACCTTGCCTACAGGGGAATGATCCGTCGCCGTTTCGTTCGGTTGGATCTCTTCGAGTTCGCCGGTTGGAATATCATCTGCGGAAAGCATTGCCGTGTGGAAAAGGAAGCCGTACCGATTCGGGATTCGAGTTATGCGGTCGTATCTGGTTTTGTTTTTCGTCGTCGTCGTCGTCTTCGTCGTTTTCAACAAAGCGGTTCTTATTGTCAAGCTGAAGGGTGTAGGGACGGTGCACAGCAACGACATGCAAATCGATGGCAGCTTCCGTGTTGTGTTTGGTGTTTCTCCCGATGGTGATGGATATGGATTTCACGCTTCACGCTTCACTCTTCGACCTGTCTTTTAGGAGAGTAGTTGTACGAGATGTACTTCAATTTTTTCTGGGTCGTTTTTCTTCGAATTTTGATTTTTGAACTAGTCCAAAAACCTCGTGCAAAAATCATTGCTAGCTCTCACGAAGTACCAGGTACAGTATCGTACGGAACTAGTTGTATCACGTAGTAGTGCCAATGTGCTAGGGTTCGGCTCCGCTTTGTACACGTGTTTTGTCCCGTAGGTTGTCCGTCCCCCGCGCCGCCCTCCTTTCCGATTCGGTTCCGTCGTTGCGGAAGTGCCATACGGTACAATATGGTACTGTAAGTACTATGATGCTATCCGGTACCAGTAGGATAGGACAGCGACCAATCGGCAACGAGAAGCACGCGAGGCAGGCCAAAAACAGATCGAACGACAACCCGAATCGTATTTGTCGTATCTGTACCAATGCGAATGTGCGTACTAGTACCCGTGCTTTACCGTCCGTTGCTGGCGCGGAGGAAGTCGTCAAGACCGGTACGAAATAGCTCAATAACATAGATACTAGATACGACATCTGGTCTCATACGATTGTATGGTAAGAAGATATGATTATGAGGTGGGATCGGATTTCCTTTGACTCGATAGACCAAAGTAGTATCTTTCGAAAGTCCGCGCGATTTTGAAAAAAAGAATGCAATTTCGACGCGCGGCTATTGTTTTTTTGTTTCGCGCCCAGAACCGCAGATACGTGCTGATCCCTCACCACACGTCACTCGTTGCAGTATGATGTCACGCAACGAAAGCTGACTCGGAAGAAATGATGTATTTGTGTTTCTTACGCCAAAAAGCATTCTGATCATTCCGGTTCGCAGGGTACGAGTACGTAGGATTGTTTGCCACTATCGTACGACTCACTCTGTGTTGGCATGGTTGGCCTAGATTGCGGTAAACGGGGGAGATGATTCACACACGGAACGTATTTGCGGTTTCATAGCCAAAAATAAGGTATCTTTCCCATCCGGTGGCTGGGATGGCTTCGAACGAGCCATGAGTGGTAGTCAGACGGCTCGCATCAGCTAACATTTTGATGGGCCACGGATAATTTATTCTGAGTGAGTCGTATCGGAGCGGCAAACAACACGAGATTGCATTCGGTATCCTTTCAGCCGCATCAAAATCGTGTGATCAATAGAATGGAATCCTTTCTCTCTTCCCCACCCTCTTTTCTCATAAAATCAAATTGAGAACAATCTTCAAAGTCTTCAAAATCTTCCAACAAACTATCCCAAAATGAAATTCGTTGCCACCACCATCCTTGCCCTTGCCGGATCCGCCGCCGCTTTCTCTCCTTTCGGAAAGAAGGCCGCCGCCCCCGCCGTTGCCGAGCCTGTTCCCGTCGTCGACACCCTTGTCGGTGCCCTCGAACCCGTCGGATTCTGGGATCCTCTCGGATTCGCCGCCAAGGCCGACGACAACACCCTTCGCCGATACCGCGAAGCCGAGCTCACCCACGGACGTGTTGCCAGTAAGTACACCAAATCGAAACGACGAGACACATCGAAACGCGCCGACTCTCATTGAATTTTGACGTATTTTGTTCGTTGAATTCTATAACGACCCTTTTTAGTGCTCGCCGCTGTTGGTTTCCTCGTTGGAGAAGCTGTTGAGGGATCCTCCTTCCTCTTCGATGCCCAGGTTTCTGGACCTGCCATCACCCACCTTTCCCAGGTCCCTGTCGGATTCTGGTTGGCCTTGACCATCTCCATTGGAGCTGCCGAACAAAAGCGTGCCACCATCGGATGGGTTGAGCCCGAAAACGTCCCAGTCGACCAACCTGGTCTTCTCCGTGAGGGATACCTTCCTGGAGACATTGGTTTCGACCCTCTCGGACTCAAGCCAGAAGACCCTGAGGAATTCCGTCTCATGCAGACCAAGGAACTCCAGAACGGACGTCTTGCTATGATCGCTACCGCCGGATTCATGGCCCAAGAGCTTGCCGACGGAAAGGGAATCATCGAACACTTCACCGCGTAAGGGAATCGAAGCAAAAGAAGATCAGCGCCCCATTCATTTATTTTATCACACAAAAAACACGGAACAGTAAATTCTCTCACAAACACACAACGGATCAGGTTCTGGTCGGGACAGATTCGCAACAATTTGAGCGACACTCTTATGTCGCCTTGATCGGCCACCACAATTTTTAGACCAGACGAACACAAGTAATCCCGAAGAACACTGCAGAAGGATGAACGCAAGTAACTCGAAATAGAAACCTCTTATCATCAACTCAACTTGATCGTATGATTTATGTAGAATGCTTTTCTCTTCCAGCCAATCATCCGTCACTTGAGAATACGAGAAAGAATTTTGAGATCGTATGAAATCTTCAGTTGAGGTACATTCTATCTAAAAAAAAAAGATCAACACTTGAAATATGTCTACAGCTATGTCTTGTTCTCATTTATTCTTGAGTTTTACTGATATTTTTTGAGCAACTCCAAATATGTTTCGGCGGCGTGTCTGCAATTGGCATACGCTACTATGGTATGGATGGCTAGTTTTTCGTACCCGATTCTAGGATGCTGAACTATTTGAATTCCCATGTACAAAAAGGTGGAATAACCCAGTATGGACCGCGTCGATGCGACCTCGTCGTATGCACTGTTAGTGTGCACGCTATCGGAAAAGGTCGACGCTCCGTCGATGTCGGGAATGTCGAGCCGCGAAAAGGGGTCTTTTTGGGAAAGACGGTGTTTGAACTCGGTAGCAAAGTCCCTAAAGCGAAGAAAGACACGGATGCGTTCGTCTTCTGTCCGGTCGTTCCGTTCGAGAATCGAAAACCGGGTCACGTGGAAGGTCGGTATCACGAGGTACTCTCGTTTATGGTCGTTTCTTTTTGTGTTCTCTTTTGTGCATTCGTCCTTTTTGTGTTTCGCCTGCTCTCTCTTTTCACGCTTTGCTTGGGATGCAATTTCGGGAAAGACCAATTCGATTTCACTGTTCAGAGTTCGTGGGAGACGGTGCAAAGATACTTCAAAGGAATCCGATGGATGTGGGGATGATTGGAATCCGTAGTCTTGTATGCAAGCACCGTCCTTTTCGACGGTAGAGTCTGTTGGGGTAGGGCTGTGGTAGTTGGCGAAAACATGCGGTGATAGAATCGTTCGTTCCTCACGTCGCTTTTGGAGGCCGGAGGATGGCATCCATAGACGATCTTTATCCATTCGTCTTCCTCTCGTTTTAATTGCACACTTGGTTGCGGTGTACGCGGCGCTTGAGTTGTTGTCGTTTGCTTTCCGAGGGCAAACCGTGAATACCAGAATGGCTGTAACACCAACAGCAACAACGCAATTCACAACTCTTGCGAAGTAACGACAACAAATTCAATTGTTGCACGAGAGAGTGTGACAACAGCAAGGATGATAGGATTGCTTTTGACCAATCATCCTTTTGCTTTCATCATCAATACTGCCATCGCTTAATGTCGATCACAGATCTTTATCCTGTACAATGGTGACTCAAATAGAACACGATTCCATTGATGGTAGCGAGCAAGAGTAAAATGAAATACCTGGCCGTGCTGTCCTGGGGGTACGACTACAACGGTAAAACAATTCTACAGACTACATGAGATTGCTGAAGTAGATACGTAGGGTATGGTACAGTACAGTACCGTACTGTACTTTTATTCCGACTTCCTGCATTCCGATTTTTCATCATTGAGTGAGTCAGTCGTGACTAGATAAATCGGGGTCCCGAATACGATGGACCACCATGAGATAGTGGAAGTTAGAACTACGTACAGTAGTACCGGTACGTGGCGGTCGCTCTTCGAACTTGTAATTCAAGGTACTTATACATACGGTACGTACCGTACGGCATACAAGGTACTGTAACGTACCATACCGACGGGCCAGTAAGTACGTAGTACTTTTACTGCTTACTGGTACTTTCAATCCATTCTACCATATTCTCTTTTCCCATTTCTCATCCATTTCGTACATTCGTACCATAGGTACCGCTAGGGAAATAGGGAGAACGGATGACTACGAACGCACTCCTACCGGTACGTACGTACTGTATGAGTCATGAATCGAAGAGACAGGGTGCGGTGACGACGATCAAATTTATGATGTGTACCTTGAACTCGTACGTACGAGTACCAGGTACCGTACTTTTTCGTTTGTGTGACCGGAATTGAAATCCTGTACATAGTAGAGTACGTAAGAGTACGTAAAGAAAAAAATCACAAGTACAGTACTGGTGTGTTCTGCATGTATGACCTCGTACAATTTGAACCCTTAGATAAAAAATAGGCCTATCATTGCCTTCTCTCGCGCAAGGATCAATTTTGTATTTTGTGACGTGCACGTCTCAATTTTTTATTTTTTCCACGATCGATCCGTTGGCACTCTCTCACGGTTGAAAAACGATACTGTAAAAACTTTTTACAGAGAAAACCTCAAGTGAAACACGTACTGTACAGCAATTGAAGTACAATAGCAGTTTTGCTATTCTCGATACTCGTTCTTGTTGCCGTAACGTTCCCATAAAGTTGCAAGCTACCAAACTTAAATCCACTTTGTGTGTCGACATCTTCACCTATTATTTCAAACGAACTAACCATGACGGGTGTAGAAGTTACGGAGAAGGACGCATCGCCCAAGAAAAAAGACACATCGCCGAAGAACAAGAAAGAAAAGTCGCCAAAGCTTTCGAAGAAGGATCGTAAGAATGATCTGTCCGACGATAGTAGTGTGTGCAGTAGCACGGGCGAGAAAGCCAAGAACTGGCTTGGACGAGAAGTAAAACGGCCTCGTGCAGAATACCAGGCCGAGATTGACGAACTGAAACTGAAGCTCGCGGCCCTCGAAACCGAGGTTCTGACCAAGACCAACCAACTTGATGCATTCCAGGATTGGATCCGTCAAATTCCCTCGGCATATCAGGAATCGGTTGAACTATAATACATAAATCCAGGACCAAATTAATAAACTCAACAGAGAGACCAAATAAAACATTTGCTTGAAGAGAAAAAGTCCAGGGTGAAGAGTCTCAACTTCATGTACATTGAGCAGCGAAGCAAATTGGCGTATGGCCTGTGTCACATAGGTGGCTATTGCTTTCGTTCCTTACCCGCCAATTTTAAAGATAGCAGTGCTCCATAACAAACGGCGATAGTATCATAATCAATAGCGGATCGTTACACTGTTGTATCTACTCTTTAAAATTTAGCAATATTAACGCCATGGAAATGAAAATAGTAGTCACACATGGAAGTATAGTCAATGACGTTGAAGCACTGCTACTCCCTCCCCCAAACCATTTGTTGAAAATATTCTTCGAAGATTCGACTGCTGTGGGTGGTGAAAGAGGGACAAATACAGGAGGTAGAGTGGGTGGTTCTACAGGTTGATTGGTGGTGGGAGATGGGGTCTCGATTACTTCATCTACTTCGTCTTCTGTGCTGGTTTCGTTAGAATCACTGGAGTCAGAAATCTCGAAGTCATCATCGTAGACGCTAGATTGATCCCTCGACGGTGCTTTGCAGGTTGTATCGAAGCTGTCTAGTATGTCTTCTCCCGCGCACGGAATAACTTCATCGTCTAGATCAAAAATATTTTCGAATACTCCTCTGTCGTAGCAAGTGTTGGAACTCACACACCATAAGCATTCCTCATTGTTTTTCTTGCACCCCTTACAGTTGCCATCAAACACGGAACATGGATCGATTGTTTGTGTAGGACGATCCGAAGGTGCATTTGTTGGTTGAGGGCTAATGGTAGGTTGGAACATTGTGACGTCGAAAGTGGGAAGGAAGGTGGGAAAAAAAGTTGGTGCTTCGGTTATCTCATCATTGTACGTGGGTGCTGGTGTGGGTGGAATATACCAGTCACCAAGGGCACGAGCTGAGTTGTGGTCCTGAGTGAGTCGAATTAACTCGCCGATACCCCACCAATCGTTGTAAACAAAGTTGATGTCGGTTCCTTGAATATCAGAACAGGTATCCACATAATCTTTAATTGCGTAATACTGGTTTAGCTGTTCTGCATGTCTTTTTGCGTTCACTTTCCCATATAGTTTGAAGTTTGCCGGTGATACATAATTAGACAAGCCCACGAGAGTGTTCTCATTGTAGTTATCAGGCCGCTGTAGTGCACAAGAACTTTCTCTGTCCTCTATTTCTGAAGGTAGGCGAAATTCACGATCAGTATTGTCCGAAACATAGTCTTTATAGTAGAGAAGTTGGTTAGGGCATGCACCAGGGTCCTCGTTGCAATTAGGGCCGTTCTTGTGAAACATTATGATACGCTAAGAGAAACAACAATGAGGTGACGAGGACAGCAGTTGCAGAAAGAATCTTACTTGATGGATATTGACTGCATATCCCATTGTACTGCACATATAAACAGAGAGGATTGAAATGGTATATCAAACGCACCTTATCATAGTTCCGGTCGGTGAGCTGCCTAAGGGTTGGCCAAGTACTGGAAGGTGAATCGTGAGTATATATCATGTTTGTTAAGCCACGAATTTGCATCAGATCGAAGTAAAATTCATTCAGATTGACTTCTCGACCCACATTACTTTGGAGCTGGAAGAAGAATACTACTACCTCCGTTGGGTTCAAATCCAAAAACTCCTTAAAATGTGCCATCGTGTTGACAACATCGCGTCTCGGTGCCTCATTGCAATTGCCTTCGAGAAAGAATCGAAGCAGATAGATCAGAAAACATCATAAGTTTGAATATAAATGGAAACTTTAGCACAATGGGGCTCATTCATCATCGGACAAGTACTTACCGTAACAGAAATAGAAATCCCCCGCACAGTTACAAACATCTAGCTCAAATGCACGATATCCAGCCTCTAAAGCTCTTTCGATTTCTAATTCTTTGTTTAACACAACATAGTTTCCAGAGTCAAACCGATTTAAAACATTGTGAAGTGTGGCAAAGAGAACTTCATTGACGCGAAGGTCACAAATATCTTCCAGTCCGTTGCAGCAGTCTAACTTGTGCCCGTAAACAGTCTCTCCCCGACATCGCATAAACTCAAAGGATGTGACCTCTGGTAGAAAGGGATCGTAGTTTGCAATCCTATTGGTGCCCGTGATGGGAGTTCCGTCCCCTAAGATGAGTTTCCATTCTTTGAGTTGTCCGGTGAAAAACTCATCATCACCAAATTTGATTCCACCTCCACATTCACAGCAAGATTCCTTTGCTGATACGACACCGTCACCAGATCCTTCGTCCAGTAATTTTTGATAGAGTTCCTGCTGCTCGTTGACGAGGTCATCGTTCATCGACCCATTGGAACAAAATCCACTTGATTTGAATTCCATACATGTCAAGGGAAGATCTAAGTTTGCGAATTCGGGCGCTACATTAATCGGTCGATTGAAGCACGTCACCCCGCCGTTCCCTGGTTTTGTATCGGTGATAGAGAGTTTCCATTCGCCATAAGGAACTTCACCCCAMGACCGTAACGTAAGAAATTCCAGCCATTCGTCATCTTCCAATTGATTGTGATGTGATCGTCCGCCAGGACTCAACAAAGAGGTGGTCCCTAAAGGAGACGTCAGTGTGATTCTAAGTTGCCCTCTGTATTTGTTGCAGTAGTACGAAATCGCAAGTCATTTTAAGAAAAACAATGCAGGTCAATGAACCAATTAGAGAAACAAGAATTTTTGTAAGCCAGTGGTGACAACGTAGGTCATACATTTTTTAGGCCTGCTCACAATGGTTGGATTGAAATCGATTGTGTAGGTACTCTATATGAATTCTCACTTACATGTTTGGATAATGCAGCTTTAGGTAAACACTGACCGACTCGAGAGCATCATCCTCTGTTTGACTGTTCAAGTTCGGGTTGACCATGATGGTACTCGTCGCAGTCGCCGTCGGATCGTCTACTATTTGCAAATTCACAGGCCCAGAACTTGCTGTGACTCCCAATTCGGGTGGAACGTGTACATCTTTGATTTTCCAATCCTCTGCCATGGCGACGGCTTCTGCCGCATCGATCAGCCCAAATCCGTACAGGTCTGAATATCCAACGCCTGCTGAGTTTAATCCAAAGGTGTAGTCATTGCTGTCATCGTTGTCGATGGGATTGGACGTTTTTGCAATAATGTACCGGACGTCTCTCCACGTCAAACCGGGATTCGCTTCTAGCATCAATGCGACGACTCCGCCAACCACGGGGGCTGCAAAGGATGTTCCGGTACCAATGGTAACACAGCTATCTCCATTTCCCTCAGTTCCTCCCGCACCAATGTGCTGGTATTTCGGTGTGTCGTAATCTCCACCCGGGGCCACGACAAAAATGGAGGATCCTCCTGTAGAATAGCTCGCATGGCTTGGTTTGAGAATGGTGTTGGTCTCGCCATCGGTCGAGTCGCCCTGAACTTCGGTCACTTTGACCGCACCCACCGTCATGGCATATCGGCTCTTGGCATAGGATTGAAAATTGCTGTTGTCACCATAACCATAGGAATTACCGGCCGCGAATATATAAATGATTCCCCTCCCAAACCGTCCGTCTTTCACCCCTTTCTCTAGGGCCTTGGCCACCGAATGCCCCACGCTGGTCTGAAAGTCGCAAGGCTTGTTTCCATTAAGCACATCAATCCAATCGGTGCAAAGAGATTCGTCCTTGCGAAAATTCCGCAAGCAATAGGTTCTTACACTTTCAGCACATACGTTTGAGACACCTGCCCCCGTGAAACTGCCGCTCCTACTCTCCTCAAGATTTACGGACTGGTCCTGGAGGCTGCCAAAGTTGTTTCTTGCGTTCTCGTTGTTGCTGTCTCTAACACTTTTGAAATCGGATGTTGTGCACACCTTGCAAGGGTCGTCGCCCGGGTTGTATTCGTCGTAGTAAAAATTGACAAACGGGCACCCTCCTATCTCTTGCTCGTTCAAAATGCGATCGCTCTGATCTTGTTGCTGCCGATGCTGCCGCCCATGCCGATTTTTTGTTCTTCTCCGCTGCCGATTTCTATCACCATTGCCCGTGGCAATGGTTTGTTCGTTCACTGCTTCCCCAAACATCGAGGTTCTCGGTTTGCACCCTTCTTGGGCAAAGGCGTTGACGGAAATATAAAAAAAATTCATGTTGTCGACCGCATCGTATTTTAATACGCTAGCATCKGTGTCTTTTCGAAAGTAGCAAAATGACAACTCCGTCTCGGGGGCAATTCCAACCCCGCAAAAATCGTTGGACCCATCGGCGGCAAGAATTGATGTGACCGCAGCGCCGTGGTTCAGAAACTTGTTCTTGTTGTCGCTGTCCCGAAACTTGCCTTCGGCCAGGGTGTTGTTTGTGGCACCGCACGAATAGTCATCGAGGGCGTTTTTGTTGTCCTTGATGAGTCGTTTTGGTTTCCATTCCTTGTGACCAGATTCCCAATCCTCGTCGTTGATTCGAATCTTTACCCCTCTCCCAGTGTAGCCCAATTTCCATGCGCCGGGAAGATTTATCGTTTCAAAAATCCAGGATTGGTCTCCATAGGAGGGCTCGAACCGATACGGACTTTGATTGTTGTTGCTATTTCTTTCTTGATGTTTAACTATCGGTGATGCGTCGACAACAACAATCGTTTTCGGAGCACTCGCGATTGACAAGAATAAAAATAAGCTGCAGTAGTAATAAAACGATAGTGATCGTCGTCCTGGAAGCTGGTCTCTTATTGTTGGTAATTGTGGACTAGTCACCTTCATTTTGTGGATAATGTCCAATGTGTCAATTGGTCTTATCAGGTTCCTTCGATCTTGGCTACTCGTAGTATTGGCATGCGATGATAGATTTATCGAAGGTTTATGAAGCAGCATGGAAGTGTACAGTACTCATACCTCGTGAAATTCCTGGCCCCAATGTGATCTGAGAATTATCATTACGATTGACGATTCATACGAAGAAATTTCCGCAGGTTGGTTGGCTTTAATAAAAAGTGTGGCGGAGGTGGAAAAGAGCGCTATGAAAGCAATCGTGGTATCCTTAAATGCTTGAAATCATTGATATTCCGAGAGAAGAACTCATTGTTTCTATTACTGGTACCGGTACAGTAAAATGTTTCCATTGTGAATCTATTTCTGTACAATGTGTACGGTTTTACGACGTACGCTGAGCAGGGTAGTTTTTGATCTCGTACTTCGAAATCTGTGGATTTACTCTACTACTCTACAGTACGTACGAGTAATAACGATACTTCTTCACTGCAGTTCCTAAAAATAAGAATAGTTATTAGGGAATTCGGTGGGTACGTACCGTAAGTACAGGCCGATTAGCTTCCTGTACAACACCTCGTATTGCATGTTGGTGATTCGAAGTGTCGTGTTTTTTGTCGTATGTTGGTTTTTCTGACCAAAAGTTCCAGGTTTCCGTTCGTCCATAGTCGCCAGAGATATCCTGACTTTCTGTTCGCAGCTTGTAAAAATTGATAAAAAAATAATGTTCTGAATCCGGAACCCATTTTTTTCATCCATTTGGTCCCTTACAGTACAATCATTCAAGAAATACCTCCGCCTTACTCATCTTATGAAATAAAGTCAAAGAGAATAGCGTTTTGTAACAAGTGTGAAGCTCTGGTCCAAAGACCAGTTGTCAGAAGAAATCGAGACGAATCGACGAATCATCTTCGATCGATCGATCGATCGACAAAAGAGACATGCTATGATGAATCGGAGAGGCAAAATGAAACATGTTGGGTGCCAGTGGTTATGCTTTTGCATGCGATCTCTAGTAGTTTCGATTGTCGTCGCAACGATGACTACAAAGTCCGGTATGGCTACAATGGAACACCAAATTTCCTTTTCGCACGAACACTCGGCAGAGGCACAGCATCGCTCGCATTCACCGGTGTCTTCTGTTTCTTATTTGGCAAGGGAAGAACCTACCAAACTTTCCTGGTCAAAACTCCACTCTCCTTCCTCCGTATTGTACTCTTCCAAAGACGACAAAAAGCTCGAGTTCTACAGGAAACAACGACTGTGCGAGATTGGTGGGTACATGTACCGAGAGGGTGAAACCGTTAGGACCTTCGAATTAAAGTGTGGTTCCGTCCGAGACTTTCCGTGCGTTTGTGCTCCCGATTTGGATCCGCCACTATGGTGTCCCTATTGCGGGATCTATTTGTCGCCAAAGTGGGCCAGTTCTGCTGCGAGTAGCGACAGCAACATAGAACGGCTAAGGATCAGTAACGCACCGGGGTTCTTTTGTCTCAAAGACGGGGAAACATCGGATCCGTTCGTTGGAATCGAAAGCGGTATTAGACAAGTCTGCTCTTGCGCTCTAACCGACGAAGGAAAACCAGTTTCAAAGTGCGACGTTGCAAGCCCTGAATTTGGCCACAATTCAGAGAAGAAAGAAGGAGGATATGATACACACACAAAAGGAAACGAAAGCGGTACCGGGGATAGCGGGAACGATACCGTTTCAAGTGCGATAGCGGAGGGGAACACTAGCGCACATTCGAATATGAGTTCTAATGCGAGCGCAAGTGCGAATGCTTATGGAAATGGAAATGGAAATGGATACGGTACGGGTGTGAACACTGCGGGTGAAACAGATTTGAACACAGACCCGGGAGGGACTCAACGACTAGCCAATCCGAATAACAAAGACAACAACAACGGCAAGAAAAGTACTCCCGGGTTCAATGACAATGATAGTTTTCCCAAAATGAAAACAACATCATCATCTGCTTTCAACGACAAAACCTCCAAAGATGACACCTCGAAAGAAAGCAATGGCAACACGGAGGAGAAGACGACGTACAAAAATGGCAGCGGTGTCAACGATGGCGACGACGATGTTTGCACGCTAGAGCTGCCCGGCGAAAGCGGAGAAACAATGACCTTTCGACGGGGAGAATCGTACGGACCCTTCCTCCGCAACCGGTGCCAGGCTCCCAGCAAGCATCCGTGTTACTGCGATCCCGATGCGTACCGCCAAATGGACTGTCCGTATTGCGGGTTCGATCTCGGAGAAAATTCTCTACTCTGCGCGAGGCACAACGAAACCGTATCGTTCTTTGCTCCGGACGGACCCCACGGCGAAGTTCGGACGTGCTCCTGCTCGATCCAGGGTACTCCCATAACCAACTGCGAAACGTCGAATCATCCATATGTGGTGCGCAGCGACGATGGAAATGCCAGCCCGGGTGCCTCCAGCCACCAGGAGACTATCACGACTGGTGGCCAAAAGGGCTGCCCGATCAAAGATCCGAGCTCGGGACGAGTCGTTGCTGTGGTACCGGACGGTGCATCATTCGGAGAGTACGCGTCGACTGTCATGGGCACGTGCGGGGATGGTAAGCAATGGCCGGCCTTTTGTGACGCATCTTCGGACGCCGAGCCCACTTCTGCTCAAGTCAAGTCATCCGTGACGACGAGCCAACAGGGACTACACAACACTCTGAGCGTCGATATTCGGGACCGTGCCGATGTCTTGTATCCATATTGTGTGTACCTTGATGTTGAATCTGGCAGCCCCGTCTGCGCTAGGGATAAGGAAGAAGTTGTGTATACTAACGACGAAGGAATTCAAGTCAAGTGCTCGTGCGTCATCGATGAAAAAGATTCGCGAGTTGATGGATCTTTCACATGTGGGCCATATACCGGAAATAACGAAACCAAAACCGAAGTAGGTCTCAGCAAGGAGCAAGGAGGTGGGAATAATACCGGCACTCCGAATACTGCTTTCGCCAATGAAAATAATACCAAAACCGAAGAATTTCCCAACGAAGTAGAGGAGGCAAAGGAGAAGAAGGAGGAGGAGGAAGAAGACTACGATGATGACGATGACGTCGGCACTGCATATAATGTTGGAGACGAAAAAGATGTCAAGCTTGTGGATGAAAATAAAAACAATCATGTTCCTTCGACGACTGGGATTGGAAGTAGTCTTGATGACAACAACGTAAACAAGAACATTGACAAAGACGGAAATGCTCTCAGTAGTGGGAACAATCTTGGAAGTGAAAATAACAACAACGATATTCCTTCAATGCCCGGAAACGGAAGCAATCTTGGTGACAACATCATGAATAAAAACATGAACGACAAGAATAGTGACATCTTAATAAGCGATCTTCAAGGGGAAAATTACAACAAAAATCTTCCCTCCATGACTGCGATTGGAAGCAATCTTGGTGGCAACGGCATAAACAAAAATATCATCAATAATAATGGTGGCGGCGTGATCGAAGACAGCAATCTCCCTGGCATTGGAAGCAATTTCGAGGGTGGCGCCCTCGCAAACAATAGACCAACGCTACGACCAACTATGTCACCAATTTATGTGCCTCAGAGTGGAACAATCGCGACATACGGTGGTACCAGTGGCAATTCTATCATCGTTCAAATACTATTGACGACAATAGGATGGGCAATGGGGACTATGCTAATACTGAAAACCATATAATGGAATAAAAAGAAAACTACTGTAAACCACTTTCTTGTATCACGTAGTAGCCATCGATTTGTGGATGCTAAGATGGTTGAAATACGGTAAGCTTTGAATGAAGATCAAATAAGGCGTTCTCGATCTTATTCTTTTGAAATATGAGCTCTCCTCCTAGCTCTAATAATCACGACCTCCTTGCCGGAACTCACTTCCAATTGCTCTTGCTTCATAGTTCTCCATATATCTACACTATCCACTGATCTGGATCCTTCCAGTCTTCTAGATTCCTTCAACTTCAATGCTTCTTCTGCTCAACAGCAGCTGTTTGCTATCTTCATCACTTGCATCATAGTCGCCAGCTAATTCATTCACCAGCTGTCTTAGGACCTATTAGATCATCTCCAGGTCTTCAACTTCTTTCATAACATTCATACGTATAATACTTCATCTACCATTTGATTCTGCACAATGACACTAAGGTAGATCCTGTTCCTATCTCGCCTACTTACAGGATTTCCAGCAACCAAGACTTCTCTGTTCCAACAGTGGATCCTTTCTCCAAAATTTTCATCATACCATCCCTTTTGCGGTAGCAGAATATCTTTTTCTGATGACAAAAAAAAAAACTCATCCTCATAACTAGTTGACTTTGCCACCTTGCTTACTCCACAGGGTGTGATATAATCCTTTCTGTCTCAACAATTCAGAGTGTGATCCCTCTTCCTTTACTCCACCGCGATCCAACACAACGATCTTGTCGCAGTTTTTGACCGTTTCGAGCCGATGCGCAACAACTAGTGTCGTTCGAGGATTCTTCTGGTGCATATTATCCAGTGCCKCCTGGACGATTGTTTCGCTCTCGTTGTCTAGCGCGGAGGTGGCCTCGTCTAGGACCAGAATTTTTGGGTCCTTGACGACAGCTCTAGCAATCGCCACTCTCTGCTTTTGGCCACCCGACAGGAGCGAACCACTGGCGAACAGAAACATAAAGAGGACAAAAAAACCGGATACCACGAAGTAAGATCGTGTAGTGCGATATTCATTTTATATGTTCTTCTGCATTGACGATTCCAACGTAATTCACACACATTACTTACCCTGCGCCAATATCTGTATTATATCCATCACTAAGCTTTGATATGAAGTTGTGTGCATTTGCGGCTTTCGCAGCTTCAACGATTTCCGCCTCGGTTGCCGTTGGTTTTCCCAACCTGATATTATCTATGATAGTACCTTTGAACAATACTGGCATTTGTCCGACATAGCCGATTTGATCACGCAACCATCCTAAATTAAAATCAGAAATTAGTTTTCCATCCAACTCGACTGTACCAGAATCAACGTGATAAAAGCGTAAAACCAGTTGAAGTGCTGTAGACTTGCCGCATCCACTTCTACCAGTGAATGCCACAGACTGTTTAGCAGAGATTTGAAGGCTAAAGCCATCTCGGCCCCCCTTTTGGTAGTAAATTGGAGCATTCGATCGAGTGGGGTAAGCAAAATGACATGAACTGAATTTTAAACTTCCTTGCAACTTCCTAGGCTTTTCCCCCACGGTCGAAAGTGGATCGTCCTCATCTACGGAGCCATCGATAAGTTCAAACAAGCGTGCTGCCGCTTCCAAACCAGTCCGATGCGAAGAAAAGTCCGCACCGGTTTGTCCTGCGCCAAATGCCGAAAACATGACGGCTAGAAGTGCAACGAAAAAATCGGTAAATGCCAGCTTGCCGTTGATCATCAGTTGAACTTCATTAAGATTAAGGCAGAGGGCAAAGAAGACGAAAAAAGAATGCAAAATGTGAAATTGATGTCGGGAATAACCGCTTCCAAGCTGCAATTTGAATTCCCAAATGGAAACTTACTGCCAGCCCAGAAAATCAACGCAAATGTGGAAAAGACTGAAAACTGTGATAGACCGAACGCCAAGCCATTGTAAAAAGCTTGTTTCTTCTCGTAGGCTGCATCGGGGTTTAACGCAGCAGCATACTTCGTGGAAACATCATCTTGTAGATTATATGCTTGTAGAACCATGATGTCATGGAATGCCCGCTCGAGCTGAGTAGCAGCAGAGACATGATTTTCGGCGTGTTTTTGAATCGGCTTCCTAGAAGCACATTTGGCTTGCATAATACTTGCACCTAGTATGAAAGGGATGCAACAAATCGCAATGATGCCAATCTGCCATGAATAAATCATCGCAACGAGCATCCCGATAATCAAATTGGCAAACACCTGTACCCGTTGACCCTGTTGCCAACCCGTAACATTACTAACAGCTTCGCTATCTTCCTCCAATCTTGTTGTAAGTTCTCCTGTTGAATGCTCGGGGAAATCAAACCATCCCATGGAGTGCCGCATGATCTTCTCGAATACTAATACACGCATCCTTCTTGTAAGACGGAAGCCAGAAACCCCCTACAGAAACAACGGATGTAACACGCGATTAGAAAAATTAACAAGAAACGGAATGGGGAAAACGTTTTGGTACACACATAATCCAGTATAGCTGATGTCGCCTTTCTATGACTTACAAAACCAACACCCATAGCAATGTTTGCTACGAAGCTGGCTCCCGCCAACAACAGGAACCACAACGATAGAGTGAAGTTTGTAGAGCGCAACTCTTCGGCATCTGTAATGATAAAAAAGTTCCCCGTGATAAATCCGAAAAGAATAGCCTCACAAGCTGGCAATGCTCCGACAATTATCCCTCCGATATAACCAATTAGCATATAGCATACATCTTTTTTGTTGTATGCCCATAAACGAGACGTTACACCCGAGAGATTGGTATCACTGTCGTCCTTATCTTCTTCCTCACAATCAGAAATCTTTCCTGCTTCGATATCATCGTAATTGCCTTTTGGCATGTGGCTCATGTTTGTTTCAATCGGTCCTTCTTTAGGTTGCGTTCTTACTTCTGGTAAGGTTGATGACTCTTTTACGTCGGCAGCATCGGCAGTCAACCCCTGACCCTCGCAAAGTAATGCGTATATCCCTCCTTCTTGGATCAATTCTTTGTGAGTGCCTAGTTCTTGAATGGCACCTTCGGCAACAACAGCAATTTGATCAGAGTGGACAATCGTAGACAGGCGATGCGCCACCGTAATGGTGGTCAACTTTCGTGCCTCTCGGATTCGTTCAAGGGCTTCCTGGACCATTCGTTCTTATTTAGAAAATATTCAGCATCATTAGATATTTGAAAAAAGGACGAGAGCATATTCGAAATAGCGATACCAAGTCACTGAGGACATAGTCAGTCTTACCAGAATGTGTATCTAATGCCGAGGTTGCCTATGATTGTACAAACAGTAGAAGAATTATTCGTCAGGAAAACCTCAAGTAGATCAGAATGAAACGAAATCAACCAATTCAAATATACATGACAAATCAGAACAAGCGTACCTCGTCGAGCAACAATATGACGGGATTCCGTATCATAGCTCGTGCGATCGCAATCCGCTGAATTTGTCCACCGCTCAACTGAATAGAAGATCCCGAATAGAATGTGTCGTATCCATCGGGCAAATCCATGATAAAATCGTGTGCGCTCGCGGCCACGGCTGCCTTGATCACTTCCTCGTCTGTCGCGACTCCATTCGCTTTTCCACTGGCAATGTTGTCCCAGATGGTCCCCGGGAAGAGAGAGGGCTCCTGTGGGACATATCCAATCTGGGACCTCCACCATTTTAGATTGAGCTCGGTAAGGGGAACACCTCCAACTAGAACGTGGCCGCCCAGCGGATCGTACAATCTCAACAAGAGTTTCGACAGTGTCGACTTTCCTGATCCACTCGGTCCGACCAAAGCTACGGCAGTACCGGCTTTTATGTTGAGCGAAAAATTGGCAAATATCATATCTCCTGGTCGAGAGGGATAGGAAAAGGTGACATTCCTCAATTCCATGCTCCCATCGTAGTCCTTGCCAAGCTTGGTCCCCTTGTCTCCGTTGATCCCATCGATGGAAGGTGTTCTACGAATGGCACTGTAAATGTCGACAGCTGCGGTTCGACCTAGGTTGATGGCGTTCAACCCCGGATTCATGAGGGCTATAAACTGTGCACAAAGAATCACTCCGTAGATACAGACCATGACCTCGCTTCCGTGTATCCCGCAATCGGTGCGGAGATAACAGGCAAAGGGACTTACGTAGGTCGCCTCTACCTCCACCCGCTGTGCTGCCTGTTCGGTTCCGATAAGAAAGGCACAGGTGTAGGTGGCGTAGAAGAGCAATCCCATGACACCAGCCGCCAGCTTGCTCAGGACCTGGGATCGAATCGAGTGCTTCTGGGCCTCCAGCGCGTGGTCTGTGTACCGATCCACCGCCCAGGTTTCGGCCCGAAGGCTTGCAATAGTTTTGATGCCTGTCAGGACCTCGGAGGCGAATGCCCCGGCCGCGGAAAATTCCGACAGAGCCCTGCCGGAAGACTTGCGCATGAAACAGCTCACGATTCCGATGGCAATGCCGATTACGGGCAGAACGCAGAGCATAAAAATAGCCAGGGGCGGGTCCAATCCGATCGATACCAGCAAGCACCCGATTGCCGACAACAAGTTGGCAAAGGTATCGGCCACGGCACGGCCGAGAGCGGTTTGGATGCGGGAGAGCGCGTTTGTGGCCAGGACCGGAAGCTCTTGTGGGTCTCCACCACCCGTTGTGTCGAACCAGGCGGCTTCCTGGCGCAGGGCGCTCTTGACAAAGGCCTTTCGTATGCGTAGTGTCTGGTTTTCCCCTACGTAAGACCAGATGGAAACGTAGACTGTTCCGGTGACGAGTGTGGCAGCCCCCACAATGGCAAAGGAATTAATGAGTGTTTGCATCTGGTCGATTAGAATCGAAACATCCCCTCCGGCTGCAACGATCGCACCGATTTCGTTGAAGGTGTTTAGGGAGTCCGCCAGTAGCAACAGCCAGGCGGGCATGGCGAGACCGGCGAGGGCAGCCATGGCGGTTCCGAGAAGCATCCACATTTGTTCGTGGAAGGTCGAAAAGGCAAACATTGCCAAGAATCCAATCTTTTTGGGCTGCTCGACCGTTGCCACCTCTCGAGCAGGACCAACAGCCTCCTTGCTTGTGGCATTGTCCTCGCGTTCCTCGGGGATTCCCATGGCCAGATCCGCCGCGGCAAGCTCATACGCGTTTTGCTGGATAGAAGCGATCATAATATCGCCAGCCGAAGTTGTTCCCGCACCCGTCAAACCGGCAGAAAAAAATCCAGAGGCAGGAGGTCCATTGGCCTCTCGGTGAGCACCGACGCTGGCTTGCCGGTTACGGTTCTTTTTCTTTCTTTTTTGTGGCTGCAATGGCGAGAACAAGTCCTTGCTGGCGGGCTGGTGATTGAGGCCAACGCCATGGGTATTGTCGATTCCCATTGTGATTACCGATGTTCAGTTAGTTTCTTCTTTGGCTGATTAGCAAGCTAATATAACAGTTTGTTGGCATTGACTTCGTTCGACAGGTGCCTTCTTGGAAATGAGATGCTGCAGTGATTTTGATTACACAAGTACGAACCATTAGTAAGACATAGTGCGTCTGCCGTAAAATTTATGAAAAGATACTTGGACGAAGTCAGAGAACACATTCGACAGTGGAACACACTGTGAGAAATCCAAAATCCGTCTTGTTATGATGGCGTACAGTATCATGTGACATTTGAGTAATAATAGAGGTCCCGTGTTCGTCCAAAACCTGGAGAGTATTACTAGAGGTCCCGCGTTCGTCAAAAACCTGGAACAACCCGGAACCCTATGGAACAGATGCCTTGAATCTCGAAGGGTTCGTCTGGTTCTTCTTTGACGCGAGACAGGATACCTTTTTAGACATTCGACTAAAAACTACTACCGTTCAGCTTCATACTTCGCACGGAAACAAATACCAGGGGCGGGCAAAGGGCACAGTAAACATCGAGATCTTGAATAGATTTGGAGCATTGATACTTACCGGGAATGATATGAGTCATGAGTCACAGAAAAACATATATGACTCCTTCGACTTCCAACGAGGAGCAATCCTCTTGCGGTGAGCAACTATCTGCGCGGGCCGGTTCTCAACGCATTCCGTGTCACAAAAATTGTATGAAGACCAGCAAAACAAAATCCCGAGCCTGAATTTTTAGATGGCCATCGTGCACCTTCGTGACGCATTCCAAGCCCCTGCATTTAAGGCCGAAGACATGAGCCGAGCATCCAATATGGCAAGTATGGTTCAGAAACGGCGGCTTTTTGGATGACCATTGGCAAGAACACTGGAGCGGAGCGCTTCGCCGCGCCGACGCTATGATTTACGTGGGGAGAAAAAGACAACTCCAAGTTTTGCTCATGGCTAACGAGCAGCAACAGCAACAAGCTAGTTTATCTCGTAAAATACCACCACCGGCACATGATTCTATTCAAATAAAGAAGCTCCAAGACTCAAGTGCAATACATCATCAGGTACACCATAGCAATATCGATAGCACTTCGCAATGCCCAATACATACAACAACAGCAACAAACGACGATAAATTCATAGACAATGGCACCTTCCGTTCCACCCAAATCGGAGGCAACAGGCGGAAAGAAGAAGAAGAAAAAGTCGAAGAGAAACATTATCGACAAGATTCCCGACATTCCAGGACATGACTCCAATGATCATCTCGTTCCCTATGCCATTTCTCCATTGAAAACCAATGGACTGGGAGTGGAACCGGAAGGAACCTCGGTCTGCCCCATTTATGTGAGTGATTACGAGGATTCGAGCGAGGTCGCCATCCGGGGAGATCGCAAAATCAATCACAAGCTCTTCCAAACGGAACTGCCGAGCACCACCAAAAACACCAACAAACCAACAGAGGAGAAGGCCGACGACAACGAATTAGACCATGAAGAAGCAGCACCACAAAAACCGGCATCCCGAAAGAAACGAAACCTCAAAAAGAGCATTAAAAAACTTTCGGACAATAAAAAAGTGGAAAATACTGGCAAGCTTCTCACGGAAGACAACCTCAAGGAAATCGAGAAAGAACCTCTGTGTATCGACGTAACAGCGTACGGAGATGACGAAGACGATCCTGTCTTGGAACGAGAACTCGAGGAGATTGCCCTCAACGGACGTCGGTCGGGCCTCATTAGCGGTACGCCCGATAAGTTTGCGTACGATACACAAAAAGGCAAACCAAAGGGCTGGAGGAGACTGACCAAAAAGACGAAGAAGAAGAAAAATAAGATCTCGCCGGACATCGAGAACAATTACAACGAAGACGATGAAAGGAGCTGGCATGTTGGAACCCTCACCAAGGACAAAGACGCAAAGAAGAAAAAGATGTCTTTCGAAAAAAAGATCTACTCTGTGTCTATTATATTTGCGGTCTTGATGGCAATTGGTTGTTTGTCCTATGGAATCATCCGAAGCAATTACCCCAAACCAGGTGATTCCCTTACAGCGGAACAGAAAGGGATTCACGAAGTTCTGACCCGCGTCACGGGTGAAAAGACACTGACCGACACCGGAACGCCCCAGCACAGTGCATGGGAGTGGTTGCTCTACACTGATGAAGAAATCTGGAACGCTGAAGGAGCCGAGGGCATTATCCAGAGATTTGCTCTTGCATGCTTTTACTTCTCGACCGGAGGCAACGACTCGAAACCGAAAAAGTGGGAATCCAATAACTGGATGGAAGGTCCGGAATGTGGGGACGAGAACCACGAGGCCTGGATTGGAGTGAACTGCAACTCGGACGGAGAAATTCGAGCTCTCGCTCTCGGTAAGTCGGCTAACGAACAAATGATGTTGCAATGACTCAACCAATGCATCTCCTTTCTAACAAACCTTTTGCTTTGTTTTCCTATTGTTAGACGCCTGGGGTCTATCGGGAACCATTCCACCAGAAATTGGCCACCTTTCCAAACTCGAAAACCTGATCTTGAAGAACAACCCGAATCTGACTGGATGGATTCCACCATCTTTTTCTCATCTAGCGAACCTACGACAGCTCGGTCTCTACAACAACCATTTGTCGGGAGTTCTCCCCGATATCTTCGAGCATACCAAGTCACTGAAGTTCATCAACCTAGAGAGCAACGATATTTATGGTAGTATCCCTCTTGAAATTTCTCACCTGACGAGTTTGGAAACGCTAGTCCTTAAAGGCAATCGATTCGAGGGAATCGTTCCATTCAAACAACTGGCATCGACGAGTGTGAGATATCTTGGTCTAAGCAACAACCGCTTCGCTGGGAGAATTGAAAAAGCTATTCACGATGTCGAAACTCTTGAGTATCTCTACCTTGATCACAACGCACTAAGAGGCACGATTCCCCCCCACATTGGAAATCTGAAACAACTGAAGTCCATCGACCTAGGACACAACGCTTTCACCGGAGCTCTTCCCATGTCGATTGGAAACTTGGACCGATTGGAATACTTTTCACTGAACGACAACAAACTGGCAGGAAGTTTGCCACGAAGAATTGGTTCTTTGACCAGGTTGAGTAAGTTTTCGCCGTTAAAAATGGCACTGAGTTGTGCCTTTGACCCGTGTCTCGTTCTCTAACGTTTCTCTCCGTGCTTTCGGTTGTTCCTCCCACAGACACCTTGAATATGGCATCAAATACATTCACGGGAACAGTACCGGATCTATCTACCCTTACTAATCTAAAGAGTTTGCAGCTTTACAGCAATGAGCTTCAGGGCACTCTCCCGAAATCCCTCCAGCATTTACAAAGCATTGAATCTATCTTTTTGAGCTCGAATAGATTTACGGGAACTATCCCTGAGGAGATCAGCCTAGTGAGTCGAACGCTTACGGGCTTTTACTTGTCGGATAACCTTTTGGTGGGCAGTATTCCCACACACCTTTGCGAGTTCATCGGCCTCGAGGCATTATTCTTGGACACGAATAGGTTTGATGGTACAATACCATCTTGTCTCGGTGAACTCGAAGACCTTCAACAACTTTATCTATTTAAAAACAAATTAACGGGAACCGTTCCCACAACCTTCCAGAACCTGAAACACTTGAGTAAGTCATGAGCATGCCATCTCTGATCCCGATTTATTGAATGTTTCTTTTCTAGTTTCCTTGTTCCGCTCTAACCTGGATTTGGGATTTTCCGACTTTATTTGGATGTTAAAAATTTTACAGCTGGTATTGGCTTAGAGTCCAACCAACTTGTTGGCGAGGTATCCGACGAAGTCTGTGGACTTGTACATCATCAAGAAGTCGACATGTGGGCAGATTGTGGCGTTGGTGAAACTGCCTTACAATGTCCATGCTGCAGTGTCTGCTGTCCAGGAGATTCCTGTGTTTAAACATATTCCAAAAGGAGATATCTTCATTAACTTCTATCGGTATTGGATCTATATTTAATTGTTATAAGAAATGTTTTAATGTTTACATCAAATTTCTTTGTCTAAGGATTAAAGCTAATGATGGACATATTCAGAGATTCTTAATTGTAGCAGATGCCTTTGGTAGTGACACATAAAAACATATAGCAGAAGGTATTTTGAAAGTTGTACTACTACTACCTGATACTGTAAAACATGCAAAATGATGATTATTGTAAGCAAACAAAAATGAGAAGGATATGAACAGGAATCTTTTGAAGATATCAGTCAGAATATACAATTCTTCCCATTCTTATTCTAAATCTTCTATTCTAGATAGACACACATGATACTAGTAAATTGTGTACTTAGATCTAATTCTAGTTTCAAGTGTGAAATTTCCATATTTAGAGTAGGACTTATTCCAATTGAAGTGTTTGAGTCCCTTGATTGATTTGTGAGTTGGCTATGACATGGCACTCCTGACAATGCTGCTATGTAAAAATTGTAGGGAATCTTCCTGCTGTTTACGTTGTCTGTGTAGATCAGGACTTCTTCCCCTGCAATGTATAGGTGGATAGATGCTAGGTCCATCTTGCACTTTCCAAAGACCCAAACCAATAAAAATTTTACATGGCTCTACAGAGAGAACATACCCTGCTTTTGACTTTGAAACAAACCATGTCTCAAAATTTAATAATTATTTAATATTTTAATATTTGTATCATACTAATCAAGGTTTTTTTTCAGCAGCACTTTGTTGTTCTTGCTACTGCTAGTAGCTAAGGAGGATCATGCTGTTACTACAAGCGAGTATTCTAAACCACCAAGCCAATTGATCTACCAAAACTTCCAGCAGATGCGTTTGTTCTTGATAAGGAAGTTATTTGGGTGTATGTATGATAGGAAAGTGATGGCTACTATTGCTCTGTCAGGAGGGGGAGACAGGTTGGTTGAATGATGGAGTTTTGAAAACAGAGGAAAACAACAATCTAGTTTTTTGCATTTGTAACCCATTCCTTACAGGTTTGTGTCCAAAATAGTTCGTGACAGGTCCATAACTGATATAGAATCTACAGGGCTCTATGGCTAGCCTAGTAATGATAGCAGTATTTTACAAAGAAATAAAAAGAAGCTGTCATTTACTTTCATGTAAAACCAAATTAACACCAGTAATTTAACAAGTTGCTGATACAGAGGACGCTGATACAAGTTGCAGATACAGAAGAGGACTCTGAGATGAGTCAGTGATACAGATGAGGCTGATACAGATGATGATAAGGATACATACAGTGACTCACTGATATGGTGGCTTGCTGCTGATACAGAGGAGGGTCCCTAATAGGGAAGAACCACCAGTGCTGATACAGAGGAGCAGGACCTGATAGTAGGGAAGAACCACCAGTGCTGGTGATACGGAGGAGCAGGATCATGCTCCTCTGATACGGCAGCTGGATACATAGGAGGACACTGGTGATGCAAACCATGGTGTATTGCTCCTTAGTGCTGCTATATCCTCTAAAACACTAGGCTGATCAATCTGCAACTTCTAGATCCCCTTCCTCTTGTTATAGTAGTAATGAATAGAGGACCCTGCTGGTGTGAGTACTACTAGTGTGTTAGTAGTAAAGTTGGGTTGTATCATTGAAGAACTAAAGGAGTGACAGGTCCCTACCCTGGAGGTTGTGTTGATGAGTATTTTTAAAAATTTGGTGCACAGAGAAATCAACAAGCCTGAAAAGGTGCGTTGTTCTCTGGCAAATAATCCATACAATCATACTATGGACCACACCACTACTAGTACTAGCTGCCACCATGAAGAATGGTGGAAAAATAGGAGGAGAAAACCCATTCCGACTAATAGATTCTCTAATTCTGATTGGTGCTCTGTAGGTTCTTAATAAAAACCGGTGCATTTAAATTGAAATCCTTACCTGTTAAAATTTGATATCATTATTCAGGACACAAACCTGTACTCGTGGTAGTAGTAGTTTCATTTTAATTTTTGGCTAGGTCTTGTTGAGTTTTATGGGATTCAAATTACCTTACTAGTGGAGTCGTGAATGAAAAGTTTCCGATTACAATGAGACCACAAACAGTCAGTTTTCTTTTGGGCAATAGTAGCGAAAAATATCTAGGTTCTTCGCGATCAATAATAATAACGTCTTTAACTGTTTCGAAGCTCAACGGCGTTGTACTAGTAGGTACAAGTTGTACTGTTCGAGGTACGACGAGTACATACCGTACAGGGCACTACTTCACATCAAATTACTCGTGGTCATGGAAAGAACTCACCACATCAAAAGTTACGATCATGCAAACCCAAAAACACATGTAACGATATTTTTTAAGCTTCAAATTTTTCGCGTGTCTCGTACTCCCACAATCTAAGATTCCTTACTTCTCTAAATGTCTTCTCAAAACTATCCAATCATGGTATCCGCTACGTTAAAAAAATATCTGAAATTCCTCCTATTCCAGTGCTTAATCCTTTCTGTGTTGGGGGATGACTTCGACAACGCTATATCTGCCAAAATCAAGAGTCTCGCAATTCGGGGAGCTTCGATCGCATACTATGATAGTAACAAAATGCCATCACCTGTAACCCGAGGATATGGTCAGATTTCTTCGGATTCATCCTCAGCCTCCGTGACGCCCGATACAGCCTTCATGATAGCGTCTGTCTCAAAGCCATTTACCGCATCGGCTGTTGCTGTTCTCGTTGACAAGGGGATTATATCGCTCGACGATGATATCTGTGATGTCATACCGGCAGGATACTCCGACACAATGTGCAGGAACCAAAACCACCCAAACGTTAAAATTACGTGGAGAATGATGATCACACATCGGTCGTCTATGAAAGGGAACATCCCCGATGCGAAGGATCGATGGGGAGATCCTATCAGTCCAAGTTATGGCCCTTCAGGTGGCTATACTTCCGATGCACCCGCCGTAGGGAATCCAACCTGTCCCCTTGGAGAAATCGGAGATTTTTACCACGCCTTGCTTACCGACGATCCTAATGCCACTACCGACGTTGGAGCTGGTGTGATCCTACAGGGTGGAAAAGAACTTGATTGGTTTGACTTGGCAATATCAAACGGGAGCATGTGGAGTCGATCAAAACCGGGGCAGCGAAGAGACTATTCGAATGCTGCGTACGGTTTTGTTTCTGCTCTCATAGAATTCGCAACGGGGCAGTCCTTTCCTGATTTTTGTCGAGAACATTTGTTCGAGCCCCTTGGCATGAGCCACACGGAATGGTTTCTCGACGACCTACCTGATGGTTCTCAAGTGGCCGTACCGGTTGAGAAAAAAAGGAACGGTGGCTACATGGACGTTGGACATTACTGCTTTATTGATTATGCAAGTGGGCAGCTTCGTACGTCGGCGAACGATATAGCACGGTGGAGCAATGCTATGCTAGACTATGGCTCGCCCATGTTATGGTCAACAGCTGTTGGTAAAGAGATTGTGAAATGCCAAGAGAAAAACGTAAATGGCGAACCGATCGGAAATAACAACTGTGATTTTGGCTATGGATGGATCTTGTTAAACAATTCCATGAAACAGAGCACTCAAGAAAAGTGGCTGAAACAAGGATTCAGTGAGTATGACTGGACCGATGGTGTATGGCACGATGGATCAGAAGCTGGCAGTCAGACAAACATTGTCATCCTTCCGAAAGCAGGGATATTTGTTGCCGTCTTGACAAACACAGACTTGAACTCGGAAACCGCAGCCCAACAGCTGACACAGGCCGTTGTCGAAGCACCCCTTCCTTCTTTGCCACCAACTCCAACCCCGCTATCGAATCCCACTCTTGCTCCACAGCCCACTAGAGCCCCAGCAAGTCCAACAAGAGCACCAACAAATCCTACCAAAGCACCGACAAACCCAACAAGAGCACCAACAAACCCTACCAAAGCACCGACAAATCCAACAAGAGCACCAACAAACCCTACCAGAGCGCCAACAAACCCAACAAAAGCACCAACAAATCCTACCAGAGCGCCAACAAACCCCACAAGAGCACCAACTAATCCCACGGCAGCCCCACAGCCAGATGGAAAATGCCCAGGAGAGGTAGAATTCGTGTTTTCACTAGAGACGGACGACTTTCCCGAAGAAACTAAGTGGGTGTTGAAGAGAAACAACAGAGTTGTCAAAAAACGTCGTTACAAGACCTATGAGAACCCCCTCTCTTTCTATGAAGAGTCCATTTGTGTCCCGTTGACTGGAAATTATAAATTCGTCATCGTAGATCGATACGGAGATGGAGTTTGTTGTGACAAGGGAGACGGCAGTTATGAGATTTCTTTCAATGGAGAAGTGAAGAGACGTGGAGGAGATTTTAGAAGAAGACAGAGAACAAAGTGGTCTGCGTAGATATTTGGCATATAGTGAAACGATAAGCTCCGGTTGACTTACCAAGACAGTCTATTTACTAGTGGTTTTCCACTGCTGCATAATATGCTTAAACAATGGTGTTTTTTGCATGGGTTTCATTCTCTCGAAGCGACAATGCCTTTGTCAATAGATCTAGTGAATAAAAATATTTAATTAAGTTCGAAATTCTAATTTTGTTCCCCGTTGAAGAAGACTAGTTCAGCGATTTATGACCCTACTCCGAATTTCATCACTTACAAGTCACCAAAGTTCACGCAAGAATTGAATTAATTTGATCTTGAATATCTAAGCGCTAGATCAACAAGTTCCATTTTAGTGGGGAGCATTCTAACATTAAAAGTTGCCATTTTTAGAATCTTGACTGTGTTTGAATATATGTCTTTCGCCGTTGTGACATCCCACTTGAGAAAAAAAAAGGTTGCTACGCAGATTTTGAGTTCACCTAATGGAGTATTTTTAATTTTAATGTTAAGATGTCTCGAAGTGATGATAATTTTGTACTTCACGATTACAGTCTTTCGTGGTTCGTGAAAAGCTTAGATAAATTATTTAATCTAAAAATGAAAATGTAGAGGGGCAATATATATATATGGATCCGTGAACAACCTAAAACAAGATAGACTTCATAATTACTTCTTAATTCTTACCGAAAGGACGAAACCCATGGTTTTGTCAAGGTTTTAATAATCCATACTAAAGTACTGTATCAATTCGACGAAATAGCGCTTCACTTTTCAAATTCGGCCAAGAGATCCAAAAAGAAATTATCTTTCTCACAATTTCAAAAAGAGAAGTTCAAACAAAGACCAAAGGAATTAATTTCGTAACATAATTCTATGAAAGTCGTGCAATTTAAAATAACCGTTTTCCTTTCATTTCTCTCGTTTTCCAATGCATTGGAAAACTCTGATAATTCAAACTATTTGCGCGGAAAAGGTATTGTGAAGGCGAAAATAGCAGTCACTGAAGCCAATTCTGTCCGCAAACTTAATCCCATGTTTTGTGGTTGCCCAGGATGTAACGAGGACGCTTTCAACAATTTTGCTGGAGAATTTAAATGCGGTGATCGAATTAACTACCTCCAGAGCTCCTTAGGCTTTTCGGAACGGGATGCGTGCGCTCGGGTGGCAGGGGCAGAATTCCCAGAGGCCTGCGGGATTTGTGATCCCGATAACTGCATTGAAGAGCCATTTCCTCCTCCACCACCCTCTCGTACAAGATGCGGGTGTCCAGAATGTGAGCAAATTTGGTACATGATGGCAGGCGAGTATACTTGTGGCGAACGAATTGAGTGGCTCCAATCGGACACATCAACTGTCGCTAGTGGTCCGTATGACGAACTTTCTGCGTGTTCTAAAGTAGCATCAGAGGAATTTTCAAACGAATGTGGAAAATGCGATCCATCTAGGTGCAACAGATCGGTCACCATGGCTCCTTCTGACGCTCCGACAGCGATTTTAACGAAKGAACCTACCAGATCACCAACTTCAGCATCTAGTCAAAAGTGTGGTGGAGCCGTCAATGCCTCGAGCGACTCAAGTCAGACATGCCAAAGTGATCTCTGGAATCCCACGGGAGACACTACAATGCACTGCTTTGCCTACGGTGGCAGGGGTGACCCCTGCCACCTGAACAACAATAATGATCCAGATGATGGGCGCAACAAGAGTCCTTCGTCGTGTTTTGGTGATACCTTTTATCTTTGGGATGAACCTGATACACAAGGGAAATCCTATCGTTGGGCAGGTCAGACGTGGTTAGAGTACTCCCGGCGCTTTTCCAATGAGCTGAGGGCACTGAAGGCGCAAGGCACCAAAATCACCTCACCAATGCTCACATCAGGCTCTGAAGGGACGATTACCCGGAATCTAGGAGAATTCCTCTCATCATGCGGGCCCGCTTGTACCGATAGATCAGACCCAGCGTACATCGATGTGATTGCTGTGAACTCCTTTTGTGGAGATTTCAACGGCCCTACAGGATGCAGAGGTGGTGCCTCCTTCATCTACAAAGAGGTCCTCAATGCATCTAGTACATTTGGTAACCGACCTGTTTATATTACCAATTGGTCCAGATTACAAACATCCGATCCCTGGGACCAAGTTGGTGCCATTAATGCTATTGAAGAATTTTTCCCCTCATCTGCAGCCTCTCGTCGAGTTGTTGAACGCGTCTATTGGTTTGGAGCAACTGACTTTGGGGGAAACTCCAGCAACAATTTTTTGACACAGATTTTGGCCGATGGGAAGACTCTGGGGGAACTTTGGAAAGAAAAGTGCGACAGCCTCACATAATAATCAACATGTTGCATCATTATTATAGTAGAATAGCTTGACGTACTGCAATAGTACAATATAATACACGTAGTACAGGAGGCTTTTCTAAAATTAAACAATGTGACTAGTTCCTTTCTTTAGCCTTTTCTATTGAGAACGAGTATTTTTAAACTCGTGCATGTGTGTGTGTGTGTGTGTGTGTGTAGTAGTAGTAATGAACCACTAAAAGGCAACAAAATATTTTTAAGTCGCTGCTCTAGAGAGAGCCATTTCCGCGGTTCTTCGTCTTTCACTGATTCTTTGGACTGCATTGGCCACTTCGATTGCAGCAATCTGTACAACAGTCACATTTGATTCTAACCGGTTCGTTCCCAGCACAATCGGAGGCCGCAAACACCAAGTCGCCAGCTTGACAAATAGTGGACGATGCATCTCCTCCAAGGTTTCGATTTCCCGAAATATCAAACGACGTGAGCGATCCCAGGTTGGCCAGCTCTGAAGGGATCTCTCCCTCGAAAAAATTGTTTGACAACTCTAAATTCTTTAGGCTCGTCATGCTTCCCAACGTAGAAGGAATCACTCCTTCAAGTCGATTGTTGGAGACGGAAAATATGCCTACTTCTGTCAACTTGGTAAGGGCATTTGAAGGAATCGTTCCCACAAGGGAGCACGCTGATGCGTTAAAATACTTTAAGGAATCAAATTTGCCTATGTCATCTGATATATACCCCTGAAAAAGTGTGTTCCCGCTCACATCAAGACGTTGGATAGAAGATGGCGCAGTTGCGAACATTACTTGGAGATTTCCAGATAAATTGTTTCCACCCAGATACACATCGGAAATAACCGAATTGGAACCGAACGATAAATTGGAAATGTCTCCCGACAATTTGTTGTCGTGAAGCCAGAGCTGTTCCAGAGAGGGTAGCTCAAATATCGATCGAGGAATCGATCCTGTCAACATGTTGTCGTCTGCATACAGATATTGCAATGATGTGAGTTCTTTGATGCTGTCGGGGAGTGAACCCTCGAAGGAGTTGGATCCGACGGAGAGACTCTTCAATGCACTTCCCTCTCCCGTTGCTTGAATCGTAGGAATGCTCCCAACGAACCGATTGCCATCCAATCCCAAGGTTTCCAGTAAAGGCAGCGAAAACAATCCGGAGGGAATCGTCCCTTCGATGGAATTGTCTTTAAGCTGAAGAAGTCGAAGTGCGGATGCAGAGGTTAAGGATTGCGGAATACTACCAACGAAGGAACATCCAAACAATGAAATAGCTTCAAGTTTTGAAGACTCTTTGATCTCCGGAATGGTTCCGGTTAAATTTTTGTTGTTTAGTAAATAAAGATTCACTGTGTAGACGAATCATACGCAAGGAAGATGCGGCGGTGAGACGACCATAGCGCACAACGGAACTCAAGTGCAAATTGTTTGTATTCGAAGTGCCATAACATATTTGTTCTCAAAACTGCGAAAAAGCAACTCACCGATGTTTGGCATATTGAAAATAGACTCGGGAACCGTTCCTGTCAACTCATTCCCATCGACATCGATTTGCTCTAGTGCGGCCAATCCGGAAATATCGGGGATAGTACCTCTCAGTTTGTTGAAGTACAAGTTGAGTGTCACCAGTTCGCTAAAATAGTTTAGTTCTTTGGGCATGCTTCCACTAAGGTTATTGTTCTCTGCCGCACATATTGTTTGCCATGATTTGTTGTTTTGGGGTACAGGTAACGAAAAAGTGACAATTGAAATGGATCAGAAACGCTTCCGCTTATGTTGTAAAAAATGCTTTTCAATTTTCTATCTTACCAAGTTTCACCTCGCGGACAGCCCCGGACTCTCCGCAGAAAATTCCAATGCGTGCAAGCGTGTTATCACCGGAACTGTTCCACTCGCAAATGGAGGCCCCGCTTAAAAATCCAAAGGAGTCTATCCATTCCTGCGGCCCACCCGTGGCGAAATACAGGGTGGCTGCGGCGAAACGTTCGGTAAGCTCGGTCGTGACGGGGGTTGCCGGAAGTGCGGCTGGGTCGTCGTTTGCCATCCAATCCAGGGCCAGGTTCTGTGCCGACCCTTCCGTTTCGAAGTCGGAATCTTTGTTCAGCTCTGATACCATGCTTTCCTTCATTTGGCTCCTTCGAGCGCTCGGCGACAAATCGGCTCTGTTGGCTTTCTTTCTTTTGACGGCAACCGTCACCGCAATAATCGTTGTGATTAGTAGCAAACACGCGACGGCAACGACTACATAAAGCCGTTTCACCATGAACGTGTGACGATCTTTTTGGTCTGCGTTCTTGTCCCGAATTGGTCCTAATTCACGTATTGTATCGAGCTGCTGCTGTGAATATTGGGTGCCGGCGGTAGCTTCGCAATCGTCGGTCGGATCAGGCCGGCTCTTCGCCGAACGAATTTGTTGGATACAGGCATCCGCATTCTTAAAGGAAGACGCTACGCCGGGAGCAGTAGTAGATGCAACAGGTAGTTCCTCGGTGCGTTCGTCGCCAACGTCGTCATTTGTTTCCCCTCTGGCGGCATTTCCCAGACAAGCGCCCTCTGCCAAGCAGCAGTGCTCGAGATCGCAATCTGTCCCGCTCGATGGTTCCCCCGTCCCGGTGCTCTGTTTCGCTTTCTTCGACGGTTTTGTACTGCTGCTGCTGTCGTCGATGCTGCCACTGTTGTTGTTGTATGCCCCGGAGGAAGATTTTTGTTTTTCCCTGCGTCCACCCCCATTGGTGGTTCTACCTGCAAAGTCGATTGATCGATGAGAGCGCTGTTCCCATTCCCGTTTCCGTACCCTCGGCTGTCGCTCATCTCTGTGCTGCAGTAGACTTTCTTGCTCTTCTTCGTCGTCGATGGCCTCATCGATCTGGATGACTACCGGTGCGATGCCATCGTGGTAGGATTCCGTGATTGAAGATGATCTGATGAGGTTCGAATTTCCATCATTGTTGAATTCCAAGTCGCTAAATGGATCGTTTACGTCGCGGCGCTCTTCCTCTGTCCTCCCGTAACGCTTGCCCCTCTTCGCAACGCCCTTGAGCCACGATGGCATTGTGATTGTTAGGTGCCGGCTTCACTACTTGTTGGGAATGCTCAAGAATTCTTTGCAAGGTTTCGATTGTATTCAGGGACTCCTTTTTCTTCAGTATTCCTCGAGAGACGATTCTGCCGGCACTGCACTGCATTCAATTGTTCCGAGAGAAACAAATAGAAATGCATATGTTGATGCCTTGTTCCTTGCGTTTCTCTCCTCCTTTGGATAGGATGAGATGGACGAATTTTTAAACTCTGGCCCCAAAAAAGACAAATTCTCTCGTTCAACATCAAAATTTCGGACGAAAACTTACTTCGAAAGAACGTGTCGATCCGCATCGATATCGAATTGGCATGAATCGAACCGACGCGACCAAAAACCAGCCTTGTACAAGATTCGATTCCTTGTTTTGAATCTTCTACGACTGATTTCAACAGCCATAACGAATAACGAAATGTGTCTTAGGCAAAAACTATTTTTAGACGAGGAAGAACGCCAATCTTTTTTTTGAAAGAGTGCGTCGTCGGTTACGTGGAGCCTTGCCGCCCCCCAGGCCAGTACGGTACCGATAGAAGTACTACGAGTAACTCGTAGTACCGTAATAGTGGACATCAAGTAATTTTTTTGGGACTCGTGGTTTTGGTGTTTGTGCGTGTGTCTGTGTTTAAGAATTTGTATTCCTTTTCGCCGCGTTGCGCACTTCCGAAATTATTATGACCCCTGTATGACCCTCCTTTATTACTATGTCTAGAATGACTGAGCAACTACAAATCGCCAGCAGAAGCGCGCTATTTTATTTTACAAATACGTAAAACTTTAAAATAAGCCACGTAAGAAGTCATTTTGTTGAGGATGAAGATCTAGTACGAGTACGTACTCGTACCAGTAGAATTAATTCATCGTAAGAAATCTCGCGTAAAAAAATATGGAAGAAAGGTTAAAAATCATAAATGTACAGAAAGAATGACTGCCAACAATCGAAAACCGTCGATACAAATGTTGAAAGATCTGGTCAGGCTAGTACTCGTACGTACTCGTACTCGTGACATATCCCTGCTGAGGCGATGAGTTCGACGTTGAGTAGCATGCGATTACGTACTACAAAGTACTTCTACTTTCGATTCGTTCAGATGCCACAAACTCCTCCTCAAAGAATTAATGATCGTAAAATAGCTGCTTTGTGACGAAAGACGATGGCAAACGTACCAGGCACCACCCGAGACGAAAAGAACGACAATGGTTTGAGTCCGGTCGTCGCTCCTGACAGCAGCAGTCTGCTAGAAGCAACTGGCGCAGATATCACACCCAATCCACCCAATCCCCCTAATGTTATTCAAGCTCCAGAAGAAGAAATATTCTTTGATGACCAAGCAGACCTTCCGCCTATGGAGAAAAAAGTTGTCGGAGCTGCTGGGCAGCTGACGACAGCCGAGATGCTCGAATTAACTTTAGATCGCAACTTTCAAATGAGTCGTTTGGCTACCCAGTATTACTATACACGCCATTTTTGGATGATGTTTCTCCCGTCTGTGTCAATCACAATGATATCGGGAATTATGGCGTTCATGATCAAAAGTGAAATAACTATGTCGGAGACAGTCAGTAATTGGATTGCTTTCCTCGTTGGATCATTCTCCATTATGAGTAAGTTAGGCCGTTTGTGCCACAAATTTTGGGCTTCGTATTGTCCTTTCCTACATTGCCTCACCTACTGATTTGGCGTCGTTTTGCAATCTGTGCAGATGTGTTTCTACAAAATCTAAGCAATGAGCTAAACTATGATCATTGTTGCAAGAGTCAAAGAGCCGTTAGCCTCGGGTTGAAAAGGATTTTGGCAGAAATGGAATTCCACAAATCCACCACAGGTGGCATTCCAATTGAGAAAATTCATGAAATCGAGAAGACGATGAATACAATCATGGGACAGAACGATGCTACAGTCCCCGCAGCTATCACAAGCGCCTACGAACTTGCAAAAACTAGGCTTAGTTTGCGACTATTCCCTCCCGTTCGTTTCGACGACAACGATCCATACGCGTCGAACAAACTCTCGTGGTCACAAACCATGCACACAGTTCATAATGAGCTTTTGTGTGCAATCGCCAACTCCCCAGGGTGGCCATTAAGAATTCCAAATGCAGAAGAAGTGGTTCAAATCGCAATCCAGCGAGTGGTCGAAATATTAAAAGAAGAACAACATAACGAACTTTACAAGGCACTTTTAGACGGCCAGGAGTTGATCCGTGTCAAAAATATAGAAAACAAGCGAAAGAGGAAAAAAGAAAGGCTTCGTTCTGCAATTGGTGCCTTTAGCGGCATCGCTTCCGCTATGAGAAAAAATGAGAAGATTAAGGGGTGGAGCAGTAATCGTACGACGGATGAATCAACGGCTTTGCTTGAGAAGGCACCAGAGAATAGTGGAGGTCAAAAATATTGGAGTATGTTGGCCAACGGAACTTCGAATCATGATAATAATTATGATTCCAGCATTCCATGAGGGAGCAAGATAGATAATACACACTCATCATTGTTTACTTTTGTTTCACTTTCTGGCGTTGGTAACTTGTAGGTTGTTGGTGTTGGTAATCATTATTGCCCCAGGAAGTTGATACAGGTTTTCCAAGTATTGCTTTGAATTTGGTAATGAAAGTAATACAGTTATTAACGGCAAGCCCCATGCTGGCAAGTTTTTGGCAATTCCTGTAGAAACACTGATAGAATTTTTTAGCTTATTTTCACGGTTTTAAAATCTGTGAAGCTGTCAAACAGACAAAAATAAAAATATTTTCATTGTTTAATTTCTCCCTGGAAAAAGGATATGGCAATCATGCTAATCATGCTTGTTCGTGTCTTTCTTCTTGGAGTATGTGTAAAAGACTAGCCCATCTTGTGTGTACTAATACAATAGAACCACTAGTACTAGTAGTATGATGATTACTAGTGTCATTACTACTGCTGCTGAACAACTACTGCGCCATTCATATATTAGCAATGCTCAATATACATACGCATATGTCAATAAATACCACTAGGACCCCCAACTCCCCCAAAAGGTTAGAAAGCTCTTTTAATTTTCTTTCTAAGCATGTGCTTATCGTTGTTTCCCATCTGTTGGGGACCAAGATATAGCTGTTAGAGTGAGTTGACCCTTAGTTAACTCTCTATGTGTATTTTGTGCAATAAATCTGCAACGGATACGTACGTACCGATGAATCGTTACGTACGATACGAAGCTCGAATCTCCGAAGAAAGGAATGAAGGATCATACCATTCCTACGTACCTATCGTAAGGTACGCTTCCTATGTATGCATCATAGGATGCATCGTAAGAGGACCGAACACCGAACACGTAAGAGGTCCACGATATCAGAAATAGAATACCTCGCACGGAACAAAGATGTCAGTAGATCAGAAGAATAATAAGAACCCTGTGTAGATTTAGTACTGAGAGCTACACAGGATCTAATCAGGTCTACTGAAAGCTCACTTCGAAGCGCGAGAATCTTAATCTTATAATTTCAATTTTCATACACACTTAACACCTACTAAGAGTACACGTAATCTCGTGCAGAATCAATTTTGGGCCATCTAATTACGGTGTAATGACTACTTTGACTCAATGCATTTGAGTCCCACAACAGACACTTGTTTGCACCTAAACAGACCAACTGCTCACTAAATTAGGCCACCACTCATTGTGTGAACTCATAATCTGGCAAGACACCTCCTTGCTGAGACATCTTTCTGGTTTATCAGAAGGAACTGTGCCAGATGCTTTTTTTCTGTGCTTTAACACAATGCATTGACCTTATTTCTTTCTCCTCAAACCAACCAAGATCAATACATCCTGTAAGACAGACAACCCCAGCTAAAAATGGAGGATAGCACTGAAAAAAACTACAAGCAGCAGCAAAACAATCAAGCTCAGCTTTTCATAAGGATGTATATGGATTCGCTGTCAGCTCCCCAGAATCAGTTCCCCTGTTTGGTTATCCGCGCCCAAATCAGAGGGCAAAGACAAGGCACCAAGCCTTGATTCTTGTTTACAAAGACCCAAGGCCTGTGCTCACAAGCACTGGATGCCCAAGCGCAAGCTTGCACTTGTAAAGGGCATCAGCAACAAAGGCAAGGGAAGCAGCAAACGTGATCAAGGGCATCAATCCAGGGATTGAATGGAAGATCCAAAGAGTTATTGATACCTCTGTGCCTCCTCCCAAAGCTCCTGAGCCCCCCCCCACCAGAAATAATCAATGATCCCTCACCATAAGTCCAATTTGTATTGAATCAAGACTGAAAGTGGGAATGGGACAGTAAGCCTACTTTGTACGACAAAAAGACCTGCTTGAAAAAGAAAGATATTGCAAAGGCAATTGAGCTTGCTAGGTTTGCAAAGCCACTGCTGCTACCTCAGAAGATGATGGTCAGTGACAAACACAAGTGGTTCTTTGAGGTCTGTAGGACTGTGATGAGGAGGGAAAACAACTACATCCCTTCCATTCAATGTACTAAAGAGTTTGACTATGATGAGTGGGAACATCCTTACTACATGGATCAAAGCTTCTCCTTGAGGAGATGGATAATGAGAACCAGCAACCAAACCAGCAACAGAATAAGCAGCTGAATGAGCAAACGCATGAGCAACCAAATGAGCAACCAAATGAGCAACCAAATGAGCAACCAAATGAGCAACTTATCACCCTAGAGGTACCATTGAACCCCACCCTATTAAAGTCAACGGAGATGTGTACAGGAAGCTCATGGTTGAAAAGTTCTACCAGCCATTTACGAGAAGTTCCCCGGAGGTAACGGTGTTCTTCCAAGTTGCATCATCCAGGAAGACAATGGAAAGCCTCATACACTGAACACCAGAGCAGCTGTGACAGCTGCAGCTCGTGAGAGGAACTGGAATGATGTTGTGAAGCCCCAACCACCTAACAGTCCTGAATTTAATGTTCTTGATTTGGGTTTCTTCAATTCTATCCAGAGCCTTCAGCACAAGAAGTGGTCTTCTAATATGGACACATTGATTGCCAACGTGATTGCTGCATTTGAAGAATCCAAACGTGAGACTCTAAACAAGATATTTTTGACACTACAGTGTGCAATGGAGGAGTCACTTGGTGTTGGTGGTGGTGACAACACCACCTACAAGATTCCACACCTTGGGAAAGAAAAGCTTTCTCGCCAAGGGGAGTTTCCGGTATCGATCATTTGCAACCAACAAAAGATTGCCTTCACACATTCAGTACTGGCAGACTTCAACAATAGTAATACCAATACTAGTACTAGTTCTTAGTGCTGTATTGGTTCTAATAGTAATAGTAGTAAGAATAGTAATAGTCTTAAATATGAATGTTGACACAATATTTGTAGTACTTGTAGTACTTCTTATTGTACACATTCTATAGGGCCATTGCATACTGAACAATTGGCCCTCCAGTACCCACGTGCACTTCCCCCTTTTCAAATTACTCCCCTAGGAAAACGTGTGTTCTTATTTTTGGTGAAAAATAACCCATGTTTCTAAAACGTGTAAAATAACCCACAAAAGAACCCAGGAACCCACAAATAACCCACAAATTTTCAGTCATCTGGGTTGATGGAGAACCAAGGAGGATGTTAAGTATTTCAGTCCTTAACGTTATTTAATCACTGTTTTTTATATTGGGAAAAGGGCCCACCAGCAGGTTTCTTGAGGGTTTTTCGTGGGTTATTCATGGGTTATTTCGTGGGTTAACCCAGGAACTCAGGAACCCATGTTTTAAAACATGGGTTATTTTTTGTGAAAAATAACCCATGCTTTAGAAACGTGGGTTATTTTTGCAATTTTATTTGAAAAAAAAACACGAAGTCATACCCCCGATATTAGATTTCAAAGGGGGGACGCGCGCGCGTTGGTTCCGGAGCGGAGGGCCCAGACTGACAGATGAAGAAGTAAAGTAAATTTCTAGAATATCGGGAATCACCCAATAAACATGACGCTGCGCTCCAACAGAAATTTCGCGGAATTTATCCTCATGACCGAGAAATGACTTCTTCATAAATAATTTTGAGAGATCTCAGCTTCGTAATCGTACAGGGTGGATGTACACTGTTAATCGTACAACAAAAAATTACACAAATTGATCGTGCGAGTCTTCAATTTTCACGAGATTTCTAGCGAATTCACACGTCTTCATTACCAATGATTTTGCTCAAGTCCAAATTGGGCGGAGTGAGTCTTACTGCGTCACTTTTTACTACTTGAAGAAAAGAACAAAAACGAGTAGTACTACTAACGCTTTTTTCATTAATAGCCGTTGTGTATCACAAATCGCGCACTTCTAAAATTTCTACAGCAAATGTTCTACGGGAATAAAATCTAGTGATCTACAAGAACGAAACAACGCCAAAGGGTCACAACATTCCTTCACCTGTCATAAATAAAGGTCGACCTGCATCAGCATCCTACCTTTAGCGGCCACAACCAGCAACAAAGAAATCAAAAGCATATCTCTGGTCTTACATTTTCTCATTTGTATCTTCATTCACTGATCTCCCACGAGTCTCCGTTACTGTGCAATCGGTCATTCAGATCAATAACATACCGTTTCGTCACACCTTTTTTCTCGATTACTCCGGAAGCGGATCCTGAAGCAATCGAAATACTCACACACAAGCCCACCAAGTCATCATTGTCTCTACAGCAACCAATCTATTAACACTGCTACAAGGATGAGTTCTACAAGTCAACTTGCAACCGCAGCATCAAGAGCGATGCTACTCTTGTCGTTGCCCGCCGCGATCGTAGCGGACGGGCTTAGCGGGGGATTCCAGAGTGGCCCGAGCCCTGGATCCTTCTACTCGGGTGGAATGTCTTACCGCGGCGGTGCAAACGTGGTATGGTTGACAGGAAGCCACTACAACACCGATCTGTATCCTAACGATGGATCGAAATTCGAACGCATGATGGGTACCGAATCTGATGGTGCGTCGAGTTGTTACATTGCTAAACTCGATCTCGGCAAGGCATCGGATACGTTTAACTTTCTCGATGATTGGAAGTCCTACGGAAACGCCGGGAAAATCGAAACCTGTTCGTCCATCACGGCAACCTCGATGTCGGATGCTTACGTCGTTGGAAGCGTCGGCGAAGGGGGCTTGTTCTCAGATGGGTATCCAATGCAGGGTCTTTTGTCGGTCTTGGACCCCGATACTCTCGAGTTTCTTGACGCAACGCTCATCAAATCGGCCGAAGATCCTTCCCGATTTATGGTGTACCCCCTGGATGTCGTTCACGACAACAGAAGAGCCAACATCTACATTGCAGCACTAACATCTACGGACGCTCAGGAAAATACTGTCTTGGATTCCGAGCCTAACTGGCACATACAGCGAAAGATTGGTTCTGGATTTGATGTCACTATTGTCAAAATCAGTACCCGAAACGAGAAGCCCTCGGCAGAATGGGTCAAGCACTTCCCCCTCGATGTGGAAGCGGATGGCACCACACCGCCCGTCTTTGTCGCAGGTATCATCCTCCAAAAGGATGAGGCCGGAATCAACCACGTTGTCCTCTCGGGAAGCACGCGGGGTACTGGCGAGGCCTTTGGTCCTGCCGATCCAGGCACCACCGACGAAGACGGATTCATTGTGCAGCTCGATCCAAAGGACGGAAGCTTCCTCAAACAAAAACGACACAAGGGTACGGATTACAACTTTATGGAAAGCCTCCGAGAAGGAACCGATACGGATGATTTCATCAAGGGCATCTGCAACAACCGTGGAGCCTACTTGGACGGAGGAAACAGCGATGTTTTCTATGTTGTCGGAGGAACGAAAGGAGACATGACCACGGATGGCCAAGGACCCCAAGACTACGACGACAATGCTGGGTTCCAGTTTGGTGCGGGTGTGGATGCCAAGTACCGCGAAACCTGGAACAGAGAGCAGTCGCTCATGCCCTTTTTGAGACAGGTCAGCATCAACAAGAGCCTGGCACCCAACTGGACAACCCAGTGGGGTGCATTGCCCGGCGAGGTATCTCCCGGCCAGAGTTTGCCCACTTCTGCCTACGCCGTGGATTGTTTCGTGGACAACGAAAACAGTGCCATCTACGTCGTTGGAAACGTCATGAACGGAGCCAAGATGACCCAGGGAGACGTGGAAATGATCAACCAGGGAGGAGACGACATTTGGGTTGCCAAGGTCGACGAGACAACCGGAAACGTCTTTTGGTTGACCCAGCTGGGAAGCATGGACGACGAGAAACTTGCTCACTACGGAAGTGTTGCCGTCAACACGGAAGGCAACGTCCTCATTTACGGAGACACCACCGGAAATATGTACCGCCAACGCGGCGATGAAGAATCGAACGACAAGACCGACATGTTCCTCATGACCGTTGATGGTTTGACCGGTGCGGTGATGGACAAGTACTACCTCGGTGGAACCTCCAGCGGATCGGTGGCCACGACTATCAACGGCGTCCCCCCTGTGGTTTCCATCCCTCCGGTTGCCGCTCCCACCTATGCCCCGGTAGTAGCCATTCCGGCTACTCCCATCAACCCGCCCACTGCAACTCCCGTCGAGGAACCCGTCGCGAAGCAAGAGAACAAGGCCGGTGGCAAGAAGAGCAACGCCGGCGTGGTCGTCGGAATCCTCTTTGGCATTATTGCCTTTGCCATTGTCTTTCTCGTGTTTTACTCCCGCCACGTCAAGAGAAAGAAGGCCGAGGCCCAAAAGTCTTCCATCTTTGCCTGCCTCCAGCAGTTTGACGTCGAGGACATTGACCTCCGCCGATCCCCCCCGGGAGGATGGCACGGGACCTACATGAACAAGCTCGCCCACGGCGTCAACAGCGCCGACGACCTGCAGGCGGAGAGCACATCGACTCCCTACGAGGACACCCCCATGACGCACTCCAGCGTCGCCAAGGACGCCCTCTTTATGGACTCGAACGCCAAGTCGGGCGAGGACGGAAGCAACTTCCAGATCGACGACGAGGACGAGGTCGACATCCGGCTGAACGCCAACTCGGAGGTGGTCTAGAAGACGACGACGACGACGCCAACGCTGTTTGGCCTGCCCACGCATCCGGTCCATCGGTTGTGTTCCGCTCGTTTGTGTGCCTTTTACGGCAAACCATTCGATCGAGGACACTGTCCGGCCGAGGGAAAGAAAACCATACACCATCATGTCAGCAAGTGCATTGCTCATCACTCGTGGAAATCAGCAATCACGCCAGTATCTGCCGTGACAGGGAATCGCATTCTCAATCGTTCATGCAAATACTTTTTCATTGTACAATATAACAACTAAACATTCTTGCGCAAAACTTTGATTTTTGTAACGTGTATCTATTGTCTGCTTTTTTGCCGCATCTCCTAGAACCGCCGGAACGAATCCATGCTTCCATCTTTAAGGAAACCAACCCGCGGTCTTGTCACTGACTTGATTCGGACAGTAACACAACAGAAATGCATGCATGAATGAATTCTTATCAACATATTTCTTACTGTAGTATCACATTATCATTTAGTGGCGGGGGAACGCCAATCTCCGGGTGGTTTTGTTCGGTTCCACGTGCTTTGCTTCGATGCTTGGTGTGGACGGACGGAGGGAAGGATCCCCTTTCCGGGGCGAGGCTATGCGAACAACGACAACGACCGATTCCGCCCATCCCTCCCATCCTCCCACCACGTGCTTCGCTGTGCTGTGGGGTGCGTTGCGTTGCATCTTTTTTCCTGCGCCTTGGTGGGGTTCCACCCCTCGCTCGCTCATATCGAGGCCTGCGTCGGGGTCCTCCGAAAGTAGTGCTCGTCGGTGCTGGTGGTGGGAACCGCAGCCGCAACCGCCGCCCTTGCATCGGCGGCGGCCGAGGCCACCGGGGGATACGGATAGGGGGCCCGGGGGGGATCCCTTGGAGGGGCTTCGATCTCGATCCAGTCTCCTCCACCGCCGTCGCCATTGTCGTTGTCGTTGCCACTGCCTTCGCTCCCGTCCTCCCTCGACAGGAGGAGCGAGTCGTCTGGTTCCGGTGCGGCGGAACGATGGAAGCACAGGGCCCCGACCTCCCTCCGGATCTCCGTGAGGGACTCGGAGAAGTGCCTGGAGAGGTCCGCCGGGGAGCCGAGGCAGGAGTGGCAGCCGGAACCGCTTGCGGGCGCTTCCGCTTCCGCCGAAAGGGACGCCCCAAGGGTGCCTGTTGCGCGGTCGAAGAAGGGGTCGGCGACCGAGGTGGGGGAGCCGCTTCCGGGCCCGCTTCCGGTCTTGGCCGCCGAGACCGGGCCGGCCCGAGAGGGTGCCCGGCGGGGGGAGGAGCCGACCAGCGACGGGGGGATCGCTGCTTCGGCGGAAGCCGGGTCGTCGTCGTCCCCAAAGACGTGGTGGTGGGTGGAGGCCTCCCGGCTGGCGAGGCTCGCGATCGTTCGGGCGTCGGCTGCGCTGGCGGACGCGGACTTCGACGCGGACGCCACCCCGTCCCTCTGGTCGAGGCGCTTGAGGATCCGCACGATGCGATCCATGTGCCGGACCCTGCTGCTGCTCGTGCTGGTGTCCTTGGGGCCATTGACGATGACGTCCACCACGACGCCGCCGGCGCCGGCGCCCCTCGCGAGGATGGTTTCGGCGCTGCTCCAGGCGGTGGTGGCGGTGGTGACGGTGGTGTCGTTGGGGGGAGTCCTTGTGCTGGTCCCGGTGCTGGTGCTGGTGCTGGTGCTGGTCCCGGTGCTGGAAGAACCAGTGTCCCCGGAAGGGCCCCGCTCGATGCCCCCCCCGCGGGCGGAAGGGTCGTAAAAGCCACCAAAGCTCCTTTCCGCGGTTTCGATGCACCCGAGGCCCGGATCGGGCCAGGCCCCACCGCAAGGGGTCCCGGTCGAGAGGCTGGAGAGCCCCGAGGCCCCGCAGTCGCGGTCGCCGCCCCCGGCCTTTTTTCGAAAGACAATGATGGGCCGGGGGGGCCCGGTGGAACGCCCCTCGGGGGGGTTCTTGGGAAGCAAGCGCGCCGGGGGCAGGGGCCGGTGCCCCCCCTCCGGGGCGGGGGGGACCGCCAGCGGCTGTCCCGGGCCCCAGCCGGCGTCCTCCCCCGAGGCCCCGTGCCTGGGGATCCACCGCGAGGAGGTCCTCACGGACTTGTCGAAGAGGGGGACGCCCGGTCCGTAGAGCTTTGGGTCGTCGGTGTCGTTGTTGCGGTTTCGGGAGGGCCTGCTGCCAGAGCCGGTGGCCGAGTTGTAGGCGTTGGAGACGCCCGAGTAGTGGAGCTGGGAGCTCCTCCTCCCGCTGCTTCCGCGGCGGCGGGGCTGGTCGCTCCCGCGGCGGATCGAACCGAAGATCGCCATGGTGGACGGGATGTGTGGGATGTATGGGATGTACGGGATGTACGGGGTGTACGGGATGTATGGAATGAACCGTATGGAATGTACTGTATGGATGGGATCTGCAACACCGTTTGGTTCTCGGAGAGCTCGGTTGTGCACGGGTTCCGAGGCAAGGTGTGCTGCCAATGCCAATGCCAATGCCAATTGCCGGTGGAGTGTACGGTACCGTACTCTTTGTTCCGCAAGTGCTTGTGTGCTTTTGCGAATCAATGTTCTTTTCTCGAGGGTAACAGAAGTTGTGTTTTGTTTCGTTTTGTTTCGTGAAGTTGTGTTTTGTTTCGTTTTGTTTGCGTCCGCTGTCCCTCTTTTTTTCCTTGATGCTCCGCTTCGAGAGCAGCTGTTCGGATCCCCTTCGGTGGGTTGGGCTTGTAAAATGGTGTGTTGTGGGTGTCCTTTCCCTTGGCGAGAAGGCAAAGAACGTCCGAGGCCCGGACAAGAACGTCTACCCCGATCCGTCTCGAGGGACACAAAGACCCGTTGAAGCATGTCGGGGCATGCCGGGTCGTGACACCCTGGTTTCGCGGCACGACGGCCCACACCGGTAAGTACGAGAATCCCACTCGTAGTCGTACGACGGGATCCATATCCATCCGATGCAATGGCGGAAGACTCGATGATTCGCCCGATACAGCATAGTACAGTAGTAGCAAGCAGTGCGTTGTTCCCTTGGCGCCCCCCATCCATCGGAAGACGGGAGACTAGACGTGCCGCCCCACCGGCGGGGAACGAAACGGGCGGCAAAACGGGTTCTCCGGTGGAATTCCCCGTTTCCATGGGGGCGAAACCGGAACCGGGAGGGTTCTAGGGGACTCGTTCCCGCCAAATCCCTCCCCTCTACGGCGTTCCCTACGGGGGCTGTTCCACACGGGTCCCGGTTCCCGCTCCGGAACGGGCTGGCTGGCTCGGTACGTACCAGAACCTACCTATCGTACTACGAGAAAGGGGGGACCGGAACGCACGGTACGTACCTTTACTTCAGAAGTACCGTACATTGTTCAGCAACACTGGGCCCTCCAGTACGATACCCACCCACGCGCGCACCCCCCTTTTCGAATTCCTCCCCTAGAAAAACGTGGGAGAGGAAGTCTGGGAGATATGCCACCGATGATGTACAATATCTATTCAAGGATCCAGAGCACTCACAGTGGAAGAAGAAAATGGAAGCAACATTCATGGCAGGGCAGATTGTTTCTGTCACCAGCACTAGTAGTAGTAGGAAGGGTGTCGTTGTTGTCCATTTTCTCAATCCGTGCCCGGGTGAAACAAAAAGCGAATACTGGCATTGGTGGGCCGGAGGAGTGAAATACATCATGGTGGTCTGTTGCCATTGCGGCTAGTAGCTTCACAATGATCCCGAAACATGTTGGTCAAGCCAACTGCGCCTGCCCTTTTTGGGACAAAAAGAGAAAGTTGGAGAGGGCATCGGCTGCAGGAGACAAATCTGTGTTTGAGGGTTCCGACAATGAACCCAACCCCGAACCATTTTCAATGAAACTTCCAGCAAAGAAGAAAAGAAAGCCAGACCCCTGATACTTAGCAATGATGAAGCTGATGCAGAAGAAGTGGTGAAAGACAATTGGTGATTGCATTGAAATGCAACAAGTTGCTTCTCGTCTGATTGGGGCTGCATTGTTCTAACATTTACTTTTAACGGGTCTGACTGAATTTTCCAGTGTCATTTATGTCTTGTCCCAACATTTGCCACAATAACGACAACGGCAACAAGAAAGGTTCTTGAAGAACAGCAGAGGAGGAGAAGAAATTGTAGAATACTACTAGTAGTACTAGTAGTTGTGAGAATACTTAAAATATAGTGGATCCAGAACTGTAATTCATAAATTTGGAGAATGTCAATTAGATAGGCACCCGCCAAAACCAGTATTTGAAGGCAAACTGTCCCTGATGTCTGTTTAGTAGTCATTCTGACTGTGTGGTGTACGCACCGTACCTTCATTGTGATAGGAAGGTACGTACGCACATAATACCGGGAGGTCGACGAAGGAACGAAGGAATCCATCCATCTTGTGGGATTCACAAAATACCGAAAGAACAAAGAACAATCCCCCGCACGAAACGAAACGCAACACGGCACGGCACGCGTTTCGTTTCGTCCACGGCACCATACATTCGGGGTGCGCCATGCCGTGCCGTGCCATGCCGTGCCAGAATCTTCCCCCGTCCTCGGATTGGATGAATTTTTTGCTTTTGGGATGCAGTGCGCACACGACGACTTCTGTTATTCGCGCTTGCCTTCCGTTCCGGGAAGGGAAGGGAACGGGGTAGGGGGAACGACCATCGAAAGAATAGTCCCAGCCGGCAGAAAGGGGGAGTTGACCCCCCAAACGTACCGTACGGACTACCGGCAAGGTTGGTCAAAACGAGAACTACGAAACTACCAAGTAGAGTACAGTCTTGCGCCGAACTCCTAATACTAGCAATAGCGACAGGTGTCCACCATCCGTGCCATTTGCTAGTAGTCAGTCCCATTGATAGAGCTCTAAAAGCACGATGCTCTAGGGGTGGTTCGAAAGAATTGCTTGGCCACTTCGTCACCGCATAATGCATCTGGCATTGGTGGTATGATTCCTGAAGTGTAATATGAACGGTTTACAAATATAATTAGTACAGTAGTTGTATCGTTGTTTTTAGTAGTGGTCAAGTGCCGTTGTCGTTGTATCGTGCCACGCCTTGGCTTGCTGGGCATCGTTGCCAGACACCAAGAAAAGCATGTGATTCGGCTGCTGCTTGCCGCTACTACTAGTAGTAGAGGCAGGATCACCCCTCCGGCCGCTCGTCCTCGAAGCGGTCGGGAACCGCCCACAGCCCCAGCGCCGGGTTCCCGATGAAGAAGAACTCGCCGCTGCCGCTGCCGCCGCGCCACCCGTCCCCCGGGAGGTCCTTTGGGTCGAGGCCGTATTCTCGCAGGGTTTCCCCGAGGTCCGCGTACCCAAAGCCCACCCCCTCGACGTCTTCCCGTGACAGGTGCGGGCCCGGGCAGTAGGTGACACGGAACCGGCCCTCGCTGCTCCCGTGGATCAGGTGGGCGACGGCGCCCAGGTTCTCTGCCAGCTCCCGGTTCCTCCCGATCCCCGAAGAAGCCGTTTCGTCGCCGTCGCCGTCGTCTCCCGTGTTCAGGCAGTCCATGATCTTCTTCGTCCCGACGTACCCGTGCTTCCGGATCAGCCGGTCGACCGTCTCGTCCTCCCCGAACCGCTTGACCCCCGGCGCCAAAACGACCAGCTCCCCGCCGTCGGCGATCGCCATCCGCGTCCGGTAGATGGCCTTGTTGCCGAGCCAGGTCGAGTGAAACTCGTCCGGATCGAGGTAGACGACCATCTTGGACGGAGACCGATCCAGCATGGTGAAATTGGCGGCCATGCTCAGCTTGCAGGCCCTCCGATAGCACTCGATGGTGTTCCCGACAAAGACCCCCCGGAGGCTCCCGTTTGGGGCCACCACCGTCAGAACGTACCACAGGTCCAGCTTGGACTGCAAAAAGTCCTCGCTGGCCCTGTTCAGTATGGCCCGCAGGGGGTTGTCGGCCCGGCCCATCATGTTCTCCATCCCGTAGACGGCGCCGATGAAGTGGGAGAGGTTGATCGCCTCCAGGCCGCCCACCCCCACGAAGAGGTTCTTGTTGAAGTTGGCCATGCCCATGACCTCGTGCGGGACGACCTGCCCGATCGAAACGACCAGGGGCGGTGGTGCCTCCTTTTCGCCCCCCCGGTGGAGCGCGAGACGCTTCTCCCAGACGGCCCTGTTCAGCTGCGCCGGCCACGGCCGGTCGACCATCCCGTTGGTGGCCTCCCGGACCATCGCAGCCGGGACGTGCCCGATGGTCACCACGTCCTTCCTCCAGTCGTGCACCAGAAAGGGACCGCCGCCTTGTGCGTCCGAGAGGCCCGCGAGCTCCGGGCCGTACATGGTCTCGATCTGTTCGCGGGTCATGGGGGCGTGGGTCCCCAGCGCCGGCATAATCTTGAACTCTTGCGGCGGCGGGAACCCCGAGGGGGGAGGAGCGGGCGATCCGGGGGACGGCGGTATGCACCCGTAGTACCGCGCGATCATTTGCGTGATTTTCCCCGCCTTGGAATGGAACCGCGTGAAATCCGGGGGGAGCAGAAAGACGTCGTCCCGCTTCCCCAGCTTGTCCAGAAAGGAGTGCAGTCCCTCGCGCAGCCGGTCGTCGCCGATCCCGTCGGCGCTGGTCGGGTCGGCAAGGATTTCGCACGGCAGCGGGTCGAGAGCCGGGGCGTTTTCTGTGGAGTTTGTGCTGGCCATCGTGGTTGTGTGGTCGTTGTGGTGTTTGTTCTTGTTGTTGGTTTTGTGAATTGTTGATGTTGTAAATATGTGCTTCTGTTTCTTCTTTGTGACTGTCAACTCCAAGGAACCTCCCACTGAGAGAATGATCCGCTGTACAGCGTGGTTTCAAAAGTGCCATCAATCCCAAAATCTAGCAACAAGATCCCTGAAGAAGATTGCGATGATTCGATTCTTCTGCGGAGCGAAGAAAACATTTCTCGCTCTCCTTCATGTGGAGGTTCGGCATCTACTACGTACGTACCGGTACCTACTCATACTTCGTATGTCGTATGGTATGATCATCAGAGTTATTATCATATTATCATACAGTACATATGAATATGAAAGATATTTTTCATTTTTCTCGGATGCGACGATACACGATGCCCTGCGGTACTACCGTTACGTACCGGTACATGAGAAGCACTTGACCGGAGCAGATCGTCGAAATCTACAAAATCAACTCATGTAGTTTCTTGAAATATACCCAAGCGGACCTGTGATTCCTAGAGCTCTTTTCGTTCTCTTGCGGTCGAAGACAATGTTCCCCATGAAGTCGACTCATAGCGCATGCCTGCGTGCAGGAACGTGGGATACGAGTGCCAGTAACCGAGTCAGTCTAGTCTGCGTTTCTCAAATTTATTTTTATTATTACATTAATCATTCGCTGTGAGACTTTCTTCGCGGAGGAACGCCCATGGAAGAAGTGCTTTCAAAACGATCCAAAAATTTATTTGCTCTCGAAGTTGACGATGCGTCCGAACTTTTCGGCATCGAGGGAGGCACCTCCGACAAGGCATCCGTCGATCTCGGGCATGGCCATGAGTTCATCAACACTGTCCGGTGTCACGGATCCACCGTATTGGATTCGGGTGGCCTGTGCGACTTCGTCGTCGTACATGCGGGCCAAGATGGTTCGGACGAAGGCATGGGTGTCGTCTTTGTTTCGTTCAGAGTAATGGTTCCCGGTACAAAATTGTCAAAGGTCAAACAAATATTGAAATTCAAGAAAAAGGGGAAAAGGTGTCAGAAATTTGTTGGTTGTTGCAATATAGAACGCCAAACTGTTGAAAAACATGCGCGTGTATGACTCTTGGTTACTCGATAAGCGACGACCACAGTCGAATCTTCCGAGGAATCTGACTTACTGGCTTCTTGGGATCCGCAAACCAAACCGGTTCCAATGGCCCAAACGGGTTCGTAGGCAATGACGACATCGGCCATTTGTTCCTTGGTGACTCCGGCCAGATCCCGGGAGAGCTGCATGGCGCAGACCTCGTTCTTGATGTTCAAGTCGTATTCGTTCTTGGTCTCTCCGATGCACAAGATGGGCTTCATTCCGGAAGTGAGAACCTTGAGGACCTTGCGGTTGATGGCGTCGTCGTCATCGCTGAAAATTGTTCGGCGTTCGGAGTGACCGCAAAGGACGTATTCGCATCCGATGGAGTCAACCATGGAAGCGGAAACACTTCCGGTGAAGGCACCCTTGTCTTCGAAGAAGATGGATTGGGCTCCGACGGTGATTCCGACTTCTTCGACGGCATCCTTGACCTTGGAGATGAAGGGGAAGGGAGGGAAGAGAACGACCTCGGTACAGAGAGGATTTTCGTCGTCCAAGGGGCAGGTCTCATCGCCCAACAATTTGGTCAGACCGGTTGACAAAGAAATGGCATCGTCCTCGGTGGCGGGGTTCATCTTCCAGTTTCCGGCCATGATGGGTTGGCGGACGGCCTCGAGGGCGGTAGCGGAGGCACCATTCGAGCGAGTGACGGGGGAGAAGGCCTCGGTCGAGGAGGCAAGAGCAAGAGCGGCAAAGGCGGTGAACTTCATTGTAGGATGTTATAGGTTCTTAAAAGAGATCTGAAAAGTTATGGATCCAATAGTTGTCCTCATGTAGAGGTAGAAAAAGCCGGAAAAAGACTTTTGGGTTCCGATGACGACAAATGATGTACGAGTAAAGAAGCAGATACCGTAGTACCGTTACGTTAGTACTGTAGTACCGGTACCAGTACTCGTACGGATAGCTTACGGCGGCTGAGTGGATGGTCTGACAAAAGATTTTTCTCCTCCGTTCCCTTCCGATTTAAGTTCGAGAATGCAAATCGATTGGAGGATCTGGGAAAGTAACCGTTGTTGTTAATGCGCAGAATCGCCAATGATATGACTCGATGTAGAATATTGTGCTTCCCGCAGATCGGTGGTTGCGCTGTTGATGTCACCCTAAGCGTGGGGTCACTGACGATTGCCTTCTCATTCCGTCCGTCCGCACGTTCCCAGTCGCAGGTATGACCCCTGCCTGGTCATACTCACAATACGACAGCGTGTCGTTTAGAAATATTATTAAGAGTAAGGTTCAATGGAGGGCATCAAAAATCTAGTAGTAATTATTATGAATCGGGTTAAGGGTATGAAATTTATCGGGACTGACTCACTCACTATCAAATCAGTTACGAGGTAATGAATCGCAGTTCGCAAATCGTTGTTGTACTACCGCATTATTGCTCGTGAGGCTAAATCACGTTGCTAACAAGATCAGATGTACTTCTATGATAGCTATTTTATTTCTGGTACTTGGTATTGATACATAAATGCATCACCACTTCGATCTCCAGAGTTTTTCATTTTCAAAGAGGCTGATGCCGCATTCGAAAAGTCATTCACTTTGGGATTTTTGTACTGTGTAAGTTCGATAGGTGGCTCGTGCATTTTGTTCTGAGAAAATAGGGATGAAAATGAGTCGGACAAGAAAGGCACAGCGTGCGTATCTGTGTGTGTGTGTGTGTGACTTTCGATCGCCACCGCCTAAGTTCTCTGTGTGAATTATTGCTTGCTAGTTAGCTAGCTAGCTTGGCAGCCACGGCACTTTGGTTATGCCGTGGCGCCCTGTCAGCTGGAACCCATTCCCGCGGTGCAACCAAAGCAGTGGTTGTCGGTGCGGATACGGACGTCTCTCAGGTCGTCGAGGGATTCGATGTCAAAGACAGTCTTCCCCCCGCGGTGGATGCTATCGACGCCGACGGCGTACCCCAGTTGCTGGTTGAAATCGCAATCGTATATCTATGCATGCATTTGATCGAAACAGAAAGCGTTTTGAATCCAAAAAGCGCAAAGGACCCGGACACGCGTGAGTTATTTCCAAAATCAAATACGGAGAACGACAAGCAACCGCCGAAAAAAAGAAAACACTCACCTTCCCGTCCCAACCAATGTTAATGGTATCGAGGCACATAAGCTGCTGGACCGTGTCGGGGTTGAAGTTTCGCACCAGCAGGTCCATGTACTCGGCGAGCTCCCCCCGGCGGTGCAAAAAGTCGGCGAACCGCTTGATGGGCATGTTGGTGATGGTAAAGAGCTGGTCGAAAAGGATTCCAAAGTTGTCGGCGAGCTGTTTCTGGTACTGCACCTGGAGGTTTTCCTGGGGCGGGGGCAAGAAGGCCCCTAGCGGGTTGTAGACCAGATCGAGCTGCAATCGGGGCCCGTCATCGGTTTCGGCTTCACGGCCGTCCCTTCCGTACCCGGCCTCGTTGAGGGCCAAAAGGGCAGCGATCGATCGCTCAAAGACGCCGCTTCCCCTCTGGGTATCGACGTTTTCGGCCGAGTAGCACGGAAGGCTGGCGATGACGTGGACGTCGTGCTCTTTCAAAAAATCCACCAGGTCTTCCTGGCCCGGCTCCTGCAGGACCGTCAGGTTGCACCGGTCGATGATGATCAGATCCTTGCCCCGGATGGCCCGGGCCGTGCTCACTAGGTAGCGAAAGTGCTTGTTGAGCTCGGGGGCGCCGCCTGTGATGTCCAGGGTGGTGATGCTGGGGGTGTTTTTGAGGAGCTCCAGGCACCGGGCGGCCGTTTCGGCGGTCATCATTTCCGCCGTCATGAGCGGCGAGGATTCGACGTGGCAGTGGCCGCAGGCCTGGTTGCAGTAAAGGCCGATGTTGATCTGGAGGATCGTCGGTGGTTTTCGCTGCAACCGGTAGGGCTTGACGCTCTTGGTGCCGATGGTGGGGGTTGCCGCGTCCTCCTCCTTTTTGTTCGTGATTTGTTCCGTCAAAAATTTTGCAAAGGGCTGGACCTTGAGTTTGTCCAGGGCCCGGCGCCTCTGTTTCCGTTCCTCCTTGGAAATTCCCGCTAGCCCCACTTCCTTGATTCGTTTCTGGGTCGTCTGAAAATCCTTGTCGTTTTTCAGCTCGTCCATTGTCTGATCCACCAGAGAGGATCCAAACAAATCGGATCGGCGCCACTTGTTCTCCTCAATTCCCACCTTGGTGTCGTAGTCCTCCTTTGGCTCGCGTTTTCTCCTCTTCTTTTCGAGCTTGATCTTGTCCACCTCCACCGTGGTTTTCCCGAAATCGGGCAGGGACGCCGAGGTGGACGATTCGGTTTCGTTGACGGCGCTCATTCGCAGAGCGGTGGCGGTTGCGATGATTCCACCGACATGGCTCCGATGGGTGCTTCTCCCCGAATTTCCGGTGGTCCACGCACTCACAAAGGAGTTCGTGTTGGCAGTGGCAGCTGCGAGGGAAACGACCACGGCAGCGGCCAGAAGGACGGGCGATGCCTCCTTGTTCGTTCGGGAACGTCTTGTGCCGTTGGGCGTCCGGTGGATCACCATTGTGCTGTTGATTCGGTCTTTGGCTTTGCTTAAGGACCGCACGTTTTTCGGAACAGTCTTTTTTCGGAACTTGATGGCTCAGCTCAATGTTGTTGATTAAATTGCAAATTCCATAGCTTCGTTGAAAAGGATAGCTTGCTACGCAAGGTTTCTGTGTACGGAAGTATGTACGAACGTACGTTATTCGTACTGATTGATACTCGTACTCTGATCTCTGATGGCAGCAGCGCTCAATCAGTCAGATGATTCGAAAAGTTGGGTGCATCCAAAGGAAGTTTTCAGTTTTCGTTTTGTGGTTCGGTTTTTTATTCATACATTGCGGTTTTCCTTCAATGCAAAAGCGAAGAACCATATGACTACTATGTATCATATATTGACTACATAAGTACGATATGAAAGACGTTTACAATAAAATAAAGAGTGAGGATGAGCTTATGCTCACTCACTATCTACTCGTGATTTACGGGATTTGTGGATTACTGGCTCACATAGATAGGGGACGAAAAGAAACGTCCCTCCCACATGAGAAGAGAATCAGATACAAGTATCGAATATTTGTATCACGTCCCCTCTCTTGTGACAGCAACGCAAGCCTCTCCAAAAAAGGCGATACAGGTCCAGTTCTTTGAAAATTCTGTAATGTTCCTCAAACAAACGGCGAAATGGCTCAAAGACTCTTAACAAAGCGTTCATAGCTTTTCGACAGCACACACAATGCAGCGATATCACAAAAGAATATTCGAGTGAGCATTGCCGTTCTGTACGAAAAGGTCCTCGGGAGTCCACCAGAGACCGAATGGGAGGCAAGGAACACGGTACAAGAGCTTTGCAGCCTTCTGGGCGAGGGTGGGCCGGATCGAAAGCACGAGTTTGGTGCTACCGTCAGGACGGTCCTTCGCGAAGAGATTCACTGCCAAAAACACAAACTGATGTATACCGGGGAAGGAGATTGCGCCAATGCTGGGCAAACCATAGGTGCCAGCGACAATGGATGATTCATGCCCCGTCGCTTCTTGATACCATTATAGAACTTTGCGTCGATTTCAACGTTACTATAGATAGGAATGCGAAACGGCTTGGACCCCGGAGCCACAAGCAGCACGGCAGTAGTAGTTGTAGTAGCAGCAGCAGCAGCAGCAGCAGCAGGACGCGAAGCGGTTCAGCGCGGTGGGACCGTCTGTGGGACCGTCTGTGTTCTCGCTCGCTCGGTGGTCTTTTCGTTCAGTCCCGAATCGTCACGCCCGGAAAGTGGAGGGGGATCGTCACCTCCCGGAGGCGCCTGTGGCGCTCCCGGGCCCGGGCCTTGTCGTGCCGGCAGTCGTGGTAGTACAGCCGAAGGGTCCTGGACACCCGGCCGTCGGTGCGGTGGACGTAGGGCTTGTGCTCGGCGTTCTCGACGGTGACCAGCGGCCGGGGTTTTTTCGCGCCGCCGCCGGCCAAAGCGGTGTCTCCCGCAGCCGACGCTTCGGCAAACAGCTCGCGGTCGATCACGGCCTGCAGGGCCTCGGCCGTAAAGGCGGGGGCGGCTTTCGCGTCCGGGGTCCCGGCCTCCCCCTCGCGGGGGAGCCACACGCCGATGCAGATGGACGGCGGGGGGTGGGCCTCCTCCCTCCGCCGGTCCGCGGCCTCCCTCCCGGCCATCGCGCGGACGGCGGCCCTCGCGGCCTCCGTGTCGGCCACGGGGATGTCGAGGGGGATCCCCCAGCCCCGTTTCTTTTTCGGGAACCGCCGCCGCGGCGGCGGCGGCGCGGGGGCCGCCCCGGCCGGCGGCGGGACGGCCAGGAGGATCCGGTTCTTGGGGGTGAACTCCACCGGGATCCGGACCTCCGCGACGGAATAGCCCGCGTCGACGAGCCGCTGCTTCCGGTGGGCGTCCATGAAATCCGCCAGCGTGTACGAGGGGATTGGCGCGTGGGCGCGTCCTTTTTCGTGTTCGGTTCCCCTGCCCGCGCCCGCCACCAGCGCCGCAAAGCCCTCGGCCTGCCGGTCCGTCAGAATCTTTTTCGAGTGGCAGCAGGGGACCAGGGCCAGCGGGGCCCCCGCGCCGACGGCCAGGTCGATGATGGTGTCGGAGAGCCTCCCGCAGGCGTGGATCCCCACCAGCAGGGTGGAGGGGTCCGCGACGATTCCCTCGAGGTTCCCCTCGACGTAGTCCCAGCGGGAAAAGTTCCCGGTCCCGTGGCATCCCCCGCGGAAGCGCGGGTGGTCCTCGAAAAAGACCCCCGCCGCCGTCTCGGAGGACCGGGGCATGCGGATGTCGATGCAGACCGCCGTGAGGGGCCGGTCGTCCGGTTGCGGGGCCGGGTCGGGAGGGGATCCTTTGTCGTTGCCGGCCGCATCGTGGACTTCGGTCTCGCCGCCGTTTTCGCCCCCGCCTCCTTCCTCCGGCGAGGAGAGGAGGAGCAGGGCCCACGAGAGGAGGCCGTGGCTGCAGGCCAGGTCGGCGAACCTTCGCACCTTGGGACGGCCTCGGTCGCCGTTGTCGTTGCTGTTGTCGTTCCCATCGCCGTTGCCACCACGTCCCTCCGTCGACAGGAAGCACTCGTGGACGTACAGGGCCATGGCCCACGCCTCGAAGACCTCCTTTCGCGGGATGGCCCCGATCCTGCAGACGGACCGGGCAAAGGCGTTGAAGAGCCGAAACCGCCGGTGCCGGTCCCTCTTCTCTGCTGCTGTTTCCCCGCCGAGGGCTCCGCCAAAGTCCCCGTCGTCAAAGTCGGGGGCGTGCCGGGGCTTTAGGGTCCGGGTCCGCCCCGCGCCGGCGTTTTTGTGGTTGCCGTCGTTCGTTTTGCCGTGGTGGCCGCCGCTCGGTTTTCCCCCGTCGGGGCCGCTTCCACCCCGTTCCCTCATGCGGTGGAGGTCGGAGAGGAAGCGGAGCTCCTCGGCGATTCCATCGAACCTGCTGTTGCTGTTGCTGTTGCTGTTGCTGTTGCTGTTGCTGTTGCTGTTGCTGTTCCTGTTGCCGCTGTTGGCCTTGCTGCGATCGTTCCCCTCTTGTATGGCTGCCATGGTTTCGCGCTGCCACTAGGTGCGTGGTAAGTTCTCGCTCCCGGCCCGTGAGGGTGGTTCTGTTTCTCTTTGCGTATCGTCGCTGTGGATGGTTTCCGGGAAACAAGCTCGAGCTCGAGAACGAGAACGAGAACGAAATTTGTTCGTCGACACCCTAACAAAATGATAGGTCCGAACGAATTTCGCGATGTTGCGATTTCGTGTCGATGGGTTCCGGCACACGTCTCCCGTCTCCCCCTCCGTGATGGGACGATGGCCCGACGATGCGAGGCATTTGTGTTGCTCGTGGTCGCAGCACGGTTCGTACCTGGTACGGTACGTACGGACGGAAACGAAAGAGAACTAGCCGGTTCACGAGCTGTTCGGGACTCCTTTTCCCCCTCGATCATATCAGTATCAACCGAACCCCCTTCAAAAACCGAAAATGACCAAACCCCGATTTTTGAATTTCCGTCCCTAGTCCTGCTGCAAAGCGAGAAAACGAGCTTCGTCCCTCTCTCGTCTTTTTGGCAACGTTGGCAGTCCAGCAATATAGACGACGCAACAGGGCACGAACACCGGCTCTAGAACAAGGCAACGAGTGCAGCCAAACCACGGCGGGATATCGGTGCAATCGAATCAAACAGCAATGTTTTTTGCGGCCCCGCACGATTCGTTCGAGGACGGTGATGACCAGCAGGGGCCACTGTTACCACACGGCTCGGACCCACGCGGTGGCAACCACCTGCTGGCCCTCCGGAGGCTCCTCTACCGGATGGAGCGGCACGAAATCTTACCGGCGGGAGGCGGTGCCCACGACGGCGACGAAAACGACGGCCTTTGGCAACAACAGCAGCAGCAGCAACAACAACAAAAACTGCAGCCCTGGCACTCCCTGCGGATCCGCGCCGACCTGTGCCAGGACCTCTGGAAGGCCGTCGCGAACGATCACCTCGAATCGGAAGGAAGCGGCGGCGGAAACGGCGACACCCTTCGGCTCGAGAGGGCCGGCTACCTGGAGCTCTCGGAGCGGGTCGACCGGGCCTGCAAGCGGGCCTACCTGCTGGCGGACCGGGCCGAGGAGGAGGCATGCAGCGGGGGCGTTCCGGACCTGGTCGACCAGCTCTTTGGCAGCGACGGAGAAAACGAAAACGTCGACGACGAGGACAACGACGGTGCCTCGGAGGCGGAAGGAGGGCCGCAGACGCAAGAACACGGGGACGAGAACGATTTCTACGACGAGTTCGAGGACGACGACGGAGACGAGGAGGAATCCTCCAAGGCGTCTTCTCCGGAAGAACCCGGGGCCAGCCAAGGGCGCAAGAGCCGGAGAAACACCACCCCCACCGCCAGCACCACCCAGGAACTCCAGAAGGCCCAGCGGGAGCAGATCGAAAAGGCCATTGCCACGATGGCCCGCCAGATGAAGGAATCCACGCAGGGGATCCACAACCGCCTGCAGGAACAGACCGGGACGACCCTCGACGAGCTGGAAACGGTGGCGGAACAAAACGTGGCGGACGTTTCCAGGGTGGCCGAAACCGTTGCCTCCCACAACACCAGGGCGGCCGGGAGCCGGTGGGGCTCCCTTGCCACGATGGTCTTCCTGGTTGGCCTCTTTGCGGTGACGCTCCTGACCGTCTTTGCCGTTCCAAAGTCCCCCGATGCGGACCTTTCCAGGATCCTCTTTGCCAGGGAGGCCGACGGGGTGACCCCCAGGAGCCCGGCCGTCCGCCTCTTGAAATCCGCCCTCACGAGGGTCCGCGGGCTCGTCGCGGGAGACGATGACGACGCTTACGGCGACGATCCGGGCGAACCCTACGACGACGACGAGCGGTACAACGAGCTGCGCTACGAGGAACAACGAGAACAGCAGCGGTTGGAGAAGGAGCGGCTGGAGGAGCTCGTCCGGGACATGAAGCGACAAAAGCGGACCGCTCGGAAACCACCACAGCAGGAAGACCACAGAGTCAAAGAAGACGACGACGAAGATGAAGAAGACGACGACGACGACGACGACGGGGTTGCCGAAGCTGAACTCCCCGAAAGCGATGCCGGCTCGCCCCTCCGGGACCCACCGCAAGCACCAAAACGCGAACACCAGCAGCAACAGAAACAACAACAACAAGAGGAAGAGGAAGTCGACCCCGAAGAAGAAGAAGAAAGCGACGACGGCGACGATGACGACGAGCTCAACGGAAGTTATGACGACGATGATTATAATGAAGAATTCGAGGAAAAGGACGAGGATGGTAGTCACGAAGAAGACGAAGAGCGCTACAAAAGCGAGGAGGGCGGCGACGAAAACGTAGAACAAACAATACAAAACCAGGAATCACCGAAAACAGAACCACTGGAAGAAGACGAAGAAACAGAAATCGAAGAAGATGAGGACGATGACGATGACTATCTTGAAGACGAAGACGAACCCGACAATCCTTGGGGGATCAAGCCCATTGACGATAAAGAGGAACTTCGTCTGCAACAACAACAACAGCAACAACAACAGCACCAAGAGCGAGAACAGTCTACCAGGCAACAGCGCAGGCAGCAACGCCGCCAGGACAAGCAACAACGAGGTGCCGAACCAACACGGGCCGAGGTCAGCGTCGACGACATTCTCGCCTCCCTACAGCAGCAGCAACAGCAGGCCCCGGGAGAGCCGCTGGTCTCGGCGGGCGGCCCCCCCTCGGCGTCGGAGAAGGATGCCCCGGGCAGCGGGTTTCGCCGCGACGGGATCGCCACCCAGCAGATCGCTCCCCAGGAGCTGCGGATCGCCGCGGCCTCCAACGACCTTGCCTCCCTCGAGCGGTACCTGGACGTGGCACCGCAGCACGCCAACCGGCAGGACAAGCGTGGATGGACGGCCCTGCACTACGCCTCGCACCACGGGAACCTCGGCGCCGTCCGGCTTCTCCTCGGGCACGGCGATGGCGAAAGCGAGTGGGAGATCGACGCCGGAATCAAGTCGTTCGACGAGACCCCGCAGACGGCCTTTGACGTGGCGCTCGCGGTCCACGGGATCGACCACCCGGTTGCCCGGGCCTTTGTCGAGTCCGGCTGGCACGACGGCGGCGAAAGCGACGAACGGGTTCGCCGGGTCCTCGACGAAAAGAAGCGCCGCGACGAAAAGGACAAGCGCCTGGCCGACAAGGCGGAGCGGGAGCGGCTCGCCATCCAGCAGAAACGAGACAGGATGTTTGGGGACCTCTCCCGCTACCGGGCCATCAACAAGAACGGCGGCGACCTGGACGACGACGGAGAGAACGAAAGCGAGGTCGAGCTCCGGCGGAAACGCCTCGACGCCCTCCTCGGCGGCGAGCTCTAGAGCGTAACGCTATAACTCTTTTTTTATTCGGTAGTGTATTCATACTGGTGTTTATAATATGTGTACGGTGGTAGTATTGGGCTGCAGTGTGCAAGTGCGACAAAACACAAGTGACGACAACGGTGTTTGGCAATTGCTGTGCGCCTTTGTGGCGGTTCGTTCTTTCTCCCTCGGCAGCTAGATACCTTTTGTTCGCCGGCGCAGCACACGCTTCTTGTCGTCCCACCTGTACCCCTCGACCGTCTTTCCCGCGATCAGCCTGCGGGCCGAACGGCACTGCACTACCAGTGCGTTCTTGCCCAGGTCGGCGTTGTTGCTGGGATCGAAGGTCTTGCCCGCGTCCCTCCTCCAGACGACCCACCGGTCGCACTGCTCGTTCGGCAAGCTCCCCCGCAGGGCCTCCCTGTACGTGCAAGACATGCAGCAGGGGGGCTGGACAAAGCCCAGCCGGGCGAAGAAACACGTCTCGACGAAGAGCTCCGCGACGTCTTCCCCCGACAGGACATTGGACAGGTCTCCCGGAGAGACGATCGTCGGCGGGGATGGGTTGGTGGCTCCGTTCGCCGAGCGGTTGGTGGCATTGGCCAGCGGCGAAAAGGAAGTCCGTGCCTGCGGCCCGCTGCTTCCCGGCTTGGAGGTCGATATCCCGAGGGTGGACATGAACATGTCGCTCCAGGACTGGGGTGCCGGCTGTGCGGACTTTTTTTCCTCGATGGAATCCAGTTCCTTCTCCAGTTCTCGGAGGGCAAATTTCCCGTTGGCACCGATGGAAGAATCGCTGTGGTAGGTTGCGAGAAAGTCGGCGTGCTGCTGGTACTCTTGCTTCGTGAGCCACCCGCACGACAGGAAGGACTCCAGCCTCTGTTTCAGGTCCTTCAGCGGGGCCTCTTGTTTGTCGGTTTCGGTTCCGCCAAAGGCGGGATTCAGGTTCCGGATGCTCGAGAAAAGGCTTGCCGAAGAACCGTGGAGACCGTCTTCGTTTTCTCCTTCCGGGATGCATTCCATCGCTCGCACCAGCGGGGCGACCGCGGAACACGGATCGGCGGTGTAATTCTGCATGGTTTGGTTCGTTATTTGTACTGCTTTTGCTTTTGCTTTTCTGGTTCTTCCAATGGTGTACCGCGGCGGCGAAGACTTGTCTGTCGATGCGTTTGATGAAACTCGAATCGGAGCGCAACAATTCGGTTGCGGCAACTCGGCGGTGCACATTGCGCGCTTCGAATCCGGTGCATCAGCGATGACACGACTGGGTTTGTGAATGACCAAAAAGTGATGTTCGGCTGGCTCTAACGGTTTTTCGAGAAGTACCAATTTTTCAGGTGAACGCGCAAGCCAGCACGCATCACTAGTGAAAGTACGAGTAGGAGTACGTAAGTACTCCTGGTAAAAAATATTTTACGAACACGAATCGCTCTGAACGCTACCGTATGGAATGTACCATACGGTATATGAGTACATAAGGTAGTATTACATCATAGCAGTAGCCGCTGTGAGACATTAACCACCAAATCACGAATCGATAGTGAATAACAATCTCACTCTTTATTGTAAACCACGTATTATCGTACACTAAGGAGCCTATTAGCATTTCACAGGTTATGAGCAACAAAGAGACTTACCAACTACTACTAATTGTACTAATAGTACCAATAATCCAGCAATACCAGTCAACTATTGAGGAGTTTACCTGAATCATGACATCAATTTATATTTCACACCATGTGAGTACTAGTAGACTAGTACTACTACTAGGGGATTTCCTTTGTTCATTTAAAACAGAAGCAGAAGATAATATTTGATAATGTGTCAGTCATACAGCAAGAACCCTCAAAAACATGGGGACACTGGCAGGGTGAGGGGGGGGGGGCTTTTGAAGTACTAATTCATGAGGTTGGTTGGTGTTTTAGTAGTAGACATTTCTTTTGTAGCATCATGAGAAAAAGAACTTCTTCTTATCCCCCCTTCCTTCTTGGCCATAATATTTTTTGTTAGTAGTACTACATCATAAAGAACCCTCAGGCAAAAAGGAGTGTACCTTAACAAGGAAAGATCTCATGTTGTTCCAAGAATCCTCTTCCCCTCCTCCACCAGATACTACTAACTCATTGTTTGAAAGTTTATCATAATCATTCCATTCATACTGGTACTTGCAATGGATCGTGCAGTACTAGTAGTAGATTGTTGTCTTCCTACTAAGCATGCACTTTAAATTGCAACAATTTTTATTACTGTATCATTGTTTAGAAGTACCAATAATTTTTAGAGGCATTAGAATAATGTATCGTGGTCAATAAAAGGAACTTCAAACGCATATCCAATGTTTTCGCTGATAGTTTTTACTCTTGCTAAATGAAAAATGATATTAATATTAATTTTAAATTACCTTGAATCGCGCCTTGATTGGGTAGTTCGCAAAATAATTGTATTTTTTTGTTCACTTTCGGAAGGGTTCATCAAAACTTCAAGTGGTCGTAATTCAACGTTTTTGTAACCCCGGTAGACGTTCAATTATCGTTTTGGTCGCAGGATGATATTTTTGATGTATCAAGGAGTATTCTTCTTTGTTCCAATTTTTTAAACTATCAAAAGTAAGTGTATTGTATAGTAGAGCATTGGATCTCAACGCAGATTCGCAAGTGATATTTTCCCCTCACTACAAGTGTTGAAGCTTCAACAAAAATTGACAAAATACGATGTATGCGGGAATGTCGGCACAACAACGATTACAAGCGCATCGTTCTTGCTCGCGTCTGCTCTTGACCCATTCTGAAAACCAACTCAATCTTTATTGCATAATCCGTTATGCAAAATTTTTATATCCTTTTTGTTTTTATTCCATGGACGATACTAAGGCACATTTTGAGCCACAGTTCTATTCACAACAAACAAGTGCAAAACCCAAAACAATCAGAAGTTCATATTGAAGCAATATTTTGACGACAATGGTATCAACAACGGATTCCTTTATAATGTTTTCCGACAGTAATGGATTTTTTGGAGATTCCTGGGACACAAGATCTGCGGCAGCCACGGGGGGCACCTCTGTCGAACCAAAGCAAAGCCAAGCGGTAGAGGACAAATCGGCGGTGTGGATGTCAAAGGATGTCTTTGGCGGAGATATTTGGAGCGCAGACCCCTGGGCAGAAACCGGCAACAAAAAGAACAAGAACAAGAATAAGGATAAAGCGAAGAAGAACAGAGTGGTCGAGAAAGCTACGGCTGCCATCATGAAATCCTGCGCAATCGCTGATTTGGAGGAAGGGAAGGAGGACCATCGAGAGGAGAACGGAGAAACATACACTATCCGTCGAGACATCCGACGTTTCGACGAGAAGAATCGATCGTCGTCGAGGGGACGACGACGAAGAAGAAACGAGGCGCGCGGTCGCGAGAACAGCACCAGCGATGACAACAAGACCAGATCATCCTCTAGGGGACTCGACGGACGACCGAAGCGAATGCTGACTTCCGAGGAGGTTCGGTCAAAACGACGTAGCCGGAGCAGTAGCAACGGGCCAATTGATGGCAGTGGCAGAAGAGATAGGTCCCGATCGGTGTCGAGAAGAGCAACGACAGAAGAGGCCGCCGATCCAGAGAGGGCGACGACGTCGTCGCCGTCAAACCAAGACAGCGGTGCAAACAAACAATCACTTCCAGTCGTTTCCAATCACATAAGCTATGGGAGAAGTACGAGTGGGAACAGCCAACACATACGAACTCGAAGTCAATCGAGGTCTGTGGGTAGAGGTAGGAGGAGCGTACCACAAGAGTCCAGCAAAAGCCAACACCGACCCCGAAGCCAATCGAGATCTCGAACTAGAAATAGTAGCGCCAAAAATCTCAACGAGCATTGCTCACTAGCTCCGTTTGATGACGAATTGCCGAAACGAACAGTAAGCCTTCCTAGTTCTCGATTGCTAACCGCAAAGCCAAGATCAAAGAAAGAAAGTTCTCCTGTATCTTATCTTTCCAAAAAGGATCAAAAGCGGGTCTACGGAATCGTATCAGAATCCGATCTTCGCCGTTCAAGCGTCAAATCCGCTCTGGACAAGTTTCTGAGCGACCACGTCGACGATGATGGCGATTTTACAGTGGCCTCCGAGCCCCCAACGAAAACGAGATTGGCGAGAACCAGCCACCATGGCAAATCCACCGATGGCCGTCGCTATCCAAGTGGAAACCGATCGGTCGCATCGGAACCGGCGGTACCATCGAACCGCAGCGACCGAGACCCATTGTCGGTTAGACGTGGGCTGAACCGACGGAGTGCTCATAGATCCAGGAGCATCAGCCGCGATCCTCTTCGTCGAACGTTAGAGCGGAACAGCAGCCAGCGATCGCTGATTGAACGGAGCGGCAGTCAGCGATCGCTGATAGAAAGGAGCGGTAGTCAGCGATCGCTGATAGAACGGAGTGGCAGCCAGAGATCGCTGATAGAACGGAGTGGCAGCCAGAGATCGCTGATAGAAAGAAGTGGCAGCCAGAGATCGCTGTTAGAAAGAAGTGGCAGCCGGAGATCGCTGATAGAACGGAGCGGCAGCCAGCGATCGCTCTTGTAACTAGAAAAAGACTGCAAGAGTGGCAGGATACTTAGCCACAAAATGCTTTGAAGAATATGATGTGACAAAAACACGAATCCTATCGATTGGGACTCTCTTATTCCAATAACTATAATTTATAAGTCTAACTAGTGTAATTTTGTTTGAATATAATACTACGTCGCATAAGCGTTTTATCAACGTGTGCATACGTATCTGTAAGTGTATTTCTAGGTTGTCAAAATTATTGTACAAAGCCAAAACCCCCAAATCCAATCATTGAGCTTCTTTGTTCGTTTGTCTGTTTCCGTGTTTTTTCCCCTCCTTTGTATCTCCGTCCTTCTGCTCACTGATTATTTAGCACCCTTTCGTTTGTCTCTCCACCACGGTGGGAGCTCTTTCGACGACGAGAACACCTTGGGGAACAAAGCGTCTGGGACACCGTTTTTCGAAAAGCGCCCCGCCGCCCACTGCATCATTTTCAGTGAAGTGCTCTCGGGCTGGCTTGGCAAAAAATCAATGCCGATAGTGTTTAACACACCCATGATCAGTCCCTTCCCGTCCGTCGTGCACAGGGTGCCTCGGTCCTCGAAGCGATCCACCACGTAGCCCGCAGAGATGTGCTTTACCTGCATGCGATCCAGGTCGTTAAAAGTGATTGACCAGGCTTCCGTGGAACCAACGTACTCGCGTCCGTCAGGTTTGTTTAGTATCGTTCCGACCTTCCCCATAAACCCGCCGAGCGGTCTCTGGTAGGTCCCCGTGGCCTTGACGAAAAACCGCACCTTGAGGGGGTTCACAACGTCAACACTGAAACCATAGCAGTTTGGGTTAATGTCGGGGAAGGCTTCGTAGACCTTAAAATACGCCAGGACGTCCATGTAATCCCATTTATTCAGTGGCCCTATAACTGGGCCTCGAAAGACAAAATCGTCGGCGAGAATACTGCTGGGGTCGTTGTACGGGATAAAGTTGTTGTTATTGTCGTAGTAACCACCGTAGTCGTTCCCGTAGCGCCCATAATTCATGTTCCTGTTGTAATCATAGTTGTTGTTGTAGTTGTTCATGTTGACGTTGTTGACGTTCGGCATCATGGGGCTGAAATAACCACTCTGAAACTTCATAAAGCGCTCAGCGGCATTGAGCAACTTGCGGTTGATGGCATCCTGGGTGACGGTGGGAGAAGTCCTCGAAGAATATGCTCTGCCGGGTGACGACGACGTGCCGCTATACCATTGCATATTCCCATCGACCACATCTTTTAGCCTGGTACTTGGCTTCTTGTTCCCGGCAGATAAACCCGGCGAAACCCAAGCCTCAGCCAAGGACACGACGGAAAGGAACGCTAAGACCGATAGCAGTGCTCTCATGTTCGGTTCAAATTTTATTCGAATATGCTTTTTGTAACAATAACAGCAACGGTTGTTTTTGATCGAATCTTCGGTTAGAATTCGTTGTCGGTTGGAGTGAGTTGTGTTGGAGTTGGAGTTGTTCTTTTCTGACCAAAAAACTTCCTGCACCGTACGGTACGGTAACTCACATCATGATTAGAAGTCTACGACAGATTGTTCGATAACGGTAAAGGGGATGTGTCTGCGTTGTGGCGCACCCGATAATAATAATAAATGGGGGGTGACGTGGTTCCCATGAGCGAGTCGCGGCTCGAATGATTCCGATTCGGCGAACCAATTAAAATCGATGAAAACACAAAAGCCAAGAAGAGAGATGATATCGGCAGCTGCTTAGATTCGTAATTTGATTCTGAAGAGTGAGAGCTCCTACTAGTACGACTCGTAGCGTGAGAATAAAGAATCCATCTGTGTAGTACAGTAAGTACTAATACTTCTACTAATACTTTTACCAATACTATTGATATTACTACCGTACGATAGTACCAGTATCAGAACTTGCGAAAGTCAATCTTTCAAGTAATAATCCTAGTACCGGACTATGATGATCATAGCAGCAGGATTACTAGTAGTACTAGTAGCAGTAGTGCTAGTAGTGCTCTAACAGGTACTAAAATAGTCCTCCTATCATCCTGATGATGTTTGAGAAAGGATATCAACAATGCTGTCAATGATTTCTTTCTCTCTCCTGTCCGGATTGCCACTATCTTGAATGACTATGAGCTTCAGCAGTAAGCTCTCAACTTGTCTCCGTAATTCTTTCATAATGACCCCAATTTGAGCAGCCATTTCGATTTCCATCCATCCGTCCACGACTACTAGTCGATCCGTGTGTTTGACCAACAGAGGACCCCCAAATAAAAGCAACGGTACAGAGTTGACAAAACACGTGGTGGTCACACTAATACGGTTTGGTGTGCCGAACTTTTCGAAGAATACCACCCAATTTTGGTTCTTCAAGAACCGTTTCTTAGAGGCGTTTACTGATGTTCGATGGAAATATATTTGCTGGTCTCTGCTCCAAAGTGTGTACGAACCGAGAGTGGAGTCCTCTAATCGAGCTACATTGGGATTCAGCCCTGCAAACACAACCGCATGCACCAATGTCCAATTTTTCGCATTCCGATTTATTGGATTCGTTTCCCAATCTTCAGAACCAAAGAATGATGGCGATGAATTTCCCTTTTCAACGAAGCCAATCCCGGAGAGTAAATTGAAGAAGTCTTTTCTCGCGGTAGCAATTTCGTGCATTGATGACTGGTTGAGATAATTTGACTGGCAATATGAACGACCATCCTTTTTGGATTTCGATCTAGCAGCATTGTAACCTTCCCATACGTTACAAAGAGTAGCAAAATCTGAATCGGGATCTTCGAATTGTTTGTGCTTGGCTTTAGCTGTTGTAGCGTCTTGCAGAAAAGTTGCAAAAGGAGATTTGGAGGATAAAGATGCCGCAATAGTCAACACTTTATCCAGACATCGAAAGAGTGAACCAAACACCAGCATCTTTCCAAGTCGAACATCAACAGGGAGTTTCGCCAGGTGATGTCCAAGCGGTGTCAAAAAGTTTCGCTCCGAGGTGATGGCACCGACTTCTTCTAACACAGAGAGTGCAGATTGGATAGAATCATCGGAAGGCGGTTGAGGCGCCTGCCGCAAAAAAAACTCGCAGTCCTTACCTAAACCAAAGGCGAGAATCGAGAGACAAACTTCTTCCAATGGGACTCTCTTCAGTTCAGGTTCGCTGGTGTTCTTCATCATTTCGGCAGTCTTAGAGGAGAAAAGTTTCAAACAAAGTCCCGGCTGAACCCGCCCTGCCCGCCCAGCACGTTGTTTTGTATTTGCTTTCGAGCACCAATCCGTAACAAGAATCGAAGTTGAAGTTCTTTTGTTTCGCCGAACCTCTCGCTCTCTTCCACAATCAATTACTATTCAAACAAAGATTGTCAGAATGAATATCGGACCAAGTAAAACCAATTGAATATGTTTCAATTTTATCGATAGTAGTAGTTAACTCACCAACAACAACATCCTGTATCGTTACACTTGTTTCGGCAATATTTGTGCTAGAAAATTTTTGAACCATTCGAATTCGTTAGCACGAGTGTTGATTGCAAAAAAGTAAGAAAGCAAGAGACCAGTCCAGCATGCTTACCTCAGAATGATTTTCCTGCAACCGACTTTGACTGGAAGAAAGGCCTTGCGTTGATCGATCGACGATAGCTTTGAATGAAGAGGAATTATGCTGAACTTCGATTTATTACCTAGTGTCCTGTTCGCTGACAACCGATCCATTAACGAACGAATCTCGCCAATTCCTGGTAAGAAAATGAGTACCGATCCATTCGAAATGTCTGCACCATCGGGAGCCAGTAGAGTCGAATTTCTCTCTGGGTGAACGAAAAGTAGCTGAATGATATCCTCGATTAAGTCGTAGTTCAGAATGGATTCATCCACGCGCTCTAAGGATAATTGTGTGGGCATACTGTAGCCAGAATATATACCGGATACTTCGGTGTCTCTTTGGGCCAAATCAACCATCTCTCGGTGTTTTTCTCCACCTTGTCCTGATATCCATAAAGTTGTCGTTTCGGCCTTTTGGTACTCTCGAAACGCATATCGAGATCCTTCTTCGATAATATGGCCTGAGGCATCTAAAAGATCTTCGAGGTAGTAGTTGCTGACAGGGAATGTTCGACCAGGGACTTTGATAACGGGTGCATTAGAAAAGAAATTTGAAAACAGATCGGAATCCAACGTCGCAGACATCTTCAAAAGCAAAACCAGCATAACAATTGTTTAAGTCCCATCGGAAGAATGAATAGCATGGTAAAGCTGACGAAAAACATACATGAACGTACCAGTATCACTTTTAAATCTCTACGAGAGGTCTCCAGTAGTTGCCTCAAGGCAATCAATAAGACGTCAGTCTGCACCTGCCGTTCATGAACTTCGTCCACAATTATGTGCGTTAGAGATTTCAGATCATTGTCGTCCTGGAGCCTTCGCAGGATGACCCCAGTGGTGCAAAACAAGAGTTTTGTGTACTTGCTTCGCTTTGATTCCATGCGGATCTGGTATCCGACTTGATTTCCCAATCTTTTGTAGAATATTGGACACAACATGAATTTTTAAATCGAGTACGTAAAGCGAGTAAAGAATTCAGAACGGAGCTTCGAGCATCACCTTTTACATATCCGGAAGACTCAATGCAAAAGCTGAATTACCACATACCTATCATTCATTTCCTCAGCGACTCGCTCCGCAACAGAGATAGCAGCAACCCGTCGTGGTTGCGTGCACACAATATTGATTTTGTCACCCTGTTCATCCAAAAGTGCTTCCTCCAAAATATATTGAGGACACTGGGTGGTCTTTCCAGCTCCCTGATAACGAGTGATGGTGAACGGTTACAAGTTTCGAACGTTCGTGGTAGCACAAAGTTTCGTTGAGAGCTGAAAGATCGAAAAGTGCAGATCGAGGGGATATATAATCCAATCAATCCTGTCATTCTCTACTTACTGTTTCCGCACAAATAATAGTTACTTGATTATCCCGAATTGTCTCCAAGACTTCCTTTCGGTAAGATATCATTGGAAGATTTTCTCGTTGCTTTGAGAGTTTCAGATACGATTCAGAGGACTGTCTTTGAAGAAATTTGCGCTTCAGATTTTTACCTGATTCAGTCGTCGTAATAACCATGCTTTTGCTCATTGTGTGTTGGCCGTGGTTGTTGTTGTGGTCATCATCTTCGTCATCGAGAAGATCCATGTCTTCCCATGACTCCTCGATAAAATCTTTCGTGTTTGAGTCCTTAGCATTCGTGGTCAGATTTCTCTCTGATGTAGCAACATGATTTTGTGGACTAGCACTTTCACTTGTGCTGGTGTGTTGAGATGAATGATGAGGTTTGTGTCTTGTTTCGATGAGCGCCAGAAGTTTTCGTACCCGAGCACTTTTTTTCATGTCTGCTTCATTTTGAAGTTGGTCACTTTGCTGTTGAATCTCCTCGAGCCAAGACAACCAGATGGATCGGAAAGCCGGTGGAAACAATCCGTAGAGAGGCTTGTTTGAATCGATTTCAAATAATGCTTGTAGTGCCAAATAATCGGGTAGACTTGATCCTGGCAAAAAGTTGGATTCCAGAGCAATCCATTCTTCTTTTACAATGGCTTCATTTTGAGACTGTTCCTTCTTATTCCTCATCTTTTGAAGCTTGATGCCCGACAGCTTATATCCCTCACCACCTAAACGGAGAAATTTCGGTTTTCCTAGTTTCTGTTTCCGGCATACTTCCTCTAGTGTCTTTTTTGGAGTCGTTCCAGTCCATCCCTTAGGAATTGGACAATCTAACAGGGATTGCAAACGCCGACCTTTGTCCGTGATTTCAATCTGATCTTGTTCGTCTTCTTCGTCCTCTTTCTCGTCCTGGTCGAAAAATCCTCCGCCGCCAAAAATATCACTGCAATAATCTTCTTCCTCCTTCTCATTTTCACGTGCCTCTTTTTGAATTCGTTCTTCTTCCTCCTTGTTTTCTTGCTGCTCCTTTCGTTTTTGATTTTCTACCTTTCGATGAAGGCCTGTCACCTGCTGTTTCAATTTTTTCACCTGAATCTTGAGACTTTTGAGCTCCTGCTTGCTTCGCATATAATTGTTGGCTTCGCACCCCAAATCGGCTTCCAGCTCAAGCAGCTCGGCCTGTTTGGTCAATAACTCAACTTCCTGGGGAGACAACGAGGCCGCCTTATCGCAATCTTTTGTGCTTCCTCCATCGTTAGATTGGGCTTGGCCCTCCTGATTTTGATGCTCTCGACGACAAAATCCATTACCTAGATCTTCGTCGTAGTTGTTATGTTCCGAAGCATCGTCATCGTACGCATATTGCTCCAGTAATCTCCTCTTCACAGCTTCTCGCTCTTCTTTTTCGACTTTCTCTTTGGCAATCTGCCTTTGCTTTTGTTGTTCCTTTCGGCGCTCTTCCTGCAGTTCTTCTTGTTCTTTCTCTATTTCCACATCCCGTGCAGTCCCCGAATTTTCTTCCACCTTTCCTATTGGAACTGGTTTCGCAAGAGACGACGATGAGGAGATGAATTTCAAAACTTCAATTGATGAAGTTGAATTTCTTCCACCCTTCTTCTCATCCTCATCTTGCTGCATCCAATGATTTCGCAGATTGCCATCGGTAAAAAGGGGTGGCAACTCTAGAGTCGGAACATTCAAACACAACCAATCCAGCGCCGACTCGAGAGTGATTCCGTAGCCCAACTCTACAACCATTTGTTCGAGGTATGAAGATCGAGCTTTCTTGATATTTGGATTTCCAGGTTTTGTTTTGATATCATCAGCAGCCCCGTCACCGTCGTCGTAGTAGAAACCGAGATCAATCAATCGATCAATAATCTTGGTCAATTTTGGAACGAATCGGATACTGGTAGAGACAGAATCGGAAGCAGGAACAATTTCTACCACACGATTGTCACAGACAACATCATCATCCGCCAAACGAATTTGAGCAACGAGGGATTTGATCCCCTCATGGGTTTGTTTCGTCACCACGATATCGTTTGAACTAGTGCCGGCTGATGGATGTTTACTTGGCTGTTGGCATTTTTGATTGCTGTTGTTGTTGCTGTTGCCGTAACCCCGAGCATCACTTCGCTGTTTCTTCTTCTTTGATTTTCCCATTAGTGCTTCGTTCTTCAATAAGGTGAGGTTTTACCCCACAGTATGAGTACCTCTATGACGTATTGGAAAGAATGTCTTGTACGGTCGTCACCCCTCGTATCTTCCCGTTCTGATTTCGTGAGAAGTTGTTGCGATTGAAAACTGGCAAGATAAGGTGTGGCATGAAAATACATCCAAATTACTGTAGTAGCGTACGTACTGCACCAACGATTGGTAGACTTAGTTCGTAGAAGTACTTTGTACGGTAGTACCTGTACAATGAACTACTCCAACACATTTCACTTTCAATACTTCCACGTGGAATTTCGAAGTCCAAATTTCGAAAAATATGCCATAAACTAAGGCACGTTTCAACGTACGGTAGCTGAGGTGGACGTACCGCATTAGTGTACTATTTCGTTCACGATTCGTTCACAGCGTACAGTATCATATCATACTGTACGGTAAGTACGTAGAAGTACTTCGTCGTATTATTCTCTCGTGATTTGCCAGGTACGTACGGTACGTAGTCGCCTCTCAAAAGAGAGGTCTGATACGCACGTCGACTCCTCAAGCGTGTCTGTTAAGTAAAACGCAGAGTGTGTTACCCAAAAGTAATTTAACTACGACCAACAAAGCTGACACGACTAAGTAAACTCGCATCGATGAGATATCAATCCTACGAATGCCCATAGAGTTGCCGTGCAAAAAGGTCACGTTTCAGACGTGCTATCGTCACGCATTTACTCTCCCGGCCGTTTTAGAACCTTATGTAACCGATCTCATCGAAATAGAGATGTTTGACGTATTCAAGGCATTTTCTTTCGTCATTGTTGACGAGATTTAACTTTCTTCATTGTTCAATCAATCTAAATAAAGTCCTTAAAAATGCTTCCAGTCTTGGTTGTGCCATAAATCATAGAGATACAAGAAAAGTCGAAAGGCTGAAAGGTTAAAAGTTTTCTATCCGTTAGAAGACCGTCCGAGAATGTTGCCTTTTCTTTTCGCAGAGTATTAAGTCGTTCATGGTTAGTAGAACGTTCCGAAAGATACTTGAATCCCATTACCTTGATCACGAATTACTTCGTCCGAGTGCTCGATAAGTGTTGTCACTAGATCTATTGCAACAACTTGATTGCCAGTGGGGATCAAAAGTATCTACTTTTGAAATAGGTATCGTTGCATCATTGAAAAATACTTCAAGGTAAAAGTCTTTTCAAATTCGAAGTTATGTTTAATAACGCACTAGTATAATACAACAAATAGTAGCTTGCAGGATCGAAACCCCTCCGATCATACCGATTGCGAAATCATTATATCCAGTCCTTTTTCAGTAGTTGTTGTCGTTGCTCCTGCTTTTGGTCTTGCTGCTGCTGATATGGGTGGAATATCCGGTTGTGAAAGTATGCTTGGCGTTCGGCGTGATCTTGTTGCTGCTGTTGCTGCTGCTGCTGCTGCTGTTGATGCCGTTGCTCCTGTTGCTCCTGTTGTAATAGAAGTAGCATCCGATGTCTATCATACTGCTGTTGCTCCAATTGGGGTATGTCTTGCATAGATATTGCATGTGGCTGATGATGTTGTTGATCGAATTGTCGATGTTGCTTTTGATTTCGTTGTCGATTGCGTTGTTGCTGGAGTTGCATTTGAATTTGTTCCCGAAATTGTTGCTGTCGCTGTTGAAATTGGATTCGTTGTTGTTCAATTTGAGAGAATGCGTCGTCAGAAGTTTGCATTGGTTGCAGCTGTTGAGAGATTTGTAGCGACAATCGCCGAGGCTCTTCTAGTCTTAGCTGCTGCGGCAATTGCAGCGACAATCGCCGAGACTCTTCTGGTCTTCGCTGCTGCGGTAATTGCAACGATAATCGTCGAGGCTCTTCCGGTCCCTCCCTCGATTCCAATTGAATTTGAGATGGTAGCAATGGATCGTTGTATAGATTATCGATAATCGGCAAAGGCTCAAGTAGCGTGTCTTCGATGTTATTTTGGGCTGTGTAGCTTTCTGCTTGAAAATTTTCCGTCATAGGAAAATTTATAACGCCATCATTCTGTTTGTCAGTTGTCAGCTTATACCTCTTATTATGAATATTCTCAATATTCTTTTGGCTGCCTTGCTGTCGTTTTGCGACTTCGCGTTTTTGTCGAAGTTGTTGTCGAGCAACCGACATGTCTCGTAGTGCATGCCCTACCTTTTTTCGTGCTTCCGTTTCGTCCAACTCGATGTAATAGTAGTCTTCGCATTCATCGTCCCCGGAAACCTTTGTAGAAGGGGACTTCGTTTTCTTCAGAAATCGTACGCCGACGTCTTTTTGAAGTACGTTGCAAACCGATTTTATAACATCTGCCTTTTGTGCCTTGGACTTCGCGGCTTCGTACCGCGGGATGTTGATACCAATCGAGACCCTGAACCTGCGGTTGCCGATGTTGTTAAAAGTTGCCTTGTCTCGTCCGCAAAGAATGTCGTACGGTCGGAGATCCTCCGGTCGAATGTAATGCGTTTTTGTCTTTTTTTGGTCTTTACTGAATTGTTTAGATGACGAAGAAGAAGACGCTCCCCGATGACAAGGTACCCCGATGTTTGGCAAATATTGCGAGCTGCGATTCATTTTTACTCCCGTCCGTTCTTCTCTTTCTGTGAACCTGCACATCATAAGCATATATGTGCTTGTTGTTACAACACAAGACGTGCTTGTCAGGGAACCTTGTAGTGTGTGGAAAAAGATCTGTTTTTGTTTTATGAAGACAAAAGCGTGACGTGAAAGTCCGAACAATTTTTGATTCGGAAGATCGATTCTTTAATGAGAAGAATAAAATACCCCGATGGATTTCTTGGATGTTTGCTTTCGTTGTGAGAAAATGAGAGTGGATTTCCGCGGTGACGGAGAGGATCACTTTTTTTCAGAAGAGAGGACTCGATATTTGACCCAATGAATGTATTCCACTTCGATTCAGCTAAGCAATTTCGAATGAGGTATCTATTTTTTGTACGGAGTTTACATCTCTCATTACTTAAGCATTAGAATCCTAGAAGACTACTTACGACAGAATTAAAATTACACACGAAACGTCGAAGTGTACTTGGCAAGTTGAATTAGGGATATTAAGCTATCAAAACCCACTAGGTGCCTTTGTTGGAGAACATCTTGACGTGATATTGATATTATACTTACTTAACATATTTTTAGGATGATTTGTTCGATTGGAGCTTATACAAATAATTAACGTACTCCTTCCGAGTTGCCAAGTGGGAATCAGATCTCAAGATCACTCAGGAGCTTCGGCTTTAATCATACAATTGCTTTGAAAAGAACAGGACGTTAAATCTGTCCCATTCGACTTTCGGATTTAACACACTCCATCAATCCTACGAAAATCTTGAAAATTGATCTAATAATTAAATTTGATAAGCATTCACATTACTAACGGGTTTCGTCATCAATAAAACGAGTACGTACCGGTACGTACGAATCGTTCAAAGTTCTTCCTAGAAGTAACAGGATTTAACACACCCCATCGGTCCTACGAAAATCATGAAAATTAATCTAATAATTAAATTTGATAAGCATTAACATTACTAACGGGTTTCACAATAATAAAAACGAGTACAGTACGTACGTAAGAATCGTTCAAAGTTCTTCTTACAAGTAACAGGATTTAACACACGCCATCGATCGTACGGACTGTGTTAATCAGATTTGATAAGCATTCACAGTGCTAACGGTTTTTACACAACTTTCGAATTAACTACGACGAGTAATACGACAGCAAATTTCAGTTCTCTTTGTAGTAAGTAAATGAAACCCCAGTACCGTTTTCTTCAAATGAAATCTGTACTGTTTCTAGTGTTTCGTAACGTACGTAACGTTTCCGCTAAAGGTTTGCAAAGCTAAGAACGCTAAGTTAGGAAGAACGTGATGTTTGGGTCAAGAGTATGAGGAACGAACGCTAATGAGGTGGAGACAGGTCCGAAGCCAGTACAAATTTTACACGGCTCTACGGAGGTAACAGTACACCTCATTAGGGTTCCCGACTTGAACCACTGATATTCCTGGGCATGGGCCCTCCGGAACCCACACAATGTGTGCACTGGTTTTCTTGAACCTCTCTCTTCTATAACTGCCTACTACTACTAGCCATTGGGTGATATTATTTGTTAGTAGTAGTATGTGACAAACAAGCAAGCAGTCTCCTTCTGGAATTGTGCTGGAGGAGCGTGCTGTGAGCACATTGCAACCAAACTCCATCCTTTGCACCAATAATTTGGGGGAAAGGTCCATGGCTATTTTCACTAAAAATAACCCATATTTTAAATTTTGGGTTTGTGGGGGTTAACCACCAACGACAAGAAGAAAGAACAACCCACAAAACAATAACAAAGAATGAATAACCCATTCTTATGAAAAAAGGCAATATGATAACCCTAATCTACTACTTCTTGTAACCTTTCTGCAAATGTGACTGAATGCTGCAAAGAATCTGTACAGTAAAAATTAGTTCTTTGCACATGCAAGAAGTAGCATTCATTTTCTGTGAGCTTCTTCTTTAAGCTATTCTTAAATGTGAAAGCAATTCTGTGAGTATCAGCAATATAGCTACTACTATATCTTTAACTGTTATGTAGGTCTTTGAAAGGATAATCAATGTCCTTGATGATGAGTGGCCACTTGGAACCGGTGTATGCATTCCCCCTTTGATCCATTAATGTGGTGCTGATATTTTTACTTGTTCTTTGCCTCAATCATCTTCTGTGGTGAATATGATCAATTGCTTTGTTTCTTTCCATAGCACCAGCTTGTTGTTCATCAAGGTCCATGAAGGTAGTATTTACTTGTGCTGGACTCAAGAAGAAAGTTACACAGAGGAAGAGGAGTGCAAACAAGAATAATCTTGACAAAATACATCAGGCCTCCACAACATGTTCCAAACCAACGCCATGAAAGTGACACGGTTCTTCTTGAAAAAAAAGAAAATAAGAAATATGAAATTTATTAGTATCTTAACAAAAACAAGTTGGGGAATGATAACCTTGCTGCTTTGTGAAGGTCATAAAAGAAGGAGAATCAATGCATCTTTCTGAAAAAATCTACAACAAAGAGCCAAGTACTATTCCATGAAAAAGATTCAAAAGCAAAATAAATAATGTACAAAGACTTAATGGAAGGCGCTGTTCCTATTGGCAAAAAAACAAGAGCAGACAGGCAACAACAATGCTGCTGAAAGAAATTCATTCTTTGCATCCAGAAATTTCTGAGTACAAATATAGTAATAAATTCTCAAGCAGATTGAGCAGTTTTCACAAAAGAATGAAATTGGCTTATCCAAGAGCTGAGGCTGACGACCAAGAAGCTTTCAAATTGTTTCTTGAAGAAAATAATCCAATCTCATATATCAGTCAGCCCACACAGGCTACATTCAATGGCAATGGTTGAAACAGCAGTGGCTATTGTTGAAGAAAGACATTGAAGATGGTATTGTTCAACAAGACTTGGGACTTTTAAAAAAAAACTATTCTGCTGAGAGACAAATATCAAGTCTTTCCTCTAGATCACACTTGTTCTATGATAAGATCACCAAACAAGAAATTGGTACAGAAAAGTATTTGTATACTTTGAAAGGTAGAGGAAAGTAGGCAACTTACAAATATTTGTAAAGTAAAGCTTACATAGTACAAATCACATTAATTATTTGCTTCTCTTCATTCAAATTATTACTCCAGTCAACATGATGGGTATAGTTATTGAGAGAGTTGTTAGCCTCCTGGTGGTGGCATTTTTACTTTTCCCTCCTGGTGTATTCTTTACTGGTCGTGGCTTCTCCTGGTGAATTTTGGTGAAGGGTATTTTGCCCCCCCCTGCTGCTTAGCTGAAGGCAATATATCTACATTGGCCAAAAATTACCCACCAATTGCTGCATTAGCATGATTTCCACCAAAAACTGATGCAAATGAGGACTGACTGCCGGGTGGATTAGGCAAGACAAAAATGATTGAGATGATGTACAACTGAGTCCCAGAAAACTTGGACAAGATTCATTGGTATGAGCATGGTACAACAGTGTATGCCACCATGGTGATACTACTTCAAACTCAAATCCTCAAGAAGCTTGAAGTTTTCTTTTTATTGCCATAACCACATTAAATTTAACAGGTACCTTAGTACTACAACTACTAGTAGTAGTGCAGAACCATGAGAGCTTTGAGGTTTTCTTTCGAGCAAAATGGGGTTTGTACACTTTCAGGCTCAAATCTAAAAACTTTGGGTTTTTCAATTATTGACATCATCCCAAATATGGTGTGTGTAGTAGTACTGAGCATGGGCTACTTGCATCAAAAGGGACAATCTAAGACTAGTAGAATGACGAAAACTGTTTTTTTCTCCCAGCAGCCATTGTA